GTGTCCCCGAACATGTAGAACGCTCATGCCAGAACCTATAATTACTTAACCAGTTGCATTGAGATTCATTTTATGCCCAACAAAACCCTTTTTTTCTGTGTGGTATTATGACTAACCTGTCTGTTAGCATAAACAGGCTGTCTCTGAGGTAACATCATGCACACCTATAGCCCTACATCTTTCATACCCCACTTTAAGTTACTATGAACTGCTAGCTTTTGGCAGAATTGTTCATCATAATAAAACCATGCAAAGCCCCCGAAATTCTTATAAGCCTCCAAAATAGCTTCTGCGTGCTGAAATAAACCACAGCATAATTCGGGATATTTCGCCTAACACGCTGGAATAAATGAAGAACGCTTGAAGCCAATTATTAAGTGACCTGGGAATACATTTCTTCCTCTCTTAATCCCCTTTTCTCTATCCGGCTTAGTAAACTCTTTATTCTTCACCTTTTGCTCCACTTTCCTGCTATGTTTCTATTGCCTCTTCTTGCTTCTTATTGGAGATGGTGAAAAAGGCTTCCTGGATCTTTTAATCCTTGCTTCACAAATCCTGCAGGGGTCACTCTCACCAAAATGTTCTTCCTGTGCTGGTCCCCTAATTGTAGGAGGGTAACAGCCAGCACCCCCCCTGCATGGAAAGCTCCTCCTGATGTTCCACCCCTTCCTCTTCTAATTTGTTCAGACCTGAAGTACCAGGGGCTGACTCCAGGCATGCTTGTAACCACTCTGCATCACCACAGCTCGGAGCTTTCTTTCTAAGCTGCTCCAAAAAAGACTCACCAGTGCCAGACATAATCCTGAGATAAAGGGAGATTCAGCTTATGAATTACACAGCAAACCTTCTATTTGTCTGGCACCTGCTGAGATGAATAATTTTTGGCACCCTTAAATTTATACCCGCCGCTAGATACCTCGCACTGCAATTAGCCAATCAGGAGCCCTACCTGAGCACAAGCTTCCTGATGAAAATAGCCATGCGTGCTGCCCTGCACCTGGCTCGCGCTACCTCCTCGCACTCACCTGAATACTTACCCACAAACTTCTGCTCCATCAGACCCCATGAGTCCCCCCACCCGCCCGGCATTCTCTTGTGATACGTCTCAGAATATTATTATTATTTCTTTCTCAATGTGATCTTCTGTCAGACCCACACACGCATAATATTTGGTTTTGGCATGCCACCACAGATGTCATTTGCTTGTCGCAATCACTTCTTTTCAGGTTATTTGTCATTTACCCAAACCTTTTTTAGGGAGTTTGCCGTGAGTTTTTGGAGGGGACTACTTGCCAGCTTCCTACCCCAAGACTATGGGCCCTACAAAAAGACATGCTAAAAAGTCTATTTGGGCTTATTGGATTTTAAAACACTTTGTCTACCCCTTTAAATCCATGGGAAAATGTGCCTCTTCCCCTCCCCCTTTTTTCTGTCCTATTATTCTCCAGCAGAGCGTTATCCTAGGGACACTGCCAGACCAGTTTAAACTGGCTGCTTTGTCCCTCCTCAATCTCCCATCAGCCCTTGCTATTTTATGACCTCACCCTTCCTTGTACTATAGGGCACTTTTAACATGAGACATATTGAGCATTCAGATCCAAGCTATCTGGGGATATGTTGGACATATAGGTAAAAACATTGTATTATATGTTATGTATTTTTATGTGGTTTTTGACTTAGAGATATTTCCTCTTACTGGAGATAATTAAATGACCACTCTAGGCACCCAGACTACTTCAGCTTAATGAAGTGGTCTGGGTGCCAGGTCCAGCTAGGGTTAACCCATTTTTTTATAAACATAGCAGTTTCAGAGAAATTGGTTAATCCAGCCTCTAAAGCCTCTAGTGGCTGTCTCATTGACAGCCGCTAGAGGCATTTGCGTGCTTCTCACTGTGAAAATCACAGTGAGAAGACGCTAGCATCCATAGGAAAGCATTACTAATGCTTTCCTATTAGACTGGCTGAATGCGCGCAGCTCCTGACGCGCATGCGCATTCAGCTGAAAGGAGGAGAGGAGGCAGAGAGGAGGAGGAGAGCTCCCCGCTTGGCGCTGGAGAAAGGTAAGATTTCAACCCCTTCCTCTCCCCAGAGCCCGGCAGGAGGGGGTCCCTGAAAGTGGGGGCACCCTCAGGGCACTATAGTGCCAGGAAAACAGGTATGTTTTTTCTGGCACTGTAGTGGTCCTTTAAGTTACCACAGCCACTTAAGCCAATTATCTCCAGAATAGAGGATAAGATAGACCGGCCTCTCAGCCTAAATCTGTGGAACTGTTTTAGGCATGAAAGCCATGCTTGCGGTCGGTCAAATGTCACTTCCATAAAACTTTTGAACCCCTGCTCGGATCTGGGTGAATTTTGGATATGTTGTTCACCCAGATCAGGGCTATCCAGTGATGTATAATTTGTGGGGATATGTTGTTGTTTTAGGGTGTTTGTAGACTTTGGGTAAAACCGTATATATTTTCTGCCTGTGGTAATTGAGTTAGTCTATTGTGTTTGGTAATTGTATCACAGGCAGAGGGGAGCATTTGTGTACATTAGCTGGGAGTGTCTATCTGTACAATATGGTTTTGATTCGCTGTTGTGACTTTGTGTCCTGTGCACCACAAGGTCCACGTGGGTGGTAACCTTGTGGGGAAAACTGTATACTGTGCTCATTAAACCAGTTCTACTTCACCCTCAATTTAGAGTCCTGTCTCTTATTGGGGGAATCTGCTACAAGGGATTGATATGCTCTTCATACTCCCTTGAATAATCACTAAGCTCTTGTAAGAGCTTGTTCCTGTTCCTGTCCTGCTTCGCTCTCTGGGGAAAGAGAGGTTCACCCACTGGAACCTGGAGCCTTGTCGTAGGGTGGGTAGGAGACGGCGAGACCCTAACCAAGCTGCGGCGGTTCGTGGGGTCTGCGGTGGTTATGGTCTCTGGTGGAGTGCTTGGAGCCCTCAGGAAACGGTAGGAGCATCCTTCAATGGGGTGCCAAGTGATCCGTTACAAACACAATGAACTTAGACAAAAAGTAATATAAGCATTAAAGAAAAGGCCACCATGCTTGTATAGGGTATACAGTTCATTTTTGATATTTAAAAAAAAAAATTACTTGTTGTGTGAAGAAGGATTAGCGTGCACAAGAAAGTATGCATACCATAGCTTATCTTCAAGGTCAGAGAGAAATAAGTAAACCAATAACATCAATACAAAGTAAGATAAAGCGAGTCCCTAGTCTAAGTGGGGGGCATTTGATGCTCAGATTCCTAGTCACTATGAGCATTGCTGTAGATCTGCATAAGAATAGATAGTGACTTCCAGAATGTTAATTTTTTTTTTTTTATTAAAGCATTGTGGGTTTTATACTTTGTGTAGAACAGTGTGTGGGGGGAGGTTTGACACACACTTAAAGGGATATTCTAAGCAACACCAACCAATATATTTACATTGTCTTAATACCATCTTGGTGTTGAAATAAGACAGGACTTGTGTTTTTTTTAATTTATTTTTTTTAAGTAGTGCTGTCCCACCAAATATTATTTCACAGTACCATCACCTTAGTGTTTCCAAGATGGCACCTGCCAGAAATCTCCACCTCTGTTTCTGGTGGCTGTGCAATGTGTCAAGCAGAGGAGAAATACAGAGACAATGTAGTCCTTACTATGTCTCAGTGTATATTTTGACAGAGTTGGAATCATAGCCTACATTTGCTGTTTAATTCATTTCTTTCTGCTCTATTTTCCCCAGAAAAACCACTCTAAAAAAAAAAGATTATTTAATTCCACCAATCTCTTAGCCATCTTAAATTCTTTGTCAATCCACCAGCCTAGTATTCCTACAAGTATGACATCTTGGCATACGGTGCCATCTTTGTTGTGACAGCCCACCACTAGTATTCTGTAATTAAAACAGAGTTCATGTTGAAGTAGGCCCCTGGGATATATAAAGTATGTCAGTAACCTATGAGGCGGTAATATACACCTCTAATCCAGACTGTTTCTCAGGAGTCAAATAGCAAGTCATAAAGAAAATACTTATTAACTTGGAATTTATTCATTATCAATCAAGTATGTTGACTATATATGCCACCTGATTTAACTGTAGTTCAGATTTATGGCATCAATATTATGTTTGCCATTAACATTTTTAAAGGGTATTTCCACTTCCTTAATAGCCATGCCACAGCAAAGGGGTTAGACTATAGGCATTTTCAAAATCACTTAAAGAAACGCTATAGGATCAGGACAACAAACATGCATTCCTGACCCTATAGTGTTAAAAAAAACTATCTAGCCCCCTAAACAGAGTAAAAATTGTATCTTTATTCCAGTCTGCTGGTGCTGACTCTGCCCCTGATCTGTCTCCTTGGCTGACATCATTAAAGTGATTATCTTAGCCAATCAATGCTTTTCCCATTGGATTGACTGAGATTATCAATTCTGATGACCTCAGCCAAGGAGGCGGGCCAAATACCACCCGAGTCAATCAGCACCACCTCATAGAGATGTATTGAAGCAATGCATCTCTATGGGAAAAGTTCAGTGTCTCCATGCTGAGGGTTGAGACACTAGATGTCAGCGATGCACACTGTGCAGCACTACCCAAAGAAGCAACTCTAGTAACCATCTGAGGAGTGGCCAGTGGAGGTATCCCTAGGCCGTAATACAAACACTGACTTTTCTCTGAAAAGGCAGTGTTTACAGCAAAAAGCCTGCAGGGACTGACTATACTCACCAGAACAACTACAATAAGCTGTAGTTGTTCTAGTGACTATAGTGTCCCTTTAAGTATGAAAATTAAGAAAATATAACCGCACCTACAAACTAATCAGTCATACTCTTCACAACATACTGTAGTGGTTTACATCATACCTAAAGAGGATATGTATAAAGAGCAGGGGCAAAGTTCTATAAGTGGAATAATAACCAGGAACATTCCATTGGTTTCCACGTGATTGTTCCAAAATCTTTATATATAAGCCTTTATAGTACTTTGTGCATTAAATGAAAAAACACATTTTAGTGGTTTAATTTAGACCATACACGGTTTAGTTTTATTCGTAGGCTGAACACATTTGCTATTTACAGTACATGAATGTAGAGATTCTACAATTTATTTTGTGATGTAAACAAGAAACTCCTTATCCAGAGGAATAGAATTTGAAAGAAGCCAGTCCAGAAAGTATTTACACAATTTAAAATAGACTTTATACTCACTGGATAATATACTGAGCATTTTGGTTAAATTATCTACGAAACTATAGGATTTGACAATGTAAAAATACAATAAAACATTCTTCTTCTTTATAAGGTAGACAGTTAAATCACACTAAAAATAAAAAGGCATACTTTATGCCATTGGAAGTTAAAAATATGATGCATAAATAAAGGCAAAACAGAACTAAATTTAAACAGTGAAATATAAAAAAACCTCTACCGTTAAAAAAAATAATAATCTTATTAACCATCAAGTCAATTATAAGCAGTGTTTCTTAAAAATAAAATTGATTAATCCGGTAATTATAAATAAGAAAACTGATGTGCCCCAGTGTGGTGAAATTTTTACACATTCCTTGTGAACAGAAATAAATCACATATAAACAAGTCACCATTATAAACCCTTATTACTATTAAATTGTTAATAGTGCTCAAAACTAGTGTACTACATTCTAGATTCTGTGTCTAGAACGGGACTATCCAACTTTAACAGGATGTGGCCTTCCTCCCTAATAGGTGTTGCCTACACCGAACTGCTGAACAGCATTTTGAAATGTAAACAAAAAGTACCTTTTAGGGAAAAGTTGACCAGCCCTGCTTGTTGTATAACATACAAGATTCCGTACTCTAGAGTATTCTAAAAGCAAGTCAGAAAAAAAAAGACATATTGTTCTACCAATCTATTGCTTAATGTTCTTTAGAACAGATAGCGAAAAAAAGAGTAAAAAAAAAATCTAAGGATACTAAAATGGGAAAAAAAGGCAAACACACAAAAAAGTAACGTATGTACATTTAAAAGGATAAATCCAATCAAAAGTAATTTTGTACAATTAGCCAGTTTTGGTGCCAAACCAAAACGAAGAAAGTGAAAAAAACTAATTTATTTAACGGAAAGCATTAAAAATTAAAAACAGTAAAGCTTAAAAATGAATTTGGATCAATCGAGATGACCTGGGGTAGATTCTTGCAAGTGGCACTTAGTGCCAATGGTTCTAAAAGGGCATAGGTCTTGATTTGGAAAGTAAGGATTAATACTGTAACCACAAAAAAAAAGAAAATTAAAATATATATATATAATTATAGACATACCAATATTTCTACCCGTTTTATAAATATGCAAACCTGCATGTCTGTCTGGTTTACCTGCCATATTTATTGTCACTAGCATTCCTTAAAATAGAACAGTGGCTCCCAACCAGTTCTCAATGCACACCAACAGTTTGAGTTTTGCCAATAGCCCCATAGGAGCAGATTTGCGAAATGTAAACTTGGACTGTTCGTACACTTTGAGGATTGGATTGGGAAGCATTGGGCTAGAGGCACTTTAATTCCAAGCACCTGCCTCTCCCTAATACCTGACTACCAGTAATTTAAGGGCCCTCTCCATGTACCTCATCAGCAGTTTCGGAAACACGTGCCTTTTTGCATAAGGATGTTTTAGGTAGAAAAAAACAAGAAAACACAAACACCAAATATTTCATTTTCAGTGTTAAAATGAACAGCACTCCTGTGGTTCTACAGCATTGATGAGTACCCCGGTCATGAACTAGATTTTATGAGGTGCTAAGCCTCTAGGTTGGATAAACATCATGGATTACCTAAATGAGGGGTACCGTATGGAATAATTACAATTCTAGAAATAACTGTTCCATTCGTTGAAGGTTTGAAAAATTAATCTAATACAGATTGTGATATTAATGCTAAATCTACCCAACTGTGCTTGAGTATTTTAAACAATGTTTTATCTTACAACTGTGCATAAGTGTAGCCTCATAGAGAAACAGTTATTATCCAATCATAAAAATTAGGAAACGTCAAAAAAAAAACTAACCTTGAGCCAATTCAGAGATAAATGGCTAAGGTTGGATTTATCAGATTTAGTGCCATAGCACCTTTAAGACAGAATCTGCAAAGTGTAGAAGCAGATATTACCTATATTAAGTGTATCAGTCAAATGGCCTGGCAAACAGAACTTTAACAGGCCTGTGTTCGAATTTTGCTGTTTTACATCCGTTTCAAGAAGGATGCAGTGGAACCCGGCCATAATGGTTGCCATGTATTTTAAAACGTATAACTTATGGCACTTGGTTCCAGCATCTTAGTCTGATCATTAATTTTAAAGACATGTTTACGCTCATTAATCCTGCAAAAGGAATTGTACACAATCTTTCATCAACACAATAGGGTTTATTTTTTTTAAGCAGTGAATTCTGGTGAAATGAAAACCAAGTCGCTAAATGTGGGCAGAATTTTTCAAAATCAGCTATTTTAACTCAAATGTAAAAATTTGTAAAACGTTTTCCAAATCACTACAATTTACTGCTCAGTGAATATTAGCAATATGTAATTATGTTATCTTTTAAAAGTTTTAAGTTATTCTATACTAGTAATTTTATAAAATGCTTTTCTGTTGTAGCTTTCACCACCGAAGATTAATGTAATCATTAAATAAAAATTCTAATGGTATACAAAGAAATGAAAGAAAAAAAAAAAAAAAAAGGTTTTCCTTGTAAAACAGGATATTATTCCTCAATTGATAAACTGGTATTTTTTTCCATCAATTTTATAAATGATAATTGCATTTTTCAGAAACACTATTTTCTTTCCTTTTTTTAAAAAAAATGGTAATACAGATAAAACATCAAAATTATTTTTTTGCCACTGATTAAACATCATCACATGCCACAGTCTACCTTGGTTTTACATTCATAGGTATTAAATACAGTACAAACCTTTTTTTTACACAAAATTAAACCCGGTTCTACAAATGTAGATATGGACATACGGCTTCAAACTATCTGTGCGTATGCTATGTGCAGGTATGTACGATTTGCATAAGTGCTGGACAAAAAGTTTGCTAAATAATTGTCTAAAGGCCTCAGGGAATTTTTCTTGAACTCCTAAAATACATCTATTCTTAGAGGAATGCTCTATAAACACGTCTGGTAAAGCAATGCCTATCCTGTCACCTGTCTAATGAATGCCAGATTAATTCTGGACTACAATACAAGTCCGTCTGACCTTCGGAAGCAGCAGAGCAGATACAGTTGCCAAATATAGATCTCAAAGAGTCATTAGCCTGCCACACCAAAAGCTGGCCACACTTGGGATTAGTGATCTACAATTTTCATCTGATTACCTTCGTAAGTGCCAGCGGTGTAACAATATATGGCACTCAGTGGATTAAAAGGTTGCGGAAAATATAAATCAAAAAGAGACAATAGACCTGTTTTGATTAAACTATATGGCAAACCAGGTGATATAATCCACGTATTTTTTTTCTGAAAAAATTATCATCACAGCACAGGACAGTACTATTCACCCTGTAAAGGGCTATCATAAATGTATATATTTATATATTTTTTTTTCTACAGTAAACTATAGCAATCACATGTAAACATCATTGTTGTGTGGGAGTACTATGACAGAGAAAGGCAGATCTACAATAAGGTGTTTGTCAAAGAGGTACACTTAATCCGAGTAAGGTGTTAATGGGAATTGCGGAGAACTTTGGCAAACCAAGGATGAAACCCAAAAACTGTATTCCAACAAGAATTGTTTATAGAAGTAAGGCTATTTATCCTAGACTACACAAAATGGCTTATTCCTACATTCTATGCTACCCTGGTAAGTATTTGAACAAATATATATATGTATATATATATATATATATATTTAATATTAAGCGACTAAGCAGCCCCAATGCCCAAAACATACATGACATAGTCCACAAAAGTGGAAATAATGGCTTTTATACAAAGCTGAAATCATTGCCCCTACTGCCAAAAGGCCTTCGGTATTTCAGCTGGAGAGAGTATATTGCTATGCGTTACATGATGCATTTATGAATTTGCAGTTTATATGAAGGTGACAAGGAGACCAATCTCAATTTTAGTCTTTGGAGAAAATGTTGAACTTTCAGAACAATTGTTAAATGATTTTAGATACAACAGAGAATGAACATTAACTCTTAGATGCAGATTTATGTCGTTTGCAAGGCTTGGGCAAACAGCATAACCTCCAGTGGTTTCAACGTAGAACTCAAAATTCCCTCAGCCACACAGATATAAGTTGGCTGGCAGTGACTGGTGTTGTGATCTAATACCAACTGGAAGGCTGCATTTTGCTAAAACATAGTATAAAATGCATGGTGAATTTTAGGTTTTGTTTATATGTAAAGATTTACAGAATACAAGAAAAAAAAAAAAAAGAAATTTCACATGTCTACATGAATTAGTTAGGTGATTACTGATATGTAGCTAAAAAATAAAAACGTAACCTCTGGGTTTGTACCCTAAAACAGCAAGTTGACATAATTTGAAAAATCAATGCTTGAAAGTAAGAACCAAATCCGAAAGCCCAATTAAGGCCAAACTAAATTATAAACGTTTTCAGCTCAACTACTTTGGGCTTAGTCTAATTTAGACACTTTTGCAACTCAACTACTTTGGCCTTAAGTCTGCATCAACTAAACAGTGTTTAAGCAATTAAATGACCAAAGGCGATAAAATCCCGTCATAACATTCTAGTGGTTAAATATCCTACATTGCATAGGAATGTCCCACTGAATTAGTGACAGCAGAGTTGTATATAGCTGCCTTTGCTAAGCAAGGTCAGTCCAGATACTTAAGAAACCAGATTCTCATGATGGAATTAAATGCCATTGGTCCTTAAGGGATTAATGAATGAACCCCTTAACTGATATAAAAAACACTTTAATCAAGTGTTCTTAAGCTGTTAGTTGAATAATGCATAACGCATAGTGCTTTTAAAAAAGTGTCAGTTTTTGACAGATTTCCCGAATAACGATCTTAATGCAACAAAGTAAGTCACCCAAACCCAAAGGAACACATGACAGAGGAATGTGAGAACAGTTGAAAACATATTGATGGATCATGATGTAAAGGTAAAGGGAAGAGATATACAAAATTGTGATAAGTTTGAGGTATTTCTCAGCAATTACTTTATCCTTTTCATATACTGTATGCTACCATAAGTTAAAACCCACTGATTACTTTGCTTTCAAGGACGTACGTCTGACTTAAAATGTATTAATTTATAATTCCTGGTATGTGTACTCCCAAATACACACACTGGTCACTATAGACTACAAACGGAATCAAAGTGTTTTACATGAGTTCCTGTAGTAATTTTATATGCATATAATCCAAGACTTTCAGCAGAGAACATACATTGAGATTTATCTCTTTTTCAAGTATCTTAGAGATGGGATTGTTACCCAACTTAATGGTACTCTCTCTTCTGACCTCGGAATTCAAAAGGCTGAATAGAAACAGAATCTGTATCTTTGACGTTTGATTTTGTAGGTGATGCACTCAACAATTAAGCTATCTAGCTGGCTACAGGTATTATATTTATCACAACTTTGCATAGTCCACTTCGGATTCATGTTCTCAAATATGAAAAGTGTTTACATGAATATTTTTTTTAATTCAGCCATCAACGGACATGATAGGGAAATAAGATGTAATGTTCGTGAAGAAAAAAACAAAAACATATAGGCAAAACTCAACTGTTGAGATGAAGCAAGGAAAAAAACAAAAATTCAACTTTCAGGATATATTAAAATATTATTATTGTTTTGTTTTTTTATGAAATCCTGACCCAAACAGCAGCAGAGCTCTTACAAATTGCAAAGACGCCACACTGTATTAACGAAAAACCAGTCACGTATATAAATAGTGTTTGTTCCCACAATAATTCCGTAAAGTGAGTTATAAATGCCCGATGCTGTTTGACACGGTGTCAAATGCCAGGTGATGTTTTCTTATTAATGTATGAGGATTAATTGGTATCTTTTGCAAACACCTCACTACAGTGCATAGTTTAAAACGAAGCATACGACAAACTGAAATACAGTACTTGTGAAACTTTAAATACATTTTTAGAATATACATATTTTTCCTATTCAAATTAGTTTGTAATTCAGGCTCTATTCACAAATGACTGTTTTTTGTCCTTTTTTTGTCCTTTTTTTGTTTGTTTTCCTTTTACACACTACAGACATAATGTTATGGAGAACACGGCTGCAATTACATTAGGAAAGAGGAAAAGGGAAGACCAAATGCCTAGAGACGCCCCGAAAAAAGCAAGAATTCTAAAATGTGGCAGTGAGACAGCAACACCATGGAAACATATCACATACAGAAGCAGCTTTGTTCAATGTAAACATCAATTTAAAGGTTAAAAGTCTTTTTTTTTTGTTTCTGTATTCCATTTGTTTGTATTTTTATTTTTAAAACGTAAACATGTCGGAAGTGCCTTGACTGAGGTATTGAGGTCTCCTCCTTGGTTAAGGCTGTCATCGATGCAAGCTTCGCTGTGCCTCTTTCAGAAGGCTGTCAAAATCCATAGACTCATATTTACTTTTGATTAAAGCTGGCGAGGACTCTGCATTTGAATCTAGAGGCAACGAGAGAGAAGAAAGTGTTTTAGACATGGGCAGCTTATGGATACAGATCACACAGAATGCAGAATTTGATCGTATTTATGAACAAGATAGCCTATAGCCTTGATCTCCTCATTGCATATCTTAATTCTTGATATTATTTAAACAGTACTGAGTATCGATGTCCTACATTTGTATGCTAAGGTAAGTGAAAAGACACATTTTCAAATTTTTCACTAAAATCGAGATAGGCAAAAACACATTAATTATTGACAAGTGCCAAACTGAATTGGAAAGTAGAGGACTATATCATTGCTGATTTTGCTATTTACATACTCCAAATCTTGGCCCTTTTTAAAAAACAAAAAAAACAAAAAAAAACCAATTTACTGAATCAACTCATTCCACTTTTACAGGAAAGTGATTTTCACAGAAATAACCTTAAATTTACAGTTTGTTTTTTTCTTGCTTTGGTCATCGTCTTTCTATAAAATATAGATTTTCCCTTGCATTTTGTTTTCCACTTGAAAATGTCTATTTACTAACTACACCACTTATTATAGCTAGAAAACGTTCATACCCCATCATGTGCTCATTTCAAATTTTTGCATCAAATAGAAGGAACTTATATGCCTGTCCACCTAGATAACAAAATAATACCCAGATATCCTACTTTCATAAAAGAATGCTGGGTGGTCTCTCCATGTCCTGTCAGGTATTACCAAATGTTTTTAAAAGACTTTTCTTGATTAAAAGTTAAACTACATTTATTCTTCAGTACATGATTTAATAGTTTTTTTTTAGAAATATATTATAGTATATACTATAATATTTTTAATGTATAGTATATACTATAATATATATAATGTACAGTAAATACTATAATATATATATTATAGTAGTCAAAGTGGCAGGAGGCTGAAACCAAGATCCCCTTTGGTTTTCGTGAAACCATTTTCAAGTGTTGAAAAAAAAAACAAAAAAAAAAACAGATTTCCTATGACCCAAATCATATCCCCTCTGTTTTGGATAAAATAATGCAGAAATTGCTTGGGTTAGCAGGAATCCGTGAAATCAAGCTGCATTTAATCCCTGTCGAGCTGATTACTATCAGCTTCCATATAGCTCCAACATATTACACAACACTTTACAATCATAGAAAGGGGGGTTATGAAGAAAGCCCTGCTCAAATGAGCTTACAAGCTACGAGGATTTGAGGCAGGCAGACATATATTTTGTCTTGCCCAGAGACACTCACTGGCATCATAGTCTGACCAGGCTTTGAACCTTGATTTCCCAGTTCCAAGGCAGTGATGTTATGACTGTTCTAACTAGACAATGACTTGACAAATAATGAGGAGCCGGAATGTCCTCATTACTTCATCCAAAGCAGAGGTTGTGGGCTTTGGGTGCCTGAAATCATTCCTTTCTCCTACTCTACTCTATATGCTCTCATGCAAAGGACCTCTAGTGCTCACTTACATGATGAATATGTTTACCTAGATCAGTGTATTTGGTCCAAAAGAGGTGCCTGAGTCCTCCGTAACTCAGGTGAAAAGAGGGTTCATTCCTTTTTCGCAGAGAAGCGCCCTTTTTTAATGACAAGGCAGCGTGCTCTGAACATCGATATGTTATGAATCCATATTTTTCTCCCCTAAGAAGAAAATGCAACATCCATAAGAAAAATGCATTAACTCTCCCAGGTTGAAGCTTTGTGACACAGCAATAACTCGTTTTAATTTCTTTGTAAGTCAGCTATGATTATTTTGAAAATTAAAACATTGGCAGGATTATTCACTAAAGTGAGGATTGTCGGAAATTCAAATTGAATATCTATCTAAGGCCGAAGTGGCTGAACTGGAAACATAGCTGATTTGGATATTTTTTCCAGTTCAACATTTGAGCTTGAAGTTTATTCTGAATCCCTGACAATACTCAATTTAGTGAAAAGCTCATATTTAGACTTTCATATATATATATATATTTTTTTAATCATCAAACGTCAGGTATTTGTCTCATCATGCACTACTTGACTTAAAATTCATCTACGTCCAAACAAAACGATCCATTTGGGATTTACCTCTGCGGTCTAATTCAATGAATAATCCCAAATAGATCATGTAATCGTTTCATATATCGTTTAAAATATTATAAATTTGCTTCGCCCATACCAAATGAAACACATTCATACACAAGTCTAGTGTTATTTTGGGGGTGTGGGCAAATTATAAAGCATATAATATACATTATCTAGTTATTGATGACAGTATATTAAATATAAAAAAATTACTACATTTATATATATGCAAACAGTTCAGGATTTACTCATTAAACAGTAACCTGAAAAATAAATGGCAAAATGAAGGCCGAAATAGCCAAGCTGTGTCTATAGATGAGTTGGCAAATGTTCCCAAATCAGTTATTTTAGCCAATATTTTGGAAATGGCTTTGAAATTCGCTACGGTCCACTGCTGAATGAATAAACCTTTGTGAATGTTAACTCCGTTCCTTTATTTAAAATAGACAGTACTATAAAAAGAATGAAATTTTGTGTTTTGCTCGCTGATCCCTATCTTACCTGCTTCTACTAAGAACACGGCATTCAGTGATTTCGCCAAAAACTTCAAACCTTCTTTTGAGCTCATTAGCACTAATGCTGTTGGAGAGATTTCTGATGTAAATTACACGGCCTTCGTCCTTCATAAAATGGAAAACAACACACATTACAGGTGAATTGTTACTTCTCTGGAAATTATACAATTCAATAAAATATTGAAAATCCCCTCTAACTTGCAATGAACTTTTTTATTTCACATAATTCTTTATTTTCATCTAAACTTTATCATCTCCTCCATAAGCTTTCTCTATGCTGACTACCAGGTGCAAAGGAGATAAAGCTAAGATGGTGGTACCCAGTTACGGAGTAAAAAAGTGTTTATTGCTACATTTAATTCTATTTTTCACATTATGCAAATACATATTAGTTAAATATTGGTTATGAGTAAAGATTATAAAAAAAAAAATCCTGCTATGTGACAGGTCTCCTTTAATGCCCATTATGTGTGGTTAAATATTTCCATTTATCATGTATTGCACTATCAATCTTCATATACAATTTGTATACAAGTTTCTTATAAATTGCTTCTAGTGCTGGCAAAACCTATAGTTTTAAACTACTTTAATAAATTTTGAGCGTATGTGCATATATAAATATATGCACATACGCTCAAAATTTATTAAAGTAGTTTTATATATATATATATATACACACACACGATACGTTGTATTTCCTCAATATTGAAGGAAAATATATTATGTATTGTCTTCCAGTTTAGTCTGCAGGGTGGGACAATACTGAAGATAAATGGAGAGTAAAAAAAAAATACTCTCCTGAATAATTTAATATGGTTTATGAATAGGAAAGAGGTAATAAGAGCCTTTCTTTATTAAACTTTTAATATATTTGGCTTGTAGCATTGTAATTTTAAAGAACATTGTACTGCTCAGCTTAAGTTCTACAAGTATAAAATATGAGCATTCAGCTGAGTTTTTAAAATAAACCTTTGACAATCTATTTCTAGCACTGTAGATAAATAAATGACGTGATATGCTGAGTGAGGGACTAGACCAGGCTTCCCCAAACTCCGGTCCTCCAGATGTTGCTGAACTACAACTCCCATGATTCTATGAATGAAATAGATAGGCTGAGAATCATGGGAGTTGTAGTTCAAGAATATCTGGAGGGCCAGCAAATTCTGTATTCTCACCTGCTCTCCCAGCCTATCATTAAAGGAGGGTAAATTAATTATCAAGAGCAGTTTTAAATAACAGCTGCTGCCTAGAAGTGGGAATCAGGCCAGAATATGCAAGGGATCTCTAATATTGAAAAAACCCATGTAATATGAATGATACATAATGCCAAAATAGGGAAAATATGGCTGTGGAGCCACTCATAAACCACTTGACTTCCAGTCTCATTGTTTATTATAATGTCTCCAGAATGTGATATTTAAAGGGACTTGTGACTACACTCTGTTAGACAAATCATGAAGGATGCATAAGATGGAGTTAGCTTTTTAAAGTATACTTTTTATTTTACTATTCAAATTTTCTGCAGGGACAATACAAGGCTTCTTTCTCGTAACAGATAGACACGTGATTATGTAGATATTTATAGAGTTCTCTTGAAATACATAGTTGCAGTGTAAATTGTTTTATGAGGTTGTGTTAGTTGTGATCCCTGTTAGAACAGTGTGTGTATTTCAATATATTGTGTTCAATCTGTGGGTGATGTCTGCAGGAATTAAAGGACGAAATGCCTGAATCAGAGTATATTTTCCTACATGTAAACAGTCTCAGTGTGACTTTCTGAGCCATGAGAAACACACACACAGATTGCACGCTCAGCGAATTTAGCACTTGTTACCTATTCTGCATCCAACGCCTGCTGTGTCAGGCAGGTTCACTGGCCTCTGGAGCATTTCTCTGCTTACCTAGAGGAAAAATGCTTCCAGCCTTCATTAAACTGTGACCCTGAACACACCACCTTTTCTAATTTCAAAGCTTTTATTTTTGCATCCATTGTGCCAATACCCCACATTCAGTCACGTAACTTTTTAATAACAGAATTAATCACTTGTCTCCATGAAGCAAACTATTAATAGAAACCGAGTAAATGCAGAAAATTTATTTTAGGTACTGTTGGATTAAAGGGACACTATAGGCACTCATCTCATTTAAGTGGTCTGGGTGCAGTGTCCCTGTCTCCTTAACCCTGCATTGTAAAACATTGGAGTTTCACAGAAACTGCAATAATGACATTGCAGGGTTAACTCAATGCAGTGATCAGATCATGCAGGTAACACAGTTTCAGTGCTCTCTGCAGGGTCTTTGTGCCCTGTGCATACTGCAAATAAGCACATTTGATGGGGAACATCTGGAAACAAAGTCGGGAAAGGACTCTGAAATCGGGACAGTCCCAATGAAATCGGGGGTGTTGAGAGGCATATTAAAGTTTGATGTGAGAGCATGAAAAATTACTTACAATTGCTTTTTGTCTCCTTTTTTGAATCTGCCTTTGGCTTAAGGTTCCAGTCTGGTGCTTCTCATTGCTCTCGACTCTATAAACAGGAAATGATAAAAGGCAAATGTGAATTTAAAAAAAGTGAAAATTATATATATATATATTCATTTATTCACATTGTGCTATTACGATTGAAGAAGTCTCTAGGCATATTATAAAGGAAATAAATGTAACAAGATAAATTACTAATTTAAAAACTATAACCGCAGCACTTAGAAATAACTCCAGGCCAATCTTTGTTTGGTCTATAGAACCTGTACAGCCATAGTGAACACTGCATTCCTACTCCTACCGCTAAGGCTTTACAGCGGTCTTCTGGGTCTACTATATGACCTTTTAACTCTGCATAGTGAGCGAAAAATGGGCATGTAATTTTTTTCACAAGCAAAACAAACAAAAAAATAACCTGAATTAATGCAACTAACTTAAGAACACTGAAGGACATAAAAGGGATAACAATGTGACAGAATCCATGCCTGACATGTATGTGTATTTCCTGTCAACCAAAAATAAAGAATTAAAGAATTAAAAAAAAATAATCAGATTTCTGGTTATTATATAATGTCTTTTAAATTTTACAAGCAATCTTGATCCTCTACACGAGTTAAAAAAAAATCAGTGTCTTTTATCTATAAACTCTCTCCTTTACTGTAGATGCTATTATCTCTCCCTAAACTTTGGTACAATCAATGTGTTTATTCTCATTGAAAGCTTGTTAGGTGTCTCTAATGAACTCATCAAAATAACTTTAGGATTTTTGATTATATATTATCTTGTCATACTAGCTGTATTAAAATCACGCGAGTTCCCATCATCAAAACATATATATTTTTCTCCATTCTCACTGTTGTATGAGGTTTTGAATAATGTTTGTAATGGTTTTCATAAAAAAGTAAAATCATGTTAATTTGTATTTTGCTATAATAAAGCCCACTAAATATACCTGTAAGTCCTCCTATTTTCTGGTGAATAGTGCCGTGATGATCGTGGACTGGTACGTGTCTGGGGATAGTACTGGAACTTGGATTTGGAAGGTGGGCTCATTGGAGGGCATACTTTGGTTCTGTGAGGAGTCGGGCAGACCGAGTCTTTTTGGGGAGAGCTGCTTTCACTGTCACTGTCCTCAAAAACAGAATCATATTCAGGACTGTTGCAGATACTTTGATTTTCTTCCTTTAGGGTATCATCAGGAAAGCCAAAGTGCTTGGTGAGACTTGCTCGGATTTCATGGTCCTTCAGGAGTTTGTTGCCTGCTTTATGACATCTGTCAGGTTTGTCTTCAACCTGTTTCTGCTGCTCCTGACTAATAGACAATGTTTCCTTCTTTTCCAGGTAGCCAGGCAGATCCAGAGATTTAACTTTCCTCTGAAAGCCAGTGTCTGGTTTTTTGACCATGCAGTAATCATGGTCTCCAAAGGATCTGGAAAATGGTCTCTTTAATCCTTGTGATTCACAATTTGCTGGAAGGTTCCCCGTCCGGCTCAAGTGAGCAAATAGCTCAGTCCTTTCTGGTTGCTTTTTTGTTTGCTTCCTGTTTATCAACACATGTTCTCCACTTGTCTCTATTTCGGAAGGACAAGAAATCAATGCTCCACTATCTACAGTGTCCTGATTAAGCTCGGGCTTGTAATGGTCCTCTTCTGGGGTTTTGTAAGGTGGGGTGGTTGGTGGTGTCAGGCCTTTATGGTAAATAATAGAAGACATTGCTTACATATTGCAAAATAAGCTATAGCTTTTTTTTTAGCACATAAACATACTAAATTTAAATACTTTATCAAACAAATTCCAGTTTAGTTATAAGCCTTCTACAGAATGCATACATCAGAGTCTTGACATTATGAAATATCTGTGATTGATCATGCAGGGCTTATTACAGCTTCACGTTTAAATCTCACAGAATAAAACACTAGTGTTTCAATAAAATGAAATACCTGCTGTTCCACATAGCTCGACGGCAAGTACTTGCTCAAAATTTCTCTTTTCGAATGTAGAAACACTGGAAATTAACATGAAAAAAAGAATGTGAATGTGGGCGACCACATGCAAAGTTTCAATGCTTCTAAAAGTCATTAAGATTTCACTAAAAATTAGTAAATGTGTGTTGGGATTATACTAATGTAGAACATGCAACTTCTCATATAGTCCACTAGAGGAAGCCCTGAGACGTATTTCAATATGTGTGCCCTAAAGTCAATCACTTTTTAGAATGCTAAGTCTGTTCTCCAAAATATGTGAGTTGCCAATGGAAAATGATGAAGATGTTAACTAGGTTGATGACTAACAAGTTCTACTTGTTCCCCTCCTAGGGACAATTATAATACATTCACTGCAAGTCACCATATTATATAAGTACTTAACCTTTTGCTACAATTTAACAACATTTCTGCATCAGGTGTAACAGAAAAAAAGGATTAATGTATCTTTTCATCCTATTTTTTTTGTTATGTGCTACATCATAATATAGATATATTATTAAAAAAAGAAGAAAAACCACACACCTGGAACAGAGGTTTAATGATGGGGGGGGGGGGAGGCTTATTAAATGATTATGGACCACCAGTTGAATCAGAGTGTATATTTAGAAACAATGCACAAATTGAAGGAGCCCTTATGGGGGGGAGGGTCAATTCTGGAGCAAAGTTCTAACAAAGGAACAATCAACATGATCCATCGGCTAATTTTCATGATTGCACCTATTCTTCTACAACTCCGGCACAGATGTACTCTATCAACATTCACTATACTGTATTTTTTTAGTAAAGCAAATTCTACAGAGATTGTTTGTAAAAAAATAAATAAATATATTGGACTGCTTAAAGGGACACTGTAGGCACCCAGACCACTTCAGCTAATTGAAGTAGTCTGGGTACTGTGTCCCTTTTGTACTTAGTGCTGCATTGCAAAACATTGCAGTTCCAGAGAACTGCAATGTTTACATGCAGCTCTAAGTCTGCCCTAAGTGGCTGTCTGCCAGACAGCCACTGGGGGCACTTTCGGAATCCTAACGGACTTTTGGTCCGTTATCTGACGCTGGGCGTCCTTATAGACCTCCAGCGTCAGATTTTCCCTATAGGAAAGCACTGAATAATGCATTCCTATGGGGAGGTCTAATGCGCGCGCGTGGCCATTGTCGCGCATGCGTATTAGGTCTCCCTCGCCAGCTGTCAGCAGGGGAGGAGCATGGGGGAGCCTGACCCAGCGCCGAGGGTAAGTGGCTGAGGGGCTTTTAACCCCATCAATCCCACAGGACGGGAACCCTGAGGGAGTGGGGTGGAGGACCTATTAACCCTATAGTGCCAGGAAAATGGCTTTGTTTTCCTGGCACTATATAATCCCTTTAAATATTCTTCATAAATACCTTTAACCCCTTAAGGACACATGACATGTATGACATGTCATGATTCCCCTTTATTCCTGAAGTTTGGTCCTTAAGGGGTTAAAGAAAGCACAGTGGGGTTAACATTGATGGTATAATCTGTCAGGGTTATTCACTAAAGTGAGAATTCAAATTTCATAAACAAGGTAAAAATAGCCAAACTGGAAACATTATCTAAGTCAGGTTAAATTTGAAACTCACTATAAATTAATTTTGAATTCTCACTTTAGTGAAAAACCTTGTAAGTCTCCAACAGTGATTCTTAAAGCACTTTAAAGGCTGTGATTAGACAGTCACAGAACATTTGAGTGGGCTTAGAAGGGGAAGATTTCAAAGGCAGCAGACAAGAGAACTACAGCTTTTGCAAGCTGTTTTAGATATACCCCGATGGGAAAAAAAATCATAATTAAATGCATGCATGTTTACATTTAGGGGGTATATCTACTAAGCAGTGATTTATTTATTATTATTATTATTTTTTAGCAGTTGGGAGCTCCTGTTAAGCACTGGATCAGAGGTGTTTTAAAGTGTTAGTGTTTTAAAGAGTAACCGTCTCTTTGATCAAAACTTTCATATTTTTTATTCAAAGGTCAAGCCATTATGTTTCTGTAATCATCTGAGAAAGCTGTATTATGGATCAATGAACCATCAATGTTCCCAGGCATCTGCATTATACATATTATAATATATATTACATATTCTCAAATGCAAATTGTAGGAATTATCTTACCTTTGTGACAGTGAGAGTGGAGGGCATCTGGGATTTTCTGAAAATGTAAAAGCACAAAGTTTTCATTTCAAAACAGAAGTAACAGAATGGAACCATTTTAAGCATAAATGATAGAAACAGTGGTGGAATGCGTTTTGTATGTATGCAAATATGTGCACCCACTTGTTACAATAACCGTGTTGGCTTTAATATTTCAATGACCTTAGCCATTTTTTCTGCAAAATTTGGAGGGGATATTTGTGCACCTACACTTGGTAGATTTATGCGTAGATTATTCATCAAACATTGAACTGTGGCCTCAGGGCTATTTTAATAAAGCAGGTCTCAGTATATACTACTCAACCAGCTATATCACATTTACCGATTGTGAGTAGGCATGTGGCAGTGTAAATGGTTAAACACATTTCTATAATGCAGTCTATCTTAAGGTAGATAGTCACTTTTGGAAAGTTAGTTTGGCCTAGCTATGCATGTCGGGACAGGATACTTAATTCACGTATATCAAGCAACAAACAAATGTTTTGTGATGGTTCCTACATGCAGAAATGCTGCATGAACACCCAAAATCCTGAAACTACAAACCTTTCCTCTAGTACAGTGGTTCCCAACCCAGTCCTCAAGTATCCCCTATCAGTCCAGTTTTTAGGGATTACCCAGTTGGGTCTACGGTGTTTTAGAAAGAAAAAAAAAACACTTTAGACACAAGAGGGTAATCCCTAAATCCTGGACAGGCAGGTGGTACTTGAGGACTGGGTTGGGAACCCCTGCTCTAGTAAATAGTATGGCCCATGGATGTTTTCCTGCTGTAAGAGCAACTACAGAGCATTTGTCTGTTTGTCAGCATAACGGAGGAGGTGTGCTCTACTATATTATCCCAAGCCAATATAAATTTACATGAGAAGAACACCCACAAACATGACATCATGGTGCTGCTTGTGGCATTGGTGAGGAGGTAAGTATTAAACTAGCATCTCCTATGCATTTAAAGATATAATGTATCACTATGACAAAGGCTATACTGATTACATATGGAGATAGCACTTAAAGTGAACCTGTCACTTAAGAGCTTCACTTTGCAATGCAAGAAATGATGTCTTAAGACAAATTATGAAAAAACCTGTTTGTCTAATGATCCATTTGACCTGTGTTTTACTCTTTGCATCATTCTAATGGAAGTTGATGATAATTATGTGTGTGCATTTACTAATTATCTATCCAAATTACCTGAGGGATGAAACTTTTGGGCAACAATGTCAGAATGTACTTCACAGGAGTCCCTTTCAATTTCATCTACTTTGTCCATGTTAAAGTCCACTTGTGCATGGGGATCACCTAATTCTCCCACTTCAAGCTCAGCCACCTGCTCTTCTTCAATAAAAGGTTCCTCTGCTGTTGTAAGTTTTAAGTCAGCTGTAGCCTTCTCCATACTCGTGTGTGGAAATGATTCATCGTCAAACATGAGCCATCCACTGAATTCTGGGTTTAATCTGCTCGACCGTCTAACGGCATAGACAGAGCTCTCTGGTTTAGGAGCTGATTTAACAGTCACACATTCTGGAGAAGAAATTGTTGGCTTTCCAGAAGTATCACGATGTCTGCTCTCTTTCTTAACAGTCAGACATGACTTGTGAGTTGTCCCCAATTCATTTTTTTTATTTTTGCCCAACTCTAGTTCTTCTTTCCCACTGGACAGATGACTGCCGCAGGAATCAGAGAATTCGGCATACACTGGTTGAGCCAATCTGTATGGCTTGCTGACATCTCCAGAAATGTCTTTTGCTAGAAGTTCTTTCAAGATAGAAAAACGTACTGGTTTTATACAATTATACTTGTCAGCCAAAGGGCGAATCACCTTGGTATTTCTGGAATCCACCTTGCTGGTTTCCTTTGAACAAGATATTTGTTGAGTAGACTCCAGTTTAGGTCTCTTTGAAATATTGTTCCAATGCTGGTGTTTGTCATTAGAATGTTGCTTTTTTGCCGGAAGGCAGTAGGTGTGCATATACCGAATAAGGTCTACCACTGCGCGCTTCTCACGCTCGCAGGTAAACTGTGGTTTCTTATCTTCTAAAGCAGAAGATATTAAGGAGGGCACAGAGTCATCATCACACTGTTCATCATCCTGTGAATCACTATCTTCTTCCTTAATACTGTCCTGGTTATTCTCCGTTGAAGAGAAGACTTTGGTCTGAGGGAGAGTTGTTACCAAATGCCTCTGTAGCTCCGTACAGCTTCGACTCTGAGCTGGTGGGAATCCAGGTTGTCTGTCTGTTGGGCTCTCTACCTGCATATTAAAAGCAATATATCCTAAGTGAATAAACTTAAGATAGAAGGGACAGAAATTCAACTTACTAATATGATGCAATCAAGATCTGCTGGAATCGGAATACTCAAAGCAAAAGGTCAAAGAATATAATGAGAAAGCTAATGCAACCTACTTTTCACCTACATCTTAACTCTTAAACTAGAAACATACAGATGGCAGTCTACACTGGAGGCAATCTTTGCTCATAATGCATTTTGTAGATAATGTATTATAAAAACATAATAAAAAGGTAATTACGTTTTTTTTATTGTATTTTTTAATTATCACTGCTCAAGGGTCCTAGTACATTCTACACATCTTTTCAACATGATGTTCTAATGCACCATTCTATTCTAACACTATGCCCAACCATAAGCAGCATAAATTTCCTTCCATGGCTTCTAAAAGATATTATGAAGAAATCTCAATTTTATTAAAAGTTGTTGTTTTTTTATTCCTTTTTTTTTTTAATCTCAACTGGTTCAGAACCAGTCACCTAAGCCTACCAATCTCATCTGATAATAGAAGAATTACTCTTATTCAGATAATATTGCAAAGGGCTGTGGAATATATTGGCACTATATAAATGCCAATAATAATAATAATATACAATGCTAGTACATCTGTTTTCTTCAAAGTTAATATCCAGATATTAATTAAAGGGACACTCCACTGCCCAAATACAAAATAAGTAAAAAAAAAATAATTGTTTAGTAGAAACACTCCAAATGAAAACTGCAGTTTTCTTGTCTGCTGCCTTTGCAAGCCCTCTTCTTCTAACTCCGCCCAGACTTTCTGTAGCTGTCCAATCACAGACTTCTCAATGTAGCTCAATGAGAAGTATTTGCAAGGCAGGTGCTCTGGGCAATTGCTGCCTCATGAGTTTAGCTCCACCGAGCAAACCAAACCAGGAAGTAACAGGACCTGTTGTCTGATTGAGAGCCATGGGGGTGTAACCAGGTTAATTTATTAAAGTGTCAATTTCTATTGAAATCTGCACTTTCTGCAAAATAAAAAAAGTAGGATACATAAAGCTGTTTAGCAAGTTAATGCGCTTTAGGGGTCTGGCGTGTTCCTTTTAAATAAATCCACACTGCATGTATGTGCTTAGAGATATTGTACTTTTGATCATAATCATGATTAGAAGGGTTTTCTTTTTGAAAACCGTAACTAGCAAAGATATTTTCTTACAGCCTAGTGTACATAGGATGGGATATGTGGCACACTTGTAGGTATTGATAGTTTAAGCAGTGATTAGGCTCTGATTAGCATTGATACTGTAGCTGTTTTACTGAAGTGGGAGAGCAATCAGAGATAATGAAGAAAGCTCTCCACTTTAATGGACAATAAATATAAGAAATTTACTTTTTTATTTAAATTCAGCGATTACATACACTGTAAACTGTTAGTGGAAATTCAGAACTGAATCATATTTTATTTTAAGCATACTTTCAAAGTTGTATGTTCTGCCCTAGAATATAACAAAGAAAATCACCTCAAAACATACCTTTGAGCATCCTCTCTGAGGACGGAATTTGGAAGTTCCTTGGCGCCGAGTACAGCCATCATTCTGAGCATCATTACTCACAGGCATCTGAGCTGGAGAAAGGAGTAACTTCTTCAGCTGTAAAACATTATGCGAAGACACATCAGATTCTATTCAATGTAATCGGCACGCATGCACATATATTGACATTCAATGCATACATTCACTACTTTCGAAGTCGGTCAACGACAACCCAAGTAAAGGCTTACACAGATGCAAGTGCAGTCTAGCTGCAGCAAAGCTAGAATTGCCTCGAAGGGCATTACACTACCCTTTTAGCAAAGCTAAATGCAATGATATGTTGGAATGCTTGCTCTCTCAAAGTAACTAATGTTTGTCAACCACCCTATGCTTGATGACTAACCTCTGGAACTCCAGCTGTTGAGTACCGTTTCCAGTGATGCTCAGATTGCTGAATGGATGGCTGAGTATCTTGGAAAAATAGGCCACAACAGCTGGACCATCAAAGGTCAAAGCCGCTTTCACTGTTGCACTTGCTCCATAGAATATCGTAGGTCAGAGAGAGGTTTCAAGTTACACTCAAGCTAAGGAGGCCATCAAACATCTTAACAGTCTGATGATGTCTAGAGTTATGGAAACGTCTATCCTTAAAACGGCATAAAGCCGGCAGAAACATATTCAGTGAACAAGCATGGTGCTTGCATCCAAATGATTTATTAAACACATTAATTTACAATGGCATGCTGTGTGAACTGTTTCAATTACAGTTTACTGATTTGAAGCTATTGAAATTTATTTTTAAACAAGATATAATTCTTCAATTACAGGCTCCTATTGCAATATAAAATCTCTCAACATGACTAGGTGCTTTAACCATTTCACACAAATTAAAAATGGACAACCTAATTATAGAATTTATGTGTGTCTGTAATAATAAATAAATGTTTATTATACCTCACAACACTCCATGTGTGCACATTAATTTATTACAAAGCTCATAACTGAGCTTATGCAAATAGGTATTAAAAATATGTATACTAAAATTGAAAGTTTAATATACTTTTATTACTGGTCCCCCAGTAATAAAAGTGTAACTAAATTAGAAAACATATGGGCGAGTGTATACACATGTTTTTTTACAAAGAAGGAACCAGCCGGAATACACCTCCATCCAATCACAAATAATATCTGCACAAAATATTTATTATCTAAATAGAAAATGGAATGTGTTTCAATTTGTCTACATTCAGTAAAGTACTCATTTGTGAACACCTGATAAATGAGCCTTATCATAAGACAATTTGTCAATGTTTTACTAGTGGGTAATATGAAATCATTTGGATGCACGGCTGACATGCTAGATGAAAAGTATAAATTAAAGGGAACCATTCTTTTGTGATATTAACAAAGGGAAAAAAATGCTTGGATGAAGCGAGTCTATTTTGCCTGAAATTTTTTGCAAAAAGATTGTATATATGGCCATCAAGCTATGTATACGCCATGTATACACCTTATTAACATACAGCCTGCATTTGTAACAGTTGTTGTTTATCACTGCTCTAAAACAACTATCGTGCAATATGTATGTGGACAGACAGATATGGGCAGATGATGAATGCCGTGCTCACTGTAAATGAAATAATGTACAGCTATATAGCCACTAGATAAAAATTAGATAAAGGCACTCATGAGTCTTTAGAAAAATAGGTGTTTCAAAAATATTTATATATCTTTCCAATACAGACTGGTCAATGTGACAATCTCTAATCAGACTGAAAGACTGACCACTTATGTATGAGAAACCAACCTGAATTTATAATTTATTGAAAGGCCGAAGAGTGCTCTACATGTACTTCATTTTTACTTCATGCATGTAAATATTGTGTGCGTTCATATCTACTTATGCACATGTATGTACAGACCTTATTAATGATGCCATATAGGTGAATACTACATTATTTTTAATTCTAAATAAAACTCATTAAGGACAGAATGTTATATTTTGCTATATCCTATCTTGGTCCATAAAGATTCTATGCTCGCCTGCAATGCCCTGTTTAATTAGAATCTATAGAACTATACAGCCTTGAAATTGTTAAATGGATCATTCTGTTCTGGAATAGTACCTTCAAACAGTGTTGGTCCTTAAGGGGATAAATTCATTAGGGATAAAATAGTTTAATCTGCCGTTTTTTAGAGACCCAAAGTTGCAAAGGTGACGGGTATGGGTTATCTCAAAATATTTATTATAAAAATTTCATATCTATTCATTAATCAGAGTCTTAAAAAACATAATGGTTTCAAATTTACTGTGGTCAAAATGTCTAGTAAGGTTCTTTAAATCAAGCAAGTTTTCCTCTTTCTATAATGAAGCCATAATTCCCATGTAGCTATAAAAATGACATGTATTATGAATTTGACACAGACTCAAGAGTCTTTGTCAACTTTGTATACAGGTTGTATGGGCTGGATCTAGTATGTATTAACTATTACAAATACATGACTAAAAACAACTTTCTTACAATATCCCACAATCACACTGGCACACATCATTCAATGTCATTAAAAGAATTGCCATGATCTTTGAAAAAAATTGAACATGGCTATGGCAAAATACACATTACCACTAAATATATATAGAACTTATATAGAACATATATGATGGCTCTATTACAATCATATATGCATACATGAAATGCAATAAATAAAAACACACAGAATATATTGGATTTTATAAAATTCACCCTGATTTATATTAAAAGATCAGTATGTTATCTAATTCTTAAGCAGTGAATAATGCCTCTATTTTGGGATCCATGTTTGTGCAGGTTTCATATGTGTTAAACGTGGCCCTCAAGTGTCGCAATTAAGACAGCGTGTTAGGTTTTCTGTAATTAACACGTAATTACACAATTAAAATTCTGGATATCTGGTTGGGAAAGATCTCTCATCTGCACAGAATCCCACAACAAAGACATAGTATCTTTCCTTAAGAGGCAGAACCTACAGCTAGCAATGGAACTACGACAGCTACTTGGGTTTATACGGCACTTCCTAAAGTGTCGCTGCGGAAGTGGTGCGGTTCCCCCCCTGAGAGAATCGCTGTGTGTCGGTTAAAGATAAATACACATTTACACATATAACATATGGATGAGATTTGTATAATTTTTTAAAGCCTTAAATGAAAAAATTCAGACCTTTGTTGCCTATCATACCCATGCAGGCGTCTATTCAGGGTTCTCATCCATTTCCACTTTAAACAGTAGGAAGTGGTTCTTACTATAGACAGCTTATCTTCATTTTCTGGACTCTTAGGGGATTCAGCTTGGAAGCTGGGTTTGGACAGAAGATCAGGTAAGGGGCAGAAGTCCCCATCTCCAGAGGATATGAAGGCAGACAAGCTGATATCATCCTCCTGCATATCATCCAATGTCTGTGTGAGGGCTTCCAGCAATGCCTCATTTTCACTGTCTATAATCTGAAGGTAGAAAAAAAGGCCATTAGACAAGTGAAGAGAAGACATTTTGATTTCATTCAAAACAAAGCTATTCATGGGCTGTTTAAAGGGATAAAATAATCTACAGACTTCTACCTGATGGGCTGCATTCATAAAGTTCACGCCTACATAGAATTCTGAAGGGTGACCTTCTAGCCAAACGTGAGGTAGGAGAAATTGCTGCTACCTCTTTTACAATATTCAATTAATTCTCAAAAAATGGGAGTGGCCTATGACATAGGAAGAATGCTTATGCTATGTACATATATGGTCATGCGAGTACGTACAAAACACCCAAATACCTGTAAGGCGTTTACGGTTATATTACTCCTATGCATAACCAAAACACCAGCAAATATGCAGAGAGGTAAATAATGTTTTGAGTATTCCGTAAATATTGGAGTATACTTTTGTACTCAACAGCTGGAGCTTACAAAGTGATTAACCATAAACATTACAAAAGTTTAAAAAAATAACTGTACATGCTCTACTGAATCTCAATCTTTTGTTCGCCAATAGTTAATGGCCTTGAGAAATGCACCATAAAGTATTGGCTCACACCTCTTAATTATTCAATTCAAATGTTTCAATCAGACCCATTGCCACAGGTGCATAAAAATCAAGCCCCTACCCATGCAGCTTGCACTTACAAACATTTGTGAAAAAAAATGGGTTCGCACAGTGAATTCAAGCTTGGTACTGTGATAGGATGTCCCCTTTGCAATAAGTCAGTTCGTGACATTTTATCCCTGCTAAATATTTAATTGTCAACTGTAAATGGTATTACTGGAAAGTGGAAGTGTTAGGAACAGCAGCAACTCAGCAGAAGACGTAGTAAATGCACAGTGCAGGGTTACCGAATGCTGAGACACATGATGAGTAAAAGTCACCAACGATCTGCTGATTCCATAGCTGAAGACTTCTAAAATTTCACTGGCATTAATATCAGCACAAAAACAGTGAGCTTCATGGAAGTGATTTCCATGGCCGAGCAGCTGCATTCAAACCTCACATCACCAAGTACAATGCCATCAAGTGGTGTAAATTATGCTGCCACTGGACTCTGGAACAGTGGAAACGTGTTCTGTGGAGTAACGAATCACGCTACTCTGTTTGGCAGTCTAATGGGTGAGTCTGAGTCTTTTGGTGGATGCCAGGAGAACGTTACTTGACCGACTGCATTGTGCAAACTGTAAAGTTTGGTGGAGGAGAGATAATGATATGGGGCTGTTTTTTAAGAGTTATGGTAGGCCCCTTACTTCCAATGAAGGGAAATCTTAATGCTTCAGCATACCAAGACATTTTGGACAATGCTATGCTTCCAACTTTGTGGGAACAGTTTGGGGATTGTCTTTTTCTATTCATGCATGACTGTCCCAGTACACAAAGCAAGGTCAATAAAGACATGGTTAGATGAGTTTGGTGTGGAAAAACTTGACTGGCCTGCACTTGACTCTCCTCCACCAAACTTTACAGTTTGCACAATGCAGTTGGTCAAGTAACATTTAAAGTTTTTTAAACCCCTTCAGCACCACGGGAGGGGGACCGTGAGGGTGAGGGTCCCCCAAGGATGTCATAGTGTCAGGAAAATGGGTTTGTTTTCCTGACACTATAGTGATCCTTTAAATGAAATGGAGACTGCGAGCCAGGACGTATTCTCCAACATCAGTCTCAGATCTAATCCAGATCTACTGGATGAATGGGCAAATATTCCTACAAAAACTCTCCAAACCCTTGTGGAAATCCTTCCCAGAAGAGTTTAGAACTGCAAAAGGGTGCAAAGTACATATTAATGTCCAATGTATTTAGAATGCGATGTCATAAAAGTCACTGTTGGTGTAATGGTCAGGTGCCCCAATTCTTTTGTCCATATAGTGTACCTAAATAGTACTAAAATATTCACAGTAGGCAGAAAAATCTCAGTAAGCTCGTGGCAATTTTATTAGCTGTTCACATGAGACATATTGTACTACACTGTTTTAGATCCTGAAATATTATCACTTAAAGCTGAAAAAGAAATAAACAGTACGCTTACATTTTATGTTTACTTCCCAAATCTTTCATGTTTATGATTCCCCAAACCCCCACTGGATGAGCTGCTGAAAGTTGACTCTGGGGTTAAGAGAACATCAAAATAGAATTGATTGATTATTCTGTGTAGAGGAAAAACAATGCTTCTGTCTGACTCAAGTACAATTTCATTTCAAACCTGAATTATTGTCCAGAAAGATGGCTTGTGCTAGGGGCAGGTTACATATATTTTTTATATATATGCTCTATCTATATACTTGTTTTTATTTCCTATAAGTCTACATTGATACATTTTGGCGCAGCCTTGCACTACTGTTGTTATTTTCTACTCTTATGCTAGAGGGTTACCCTCTGCTAGGCCGCTGCCTACCTATTCCTTATTATTATTATTAGCGCTGACCTCTTAACTTTTCACATTTTGTGCTAGGGGCAGACTAGTGGTACCCAGGTTCCAAACTCCCTGCAGTCATTTGAAACCACTGCTACAGTCTATCAAATATTACAGATGTGCTACTTAAGGAACGGTCAAGACAACAAAATATAATATTAGTGGAGTACTGAGTAACTAAACTATAATTAAATCTCCACTATTTTTAACCTAGACCAGGTATTTTAAAAACACACGTACTGAAGTCTGTGTGTGTTTGCGTGCGTGCGTGTGTATATATATATATATATAGATAGATAGATAGAGAAAGAGAGAGAGAGAGAGAGACAATGAATTTATGTGTAATATCTTTTTTAATGGTTTCTCTGAGAGAAGATCAGCGAGTCCTGACTTGCCCATCTTACAATGTGAGACCATCTAAAAGTTCCCCCAATGTTTTTCGTATTGAATAAGACACCATAAGGACTATGTTGAGAACTCTTTTCAGCACATATCTTGTGTCTGGACAGATTCATCATGTTTATTGTCTGAGTCAACCCCTGAACCAATGATGTAAACGTAAACAGAGCGATGAGTACTAGAGCAAGGTTTTTTTATTTTAAAGATTTTCTTTTGAAACAAAACAACAAAACAAAAAAACATCACAACAAATTAAATGGGAATTTGTTACTAAATATGGCAAGAAAAAAAAAATGAAACACATGATACATTGAGATTTATTTAAAAATATATAAACGTTCACTGCTGTTTATTCATAACTACTAATAGATGTCCCCAGTAGACCTGAAACCAAAACAGGCTTCCGAGTAAAATGCTGAAATCCTAAACTAAAAAGAGAAGATCTGGACATACCTGGAACAGCTCGGAGTCGTCAGTGCTGTATTGGCTGGACTCGTTTTCAGAGTGATTATTACACCACTGCAACTCATTAAAGCAGCTGTTAGAGTCAAAATCGCTTGCATCCAACTGGGACAGATCAATCTCAGGGAAGTCCAGTGAAAGATTCCCCTCTCCAGGCTCCTGGGAAAGAAAAAAAAAAAGAATAAAACATCAAATGATGAAAAATAAATAGCATATCCTATTAACAACATATCAGCCCCATTTTTCAATAAGTAACATACCTATCAAAACAGGGACAGTCAAAATGGTAGTTCTCTAGCTAAGCATTATGGGAGTCGCAGGTCTGGTAAAATGGTTAAATGCGGCAAATATTAAAGTATATGCATTTTATGTATTGTTTTCTGAGGCGGGTTGATATTCTTGCGCAAAAAAAAGGCCTAAGTGCCCTGTACAAATGTTATTTAGTGAGATTATCAATTTCTTGTGAAAATTAGTTTTCTTCTACATTTATCATTTAATACATCATAACAAACTCCACCAGCCACACTTTGGATTCATTTTTCTAACCCCAACAATCGGTTTGGGATATCTGGTATCAACAGTACAAGAATCATCTAAAACTGTAGGCTTATTCCCTCAACTGAAAACCTTCGTGATAAACTAATTAAAAATTTCAGGCCAAAATAGCCAAGTTGTTGTTATAGTATTTTAGGAGTAATTTTGGCCCACATTTTTCAATGAATTGATTTATAAATAAACTCCTGTGTGTTGGAGATGACGTGCAGCCAGTGAGATCTGGTTAGCAACTGGTTATGTAGTTAGAGAAGGGTATTTTAAGCATCCACATTTATTCAGCATTTTTTCAGCTTAAAATCTACCTAGTTCTGAAAAGCCATTTCTATTCTTGTCCTAATGAATGACTCCAGTAGATTAACACACTTTTGATCCTCTCACTGATTTAAACGCCTCTATGACATCCATCATTGACATTAGAGGTGATGCTGTATCTTTTGGATTAGCACGTACGTAAAGTATCGCAAGTACCAGTGCTGAGTTTCACAAACTTAGAAGATACTTCAAGCCACTTATGTCCAGATCCTCTATGATGTAAATAGTATATCTCAAATCTAATATGCATCTTGTCACGTTACAGAAAAGCAACAACAGTAATAATCTGTATTTATAATACAGTGATTTAGTTTCTTTTTAAAATCTATAGACTGTAAACTTGTTTGAGCAGGGTCCTCTTCAACCTATTGTTCCTGTAAGTTTTCTTGTAATTGTCCTATTTATATTTACATCCCCCCTCTCATAATATTGTAAAGCGCTACAGAATCTGGTGGTGCTATATAAATGACAATAATAATAATAAATAATAATAATAATAATAATAAAATGTAAAAATGTCCATGTGTTCAGTTCTGTCTTGTTACCATGCGTATTCTCCTTGTGGTGAACGATATTCGCTAATGTCTATATTAATTTTACCAGTCCTATCACCATAAACTTTACATTGAATTCAATATTTTGTTTGATTTTTTTTAAAAAAATTTTTTTTAAACGTTTGTAAAAAAAAAACATTTTCTATGATCCCCATTCAATCTAATGAAAAAAATGCAGATATTTTCTTTGATCAATTTGTGCTTAGATAAGAATGTAAATCTGATTTAAAGCTGTGCTAAAAAAAATCAAAAAAAATCATAGATTTAGATGATCAATTTAAATTAGGTTTGTCGCTGCACATTAGATCACACCATGCAGGGCTGAGAAGACATGCTATTAGATCGATTAAATCTGATATTTAAATGAACAAACACAACGCTCAGTTAAACATTTCTGTCATTACCTTGATTAAACATTCATACCTGGGAATATACAGCACAGTGCCTTGCATATTCTGACAAAAATTAGAAGGGATATATTGTGCTAAGCCTGTCTATGTATCTATGTATCTACATGTCTATATAGAATTTTTTAATGACAAGCTTTTGGGAGAACCTCCCTTTCTCAAATCTGAAGCATTTCTGAGCAAGACGACACATAGAATTCAAAGTTGAATTCAGGGGCTAAAGCTACATGAGTGCAGATAAGGTTTGATAGAAAATAGACAACCTTCTTGCAGAGGGTCATAAATATCTTTCTGAAGATCAGAGTGAGGGGGGAGAGGGAGATTAAAAAAAAAGCAGACAGTGCAGAAGATGATACACTTTATACATATATATATATATATATACACACACACACACACACAAACGCATAAACCCAAATCAATATTTAGTCCTCTATTCTTGCTGTTAAACAATTTGATCATTCTGGCTTCAAAGGTTTTTCTTTCTTGGGTATTTTTAAAACCCCCTTTTAGTACTTTGATTTTTAGGTCTTTCACTGAGTGGCCAGGCTGGGTAAAGTGGTGTCCCGCAATACAATACAAACATTATATACCTATAAATAAAGTATCTACCTGTACGTAACTAATACATTGTACAGTACACTGGCCACTGGTGAGACAGGATTCACAAAAGCAATTTGCAAAGCTCAGAGTCCTGTACCTCTGTGACCTCTATCATCCAAACAGCATTGTTAACTAGAAAAGCTACAATTTCTGGGGAAATTGTGTGAAGTGTTGCCCCCACCAGTAGTCTACAACTGGAGTGGGCGGAGTAACTGTTATTATTTATTTATATAGCACATTTAATTGCAACGTTGTTGCCCAAAGTGCTTCACAGTTACATTAAAACATACATTTATAAAAACATTAGCAGGTGTACAAAAGGCCCTGTCTATGACATCACTTGCTGCTGCAGCCTGGCACAGGTCAGAGTATTTTGGTGGTTGCCATCTTCAAACGGTCGTATTTCAGAAACGATACATCCTACAGCGAAGAGCTTTATATTGTGAGAATCACAAGACCCAGACCTACATTTTGATGCATAGTATGTCTCTGAAGTGTGGTGGAGGTGTGGTGAAGAGTGGTGGCAGTTTAGAAATCATGTCCTGATTTTTCAGCTTTTGCCAGCTCCCACTCTAGTTTTGAACATTTTGCCATTCATTCCTATGGGACTAATTTCGCCACAAGAAGACGATATTCCGTGAACCATCCGGCGAAACGTTCCACAAAGTAATAGCAATCCCATCTGGAACAATCCACACGTTTCGGTATATAACTGTCTATGTAGTGTAAAAACTGTGGGAGGAGTTAGGGTGGTAAATTTGGCTATAATAAGAATAAGAATAATATATATGTGAGATAACATTAAGTGGTCTTGCTATGCAAGAACACTTAATTAATGATGTCAACCTTCCTCAATGACACGATTGAAATTGAGACAAAAATTAAACTGCAGAGACACTATAGTCACCAGAACAACTACAGCTTAATGTCGTTTTTCTGGTGTCTACAGCCTGTCCCTGCAGGCTTTTTAATGTAAGCACTTTGCCTAGGAACACCTCTAGTTGCAGTCACTTAGATGGCCACTAGAGGTGCTACCTCCACGCACTGCATGGAGATGCAGAATGCTCCCCATGGAGATGCAGGGATTCAATGCATATCTATGAGGAGATGCTGATTGACAAACAGATCTCCCTTTATTGTTCCTTTTTTGACATTCTATATTACAGAAAAACATATAAGCATATGATATCACAACCTAGGGCAATTTATCTATAATAGTAGAATCTGGTGGGATAAGTAATCTGTGTGCATAATTTACTGTTCTTTTGTTTAGATCAGCAGGGATTTCATCAAAGATCCTTTCTATTACCTAAAAATATACAACCGGAGAGTATAAAGGAAGTGTTCTAAATTACATGTTATAATCCTGATTTTAATGTAACAAAACACATGTATGTCAATACACAGAGCTTAACCATAAAGTGACAGACACTAGGCAGCTGCCTAGGGCCCAGGGTTTAGACAGGGTCCCTGGAACCATTATATTGCTATGGCTATTCACCATAACTATTTGAATGTCAATCCGGTACCCTGTTTAGGCCCCTCTTAATCCTTCTCAGACAACGGGTGAACATATTGTGTGGGATTAATAAGGAGTTCCGAAGACGAAAATGAAAATTACATAATATAATTTCAAATAGTCAATTCCTTTTTGTTAGCATTCTACAGAGGACTAGTGCTGTGAGGACCACTTATTAAAGTGCTGTGACAGTTCAGTAAGAATACAAATGGGCTCTGGTGATTAGGAGATAATAAATATTATTTTTTTAAAAACATAATATAGTTGAGTTTTTGAAATATGGGCATATATTCTTGGTCAATTAGCTACAGACATGCAAGCTTTAATTAATGCTTGGTGGTGAAATACACTCACTTAAATGGGCTTTATACTTTATCATGTAACTCTATATTTTGTGAAACGGAGATTTTATTTTTCCTTATCAAGCACAAAATTATTGTTTGCATCAGCAATGGATCACCTTGGCACCATAAATATTTGTGAACGACATATTCCATTACACACACTTTTTCTACTATATTTTGAAGGTCAACAAATGTATTATTGCTTGTTAAAAAAATATATATAAAATTACAAACGCGGTTTTCAAAAAGTGTAAGCATCTTACGAAGGAGTCTTCAATTAGAAAATGTATGAAGTTCAAAGTGTTTACAGCATTCTTTGCACCTAAAACAGTGCGTGAAAAAGGTGCCAGGAAATCTAATTATAGGCAAATTTACGGTTTCTCATTAACAGTGAGAAAACGTTAACGCAAATCTTCGATGAGAATTTGTATTAGTCATTTTAACAACACTGGCATAAATGCCACAAAAACTCAGGGCAAGAAGAAGGAAGGAAGAATGGATGGATATTGGCTAGTCTAATGCATTAAACTAGCTTCTAGTACTCACAAATCTAGAAGGATGTCTAGAAGTGAGCTTTTTGCACCACATCCCTGCTCCCTCCTTTCTTGCAAAGCACAGAGATGGATAGAGTGTGTAGGACTCAGCTCTCTGCTCTGGGAACACAGCTAAATATATCTTTCTAATTACAGAAAGCAGCTGGTACCTACACTGGCTGTTTCCTCTTCAATCTCACTGCCTGTTTGCATTACGTAAAGCAGGAGGTGTATGTGTAAAACAAGACTGGAGGATGCTTCATATTTTGAACTACCCAGAGCAGTGTGATTCTAGCTGCCAACAGAATCTTGACTAAATGAAAAAAATAACAAAGAAAAGGAAAACATTTGGCTTGAATGCAGGCACTTGTACAATGCAATTCCAAATTTTCTTCAGATAAAAAACAAAACAAAACCAGTAATTTGTGCATATTTTTACGATCTGTAAATATACGTATTATATTCTTCCATTCTATAAGAAATGACAATTGCACATAAATCTGTCTTAAGAACAGATAATCATATAACAAATTCAACCACTCTGCCTTTCTTATGATGATGAGAAAATGGCAGTATATAAAGAGTTGTGTTTGTGAATTGTGTGTCACATGTTTGGCATAAATAGCCAAAAGACAAATGTATCCACTGATGCATCTCCGTGGTAACACTGCAGTGTGTAGTTTCAATTCACAGACAAAAACAAAATAACAAAAAAAAAACCCTGTAACTAAGTCAGTGATTGTCAGATCTGCATGCTATGGCTACGCCATTAGCGCTTGGCTAAGGGTCTTTTTAAAATATATTATTAAATACTAAAGAATTAATCCCCCTCCAAAAAACAGACCTATTATTAAATATGTTTCTGACACATCCTGTAGTCTGCCCCAATATATATGGTTGCATAAAAGATATGTTAATATCAACTAAAACGTTATCTAATTAAATTGTGTTGTGTATCTATATATTATACATACATACACATATAAGTATGTGTGTGATTTAGAATGTTTGAGCTCAGTAAACAGCAACACTAACATTTATAGATGCTAAACGATATGTATTTTTCACGGTTGTATGGACAGGGTTTCCACATTGAGGCAATGTTAAAGGGACACTACCAGGTCTAAAGCACTTTAGCTTGTGCTTTGCTTGTAAAAAGTGTGTCCTCTTTTTTTTGTTTATAATGTACAAATTGTTGTTACACCCCCTGGCTGTCAGACAACTGGTCCTGTTACTTCCTTGTTTGGTTCGCTCAATGGAGCTAATCCTGCCTTGCAAAGACTTCCCACTGAGCTTCATTTGAGACAAATAAAGTTTGGGTGGGTTTAGAACCCCCTTCTAAACCCACCCCTTGCAAAGGCTGCTTTTAGATCTACCTCCAATGAAAATAAAATGTATAATTATATGCATGCATGTTTTGTTTGTGGGCATATGTACTAAACATATAGTTTTCTTTTTAACAATGGAGTGTCCTTTTAATCTCTCTGCATCATTTTTATTGTACAGTGTCTTCAAATAATGGATTAATGTGGATAACCCTGGGTTGCTCGACTTTGATGAGCTCCGAGGATTAAATATTGGACTCTGGTTGTCTATTACCTGTGTAATTATATTACAGTTTCAAGAGTGTATCAGAGTGCAATGTTTTATACTCAGATACACTTTATTTTACAGTTTCACGAGTGTATCAAGTACTAGTTTCTCCGAACGCGCAAGCATTTTCCTTTGTACGCTGATGAGGTTGTTACTATGCATCTCAAATGATAAAAGAAAAAAAAACCTCTTTATTGACAAACAATTCAAGTAATTGCTTATGTAGGTTTCAGTGACGTGAGTAGACTTGAAAAAATTCTGATGGTGTAAGCGAAAGGAAACAAACGCAATTATAGACTTCTGGTAGCTGGCTAGCTGGCTATTATCTGCCAGGATCCCAAAGATTTTTTTTTTTTATTCCCCCTGCCTTCAATGCATATAGTAACAAACAGGCACAGTGACTGGAAACTCAAACATGTCCCAAACAAGTGCGCGTAAATACACAAAATAACCTCTGCAAATAGCACTGCTGTCTAATGTCCTAAAGCGTCTCTTGCAAAAGCAAAGGTTTTACTGTTACTGAAGGCAAGCGATTGTTCCCATGTGAGGCGAATAAGATGCAGTGCTAAAAATAAGACACAGTGGGGTATATTCACTTAACAGTGAATTGTGATGTGCTGACAACATAGTTCAAAATGTAGTCCTTATCAATAAAGGGGGGGGGGGAATCCACTGTTTAGTAAGTAAACCACTATGTGCAACCATAATCATTGACGCCACTGCAACAAACGTACTTAGGAGTTTCACGTATTTTTTTATTCCTTACAAGTGTCACCCACTCAGTTCAATTATACCCCTAAATATAGATGGCTAAATATAGCACCGTTACCTGTCTTTAAAACCATGACTAAAATTTTGCGTTCACTTATCAATTGTAAAGCAGCCTGCACTTAAGATAAAGGATCGTAAGGAACATTAAATGGAAATTGCGAATGCATTTACACACAATGAGTGACTCCAAGCCGGAGACATTTTGTATCTTTTAGGAATTAAATGCATAATGCAAGGACAGAATACTGTCTGCATCCGACATCAGTAAATCGAGCCAGAACAGCATTGTGCAAATATCTGAGAATTAGTGTTATTCCCAGTGAAACCAAGGATTAATAAAACACGTACAAATACAGACATGGCAGAGAGCTGACTTTTCAAGTCAGGGTGACTGAAATATAATCGGTATTAATTAGATTAAAATAACTTCTATGATTAAAGGCCTATAATGCATGATGGATGTTATTGTGTAGAAGACCTAGAACAGTATAAACATTCATACCAGTCTTTCATAAGACTTGGGTCAGGACCCAGAATTGGGTATTCCTTCTATTGTGCTTTAAGGAACAGTATACCGGAAATTGCTTATGGTAGCACAATGCATTCCCTGGTGCTTAGGAGAACCCATTTGCCACTGGAAAGATGTCCTGCAGAATTTATCTTAGCATAGATTATATTCCTCTCAAAAAGTAGGTCACAGAGCTAATTTTACAACTGAAGAATGAGTCATCAAGCTAATGAAATGTTCGTTTTGGGTCCTTGACTGGTTTCTAGATATCCTCGCATTTCACTCCTTCGGTATTCCTGCACCATTGCATGATTCTGTTTGGCATGTTTTTGCTCACGCCTGTTTTAACAAGTTAAAGGAACACAATTGCGTTAGGAATACACAGTTGTATTCCTAACGCTATATAGTGTTCTGGTGGTCATTTAGATCCACAGCCTCCACCTGAAGAAAAAAAAAAGGTAATCACTTACCTTTTTCTCTCTTCCAGCGCTGGATTCGGCACTGCTATCCTGCCTCCTTGGCTGAGATTATCGAGATCGATTAGCTCAGCAAATCCAATTCTTATTAAGTATTACTGAGTATTGGGAGGCTAGAGCGTAAGCACGACAAAACGCCATGCTGCACCAATCAGATTATCTCTTGCGCTTCTACTAGCTGTCTGAATGACAGCCACTAGAGGTATTTAAACCATGCGATTTAAATGGTTTATGTTCTGCAGAGATCATCAGGGTTAAAAAAGGCTGGCTGATTCAAACAGCAGGGTTAAAAAGGGAGGGGGGGCATTGAAGGGCCCCCCTATAGTGTCCCTGTAAGACCTAATAGGTATGACTGTCTGCTGTACATTTACTTTTTGTAGCATCCTAGGAAACATTTTGGTATACCTATTGGACCACTAATATAAAAATATGTGCAAAAGAAAAATAATATTTAGTGACAAAGTCTTACAAAAAAATCTATTTTTTTTTACTATCTTTATTTTTTTTATATGGCATTATAAAAGCATGTAAACCATTTGTGCTTCAACAGCGTTGACAATTGTTTCAGAGGTATATGTAGGAGAACAGGATCATAACAAGGTAACGTGTCACAATTGGATCCATTTGCGATACATAACAAGAAATAAACAAGTCAACATCGTCCATCTATCTGGACTGTCTAGGTTATCTCGCCCTTACGCCAAGGTTAAACTATTTCTATTGGTGTTGTATTAGGGAGTGCGTGTTTGTGCCCCTATGCCGTACTGTCCAACCTATACCACCCTTCTAGTCAGCGTTTTGTGGGTGTATTGATCTAGGCCAGGTCCTTGTTTTGGGCAGTAGGGTCTTAGCTAGGTTAATGTCCGGTGTTGTGGCCGAGGTTGGCACCTAAGTTTATTTTCTCTGGGTTATGTGTCTTAGTGTCTTGTACAGGAGGCAGTCATCCTAGGGTGTTTGTTCCTATCTTTGCCTGTTTCATCCTATGCTGTATGATTCTGTCGTGAGCAAGACTGTAACATCGGTTGGATGTCTATTGGACCGGTTGGCCGATGTGCCCGTTATGCCTCCCTATAGTAGCTCCGCAGCCTTTCTCTACGGGCCCGGTGTTCCATTCTGTATTCCCGCCCGCTCTTTTGCTCAAGAGACCCTGACCAGTCGGCCCCTGTGTCAGGCGTATTCTATCCCATGTGTAGTGCACATGGCGTGTATAGGGCATGTGAGAAAAAAAAAGTGGGGGTGTTATGTGTGGGTGCAGCGGGTGTTATGTGTGAGTGTAGCGGGTCTGAGAGAGATCAAGGGAACTGGAAGTTTAAGAATTAGGAGAGGTAGGACAGTTGTAGGATGGAGAGTATTTTATCTTTTAAGTGTCACTGTATTGTTTTCACTGAAGCCATTAAAATCTTTAGGAAATATAATTTTAATACATCCCCTCTCACACCAATAGTATTATAGAACACATATTGCTCCGGGATGCATGATGGGCCTTTTGCCTCTAAATATTGTGAATCAGAACAAATGCTTTCATTTTTTAGCCAGATAGGTATATTTAAGATCCAAGTGTATTTTCTTTTCTGGAATCCAGTGACAACAGAATATATTACATTCATTTATTATTTAAAAATTCTACAATGCGTAAGACCATATTAATTTTTCTACTATTCTAAGGGTTTGTCAAGATTGAGAGACCAACCAGTTATAGTTCTGAACATCTGATCTGGCAAGGTCTTTTTTACTGTATTATTAAAGTCTACAAGACAGGTTTTATTCTCACTTTTTTGCCACTCACTGTGATAGCAACAGGTTCTACATAATTGTCTAAATGATATGTTGAGGTCAGTGGTTATTTTGCTGTAACGCCACAGCATGGTTAATGATAGGGTTGGCTGTTTAGAGATCTCTGTGAACTTTGAGTTCCAGAAGAACATAAAAGGGCTCGAGGTAACTTGTTTGATTTGAACAGTTTTCTGCAGTAATAAGCATTGTACTTGATTTTGCACAAACTAAATGTTTTAAGATAGTGCACCGGTTAGGACAGTGTGGTTTTAATCAATTGATTAGCTGGATCTAACAATGCTTCTGCCATGTACGGAAAGGTTTGCTGTAATAGTAAAAAAAATCACTGCGGAAACAAATTCAGGACGATGACAAGTAAACACAGGGCGTCATGGCAAAAATGAAAAAGAACTTCGGTAAATAAAATTAGGAATTATTCAGTGGCATATAAAGACTGTGGTGGATGCCATTTTAAGTGCCTGGTGCCTTCCAGCACTTATTCTTTGAGGTCAGGAAGTTGAGGGTTGTGGGTGGTTTATATCAGGGTTAGGCAACCTTCGGCTCTCCAGATATTGTGGACTATGTCTCCCATAATGCTCTTATAGTCATTATGCTGCCAAAGTATTAGGTGAGATGTAGTCCACAACATTTGGAGTGTCGAAGGCTACCTACACTTTGTCTAGAGGGGCGTTAGAAATGTGTGCATTAGTGCAGTACTCTTTATCTTACTTGCCTTTTCCTCATTGTAGTACTACGGTCTTCTTTCTACAGCAAGATAAAATGCCATTCCCATATGTGCTTTGTATAACAGAAAGTGCCCAAAAGGAGACAGTGTAGATGTGGGTCCTATTTTACAGTACAGCTAATACAGCAGAACAGATACTAGATATGAACTGATTTATAATAATAATTATCATTATTATTTCTATTTCTAAAGGGCCAAACTAAATTCTGCAGCATGATACAATAGGTGGACTAACAGACAAGTATTTGCAAACAAAATGAGTTGAACGCAGGAACAGAGGGTGTTGAGGGCCCTGCTCATAGGAACTCACATTCTAGAGGTTTTAGTAAGACTTGGGTTCTGCAGCAAAATGAAGCATGTACTGTCAGCAACACTGAGTTCCACCCAGGATCAGCAGCATTCTGCATCTCACTATGGAGTGTCCTCAACTCTCAGAGGCCCTAGAGTAGTGATGGCGAACCTATGGTACGCATGCCACAGCTGGCACGCCGAGCCCTCTCTGTGGGCACACGGCCATAGGTCGCCGGTAGGGTGTCCAGCGGTGTATTCACTGCGAGGCTAACAAGGCATTTGCCTTGGGCGGCACTGCATTGTTAGCCTCGTATCCTCGAGTACCCAAGAGCTGACTTGATTTGCGGTCAGGCGGCGAGGGAGTGCTGTAGCCTTAGCTCTAACTGCTCAGCTCCTGCGCGCGCCGCTTAGTGATGCTGGTAGCCAGAATATGACGTTAGACTGGGTCCCAGCATCACTCAGCGGCGCACGATCTATGATCAGTTAGATCATAGCTTCCTTGCTGCCTACTCTGCCAGTTCGCCCACTGCCTGCCTCTTCAGCAGCACAAGCAGCCCCTGCAGCCCCACTGGACCCCAGGTGAAGAATCCAGTTCTCCCACAGAGGCTGGGTGGAGTTAAATTAAAATAAAAAATATATATATAATAGTAATTTGTGAGTGTTGGGGGAAATGTGTATAAGTGTGTGTCTGTCAGTTAATGTGTGTGTATGAGAGTGTGTGTCTGTCAGTCACTCTGTGTCTTTCAGTGAGTGTGTGTGTGTGTGTCTGTGAGTGTCAGTGTGTATCTATGAGTGTGTGTGTATCTGTGAGTGTGTGTGTGTGTTTGTGTATCTGTTAGTGTCTCTGTGAGTGTCTGTATCTGTGAGTATTCGTGTGTCAGTGTGTATAATTGCAGTGTTGGCACTTTGAGGAAAAAAAGATGGTTTATATTGCAGTTTGGGCACTCGGGCTCAAAAATGTTCGCCATCACTGCCCTAGAGAGTCCAAACACAAAATCATTCATTTACATGGGTGAAGATCTGAAAATGAACGGGATAATTCAGAGATTAAAGGACCACTATAGTGCCCTGAGGGCTCACCTCCCGCCAGGCTCTAGGGTGTGGAAGGGGTTAAATTTATCTCTTTCTCCAGTGCCGGTAGGGGAGCTCTCCTCCTCCTCTCCTCCTCCAGATCGCCGTCATCGGCTGAATGTGCATGCACTGCAGGAGCCCCGCGCGCATTCAGCCAGTACATAGGAAAGCATTCCCAATGCTTTCCTATGGACGCTGGCGTCTTCTCACTATGAAAATCACAGTGAGAAGTGCGGAAGCGCCTCTAGCGGCTGTCAATGAGATAGCCACTAGAGGCTGGATTAACCCTATTATAAACATAGCAGTTTCTCTGAAACTGCTATGTTTATAGAAGAAAGGGTTAATCCTAGATGGACCTGGCACCCAGACCACTTTATTAAGCTGAAGTGGTCTGGGTGCCTATAGTGGTCCTTTAATATAAAATCCCAATCTGCAAAAAGTCTATTTGTGATCATGATAAGTCATGTTTTAATGTGCTAAGCATTAACTAACATTGGCGCAGGGTCCCATTTACCTGGGGACAGAGTACGTTCCAGCTAATGGGGTGCATTTTGCTTCACACCAAACTTTTAATCTTTAGATATCCATTTTTTTTTTATGCTGACTTTTTTTTCCTTTCTCAAACAAAATCCCTTTGAAAGCATATCCTAGTTTGTAGTGAACTTTGTCCCAGTTTCCTTAGAGACTAGCACACAGTCTACCAGCTCACTGAGGGTATGAAGCAATGATAAACTGATTACGACTGGGCTATGGGCCAATAAAAGACGCTGGGATAGGCAGCCTGAAGCTCACTGGGTTATTACTCCAACCACTCACAGCCATTTAGCAGCAGTCGATCAATATTATAGAACTGCCTGGCAGCAACAAAATCATTTGTTTTTAGTTTGGAGAGTTTTTGCTTTTTACAAAATACAATGGATGCACGGGGCAGATATTCATTAGTCAATTAGTAAATAGAAAAAAAACAAAATACTTTTTGATGTTCCTTACGGCTTGTTTTGATTGGTTTTCAGACTTGACGCCTAAACAGTTATTAAGTCTACACGTTCAACACCTTTAAGGACCAAATATGACACTTTGCCGTCATCACATCTGGGTCCCTGAATACATAATGGCAGCATGGAATGATTATCTGATTTAGTATCACAATCTCTATACAGCCCTGAAACAGCCCAAAATGTGGGTTTTTCCAGTTTGAAAATGGGTTCTTAAAACAGATTATGATGACATGGGTCATCACTGGTACTTAAGGGGTTAAATAACTATTGCATGCCCAGGCCCATTGTTTAATTATTTATTATACACTTTGATGTAGCAGGTAAAAGCCAATCTAAAGAGATTGTGTCTCTCTGATGTCTCTTAATCCTCTGACCTTACATTGTTTGCCAAGGTAACATTGATTGCAGGATGACGGTTTAGCACAGACAATGAAAGAAGACAGCGGCCATTCATGTGACTGTCAGTGTCAGGGGTGGAATGAGATTTTCTGAACTGGATAGACTCCCAAGCCCAGAGAGTGATGGAACGGATACTAAGTAAAATGAGATTCTGCAAACTGCAAAACTAGCCCATTCCTAATGCTGGTCAGTGCACACACTACATTAAAGGGACACTGTAGGCACCCAGACCGCTTCAGCTCATTGAAGTGGTCTGGGTGCAAACTCCCATCACCCTTAAACCAGAGCGTCTAATTATTGTAGTTTTTATAGCTGCTTGATCCAAGGATAAATCTGACTGCCATTCTGGGGTCAACAAGGGATTTGCCTTCTTTTGGATCAACAGCAAAAACAAATGTGAGGAAGGCTGTACTTGATGGACGTCTCATTTCAGCTATGTAACTATGTAACTCCTATTCTAGTGGCTGTCTACCAGTTATTAACCCCTTCTGCACCACGAGAGAGAGGCAGGGGGGAATAAGGTAAGCTATAAATAATCAGCAAGCTAGAGTGAATATGTTGCTTTTCTTTAAAGATATGGAGTTTTGTACTGAGACGATGCATATTGTCTCTTATGTTGCAATGCTTATCTAAGTTTTAATTACTGGGGTGGCATTTATGCCTAAAAATCTGGTCCATCTTATTGAAGTAGTTTTGGTGTTCACCCCCTCCCTTTAAATGTCTCTTTGATAAGGTATAAGGAGATGATATAGTTCTAAGTCAAAAGTAGATGGTCCAAATCAGCTTAACAAGTGCCAGTGTAATTAGTACTAGACTAAAGCACATATTCATTGCAAATTTTTACCAAAGCTTTCTGTGATATACAGACTGTGTGTATAATAATCTCTTTAAAAAAAGAAGCATAAAGAATAGAGGCTGGCAAATCATCAATATCTGCGTGATCTATAGCTGTGCAGTCCCAGGGATGGTTTTGTAAAAGCCTGGTTAATGCAGCCTACAAACCATCTGCTTGGCTTTAAAGCTTAAAAAATGTCCATATTACAAGCCAGGGCCCTCATTAAAGGGATGGGGAATGCAAGAGCTTTATGGTGATTCCTCATCATGCAGTCACTTGATACAGCGCAAAATAATAAATAATGTAGATGGGTGAACAGACAAATTTCTTATAGGTTTACACAAGTGCAGATTGCCATTAGCTCACAAGTGATTTGCTCGAGCTTCACCTATTAAGCCAAGGGCAAGACGTCAATAACTCTTTGACTGCCAAACAATGAACTGCACACTCACGTAAACTGTAGGCTTTTTATAAAGTTCTATGCTCAAAAATAAATATGCTACATCGTAGTAAGCCAAACTATACCTTTGTATATTCCAAACTAGGGCTTGTACAAAAATGAGAAAAGGTTAAGGTATTGCCCGCTGTGACTTTTATTCTCATCAGAAAGTATATTTAAGAATATGGAAATAGAGATATTTCATAAAATAGTTAACAGATGGGCTTAACCCTCTAAGTCAAAATTAATCTGGTCAGAGGAGGGAAGTCGGGACAAAAGAATATAGTTAACTAATGACTCATGACTACTTCACTAATGAGGAAGATATATCAATGTTGGCTAACGCTACCAGTGTGGAATAACGAAAGCTGAATAATTTACATTTGGACAGATCTTTTTTTTACCAGGTGTTGACAGCAGTTTGTTTAATTTAAAAAGCTGCTAAACCTATTCAAGCCAATTTAAAAAAACACACACACATGCAGAGTTTTAAATGGTTATTTCAACCACCATGGCTACTTCTGCTTTTAGAAGTGGTCATGGTGGTAGGACTCTGTATGTGCAGTGTTTCTGCTTGAAACCCTACACATAGTGAGATATTTATATTTGTGTGCCAGCAGCTAGATACACCCAGAGCACATGTGACTTTAACAGCCCAGGACACCATTCTGGACTCTCAAATGTCAATTCTGTACAAAAAATATGCCTGTCGTCAGTAATGGTAGTCAGTAGTGGTAGTGAACATAATTACCTTCTTTCCCCTCCCTGGGTGCACTGCCCTCTCTCCCTTCCTTCATTGCAGAAATCTATATTAAAAAATCCTCCCTCCCCTTTCCAGTCCTGAGTGTGCATGCGCTCTGAGCCTGTGAAAAAGTCCAATCAAGTGTTTCTCTACAAGACGCATTTGATTGAACCACAGATTGGAAGGGAGTAATGTCAAATGGAGCGGGGAAGATCCTAAAGGTACATTTTAAATAATAATGAGCGATTTAAACAGAAATAAGGGGGAGGCCAAGTAAGTGGTGCTCAAAAGGGCATAAACACCCTAAAAAAAAAAGTTTGACAAAAAGGGTTACAGTAACTGTTTTCATCAAGCAATATCAATTATACTTACAGTGGACTACCAAAATTGATTGTGTATCAGCATTCACCCTTATGCAATAAATGTAAGGTAAACACAGTTTATAGTGTGCATCCATCTTCCCATAATCCTGTGCATTCATGAGAGGCATTGTGGGATGCCACACAATCAGGATTATTCACTTAAAGTGAGAATTGTTGAGACTCAAATGAATTCAGACTGATTTTCAAATGAGGCCAATATAGCTGAACTGGAAGTGTAAAACTATTTAGTTTTAAATTTGAAATTTCCTTTGAATTCGTAACTTTTCATGAATACTGCTAAATTAATTTTGGGGTAGGAAGATCTGTTCACACCTACACTCTCAGTCATGAATGACCAACAGCAAGCTTCAGATAAGTATAATTCTAACCTATATATGTGTTGGCATGTTTGCTAGCGCTGATTCAATTATAGCACAAAAGTGAAGATGACCTTTTGTAAATGGCAAATCATTTTATGAGGAGCCATGGCTCCAAGGCTTCTGAGAATTGGTTTATATTGACACTAATCTATTTTACGATAGAAAGGAAATTATAATGTTTTATTATTCTAATGACAGTTTGAAGCTCAGCCATGACGAACACATATGAGTTTACAGATTATCTATTTTAGCATAGAGGAGTGGACACAATGCTTCTCAATCTCTCTGGAAAACTGAAAAGCGATTTTTCCAAGGATAATCAAGAGAGCAAACACAGGGCGACTGGGATAAAGGTAACATATAAGGTTAGGAACACGCTGGGCCATGAACTGGGGGTGAAGAGGCTAGGTGTGGGTAGCTGAAAGTAATGAGTTCTGCAAGCAGGCAATGTCTATAGAACGTCCCTTCCTATTTAACCCCTTAAGGACAAAACTTCTGGAATAAAAGGGAATCATGACATGTCACACGTCATGTGTCCTTAAGGGGTTAAAGGGCTGGTACTTAACATGATGTTGCCTGAATTGGCTCTTTGCACCTTTAAAAATTAAACTCAATTTGTCACAGTGTAGATACCTATTCAAATATGGCAGCAGGTGCCTCAGTACTGCAGCATGATAGGATGGGAACTGGGGAGACAGGATTGCACGTATAAGTAAATTTATATATGTGTGATCTTGTGTTTATGCATGAATGTTTGTATATATGAAAATGAGAATATTGCGAAGCTAGACAAAGATGCCAGGGGGAGGAGAACAGAGGACTTTACTCTGATCCCCTTCTGGTTCTGATTTACTACCCACTGACATTATGGTATGACACTGTGGCATCACAAGGTGGTATTTAATTGAAAATATTCCTAGAAGTAAGATGACCTAACCATTTCTAATACTGATCTTTGGTATGCTTTAGTCCAGTGTTTATCAAAAAATCCCCCTGCCTCGGGAAAGTAATTTCTGTTGGTTTAAATTCCGAATGAAACGTGGAGCTTGTGTAATCTTTGTGATCTTCTTGCACTGCTCCCTCACTAGCGGCTTAGTGCTGCCGTAGTGACGTCATAACCCGGCTCCCGGCAGGGGGCGCAAAGTAGTAGTGCTGGAAGAGCACGAAGAGTGATGTTCCCTCGCCACCTCAGCCTTGGTTCTCCCACAGTCGTCCGCCTCCTTGGGAACGCTAAGATGGCCATCCGGCCAGCTCTTAGCGTACTCCCTGCCTGTGGTGCACATACCACAGATTGAGAAGCTAGACTTTAGTCCATTTATTTGATAGCATGCATTGATGTGTATTTTGTCACTGTGTTACATTTGGCTCTCTGCTTTTCTTAAGAAATCCGGTTATACTGGACTATGCACTAAGGAGAGGCCAAATGCAACAGTAACTATGTATCAAAACAGCCTACCACACAGGCCATTCAACCCAGCCATACAGTAGTAGATTGGAGATCTATAATAAACATAATAAAAACACTTTTTAACATCTATCAATTTCCACAATTATTCTATTCACCTGACAAATTATGCACTGCCAACATTTATGGAACATCATAAATGAATCAGTAATTTCACATATTTGGGAAATAAATGGGCATTTGATTAGCTAGGGATTAGTCTTTTAAAAAGTGGTCACTTTCAAGGGAAATAACAGTCAACCCTCACCCCACTTTTAAAGTGTTTTTTTTTTTTTTTAAACTTGCAAAAAAATTGCAAAATCCAAGTGTCTGCTCTAGCAAGGCTGAGACAGTTTATCTGGGCCAGTAAGTGGCTCCACCAATCAGAAGACTCTCATTCTAATCTATAGGGTCTGATATAATCCTCTTCCAAGCAGGCTTGGCAATAATTACAAAGATGAGCATATAAAATCTTCATAGATATGAAATAACTTATTATCATACTGTATATATACATACAATCACTTATCCACTTTAACTAAAGTGGTATTATATCCCTTCAGATAAGCGAATATGCCAAGAAAGTAGACCTGGGGGAGCAGAGTACTGCAGACTAAACATTTATATCTTGTTCGGAAGTTATTTATGTGATAATCTTCCCTTTTTAATATACCAAAAAAACCCCAGCTATTTTCTTCTTTACTGTGCAAACCTAAGATTGTGCAAATATTGAGTACGTGCACAGAGCGTACCAAAAGTGTGCTAAACAATTGTACCATTTTTATAGATCAAGCTCCTCAAATTCTAGCACCATATTAATTTCTACAAAATAGAACTAACAGCAAATTTTAAGAAATATAAACAATGTAAACAGTACTTATACTTCAATGTACATGGCACATCTTGCATATATCTGGACCCTAAAGCGTTAAAAACAACATATGCCCTGAGCCTTATAGGATACGACAATTTTGTACGGGTGATTTTCTTATACACAGGATGTCCTTTGGCAGAGCCATGGCTACCTGTCTAGTTAACACCTATTAAAGAACTTCTCCAAGAATAAACCCTGAGCAAGAGAATGGCATTTGTCAACTTTTAATGTCAGTTGCAAACACTGGCTAAATGCAAAGGGACCTCCTGCTATGGTATTGGATAAAATGTCACAGTGAATAGAAATCGTTTGGGTCCTTTGTCTGAATGCCACCAACCATTGAATTATAATTATAAACAGAGACGGAGGCTTTCGCTAGGGGAGACGAAGGAGGGAGCACTCCCATATCTAAATATTTAATGTTTAGTAGGAAGCAGTAAGCTCTTCTCCAACAGAGTTCAGGAAAACAGGTGTGAAAAGGTTCTCTGTAGAGAGATTTCTATGCAACATAGAGGGGGTTATTTTTTTTCTTCATTACAGTTATGCTGGAACTCTATTTAGTTCCACTTAACGTTTGTGAGTGGTCTTCATTCTTGTTTTACATAGAGGGGTTTATTCACGACTGGTATTTGACAAAGAAATAGAATGTTACAGGTCAAAGTATATTAACTGGTAGAATTAAGGAGTTTATGCTTCAGGCATACTCACACGTGCTTGGACATCTACAGAGAAATGTCATATGGGGGCACGTGTTCACAAACAGTCCAGTCACTGTGCCATACGTCCACGTGTTCCTATACATATAGCACCATAAAGGTTAAATTAAATTGCATAGTATGTTCTGGTTGAAGCAGGAAAGCCAAACAATATAAATTAAAAATAGAACTACTGTGCTGTGGAATGAGAATAATATTTTGGACATGAAATAGCTCCAGAGATAAGTTCCATAGTAGACTCTCCATTAAGAATCTATTCAGTACAGAAAGGGAAATCTAAAAGCAAGTCCATTGACCAAGAATAATGAATTACTTTGCACTCATCTCACATGGTGATTAGTTGACCCCATGAGTAACTCACCATGGGAGTGCCCTTCCTTCATTTCCCTGCATCCTCAATTATCAGTAATAGTACAAGCGAGTAAAAGCTGAAGGCAGACCATGTATTTTTCTGGCATATAAGGAGTCTATAAGAGCATCTGCCCTTGAACAGACCAAGGTGTCTTTGAATAAAGACATCAATATTGCAGCATACTTCGTCCCAGAAGGGAAGCACTGTTGGGATGCAAAACTGTCTATATGGCAAATGCATGTTTGTATACAGGATATTCCTAAGATATCATGCAGATGATTATTGTAATGGCAAGGTCATTCCAGATGGAGTCAAAATGGTCCCGAGTGTATTTTCTATAGCTATTAGGAAACTTGTATACTTTAATACATAGAATTGTTTAATGTCCCAAACACAAGAAAAAAAAATCTGATTTACAGTCCATCCAATAAAGTAGATAGCACTTCCGATGGGTTGTCACGTTTGTCTTTCAGGTTTTTGGAAAGAATGGTGGGAACTGTAGTGAAGCAGGAGCTGGAAAGCTAAATGTATTTCTCCATTAAATAGTGTTGCATGTTAAAGATTCCACTCTTACGGAACATAAATGATCAGAGAACACATGTCTGATGATACTATGAGTAAGGATCATCAGTTGTGAAGGTTACAGAGAACATCGATATTTGTAAATATTTTCCAGAAAAACACAGTCATTAGGAAACCGGCAATGGAACAAAATCTACTCTCCAAAAAGTTGCATACAAAATCCACTTTAACTCTTTCAGCCTCTCCATGAAAAAGAACGATCACGTAAGATTTTCCACTGTTGGTCCAATTTCCCAGGAATTGTGGTTGTATTCCACATGCAAAGACATACTTTCTCAGGCAGCAAAGAAATGCAAACACCTACTTAATGCAGCTGTCATACTCTCCCTTTCTCATAAGGCAGACATACAAGAATGATGTGATCTAAAACTGAAACCTTATGGTTTTGTAATCAATTCTACAACTACAAGCAGATATCTGTTTATTTTGGTTTGTACACCCCAGGCTGGATATTACTATCTAATTCCTAATTTATTATCAAGATCAGGGGTATTCAGATACAAGATTTAAGTATCTTGAGAGCAACACCCTTACATTTTTGCTATTCAAGAACAGCATGTGGGCGGTTTGAGGATAGTGTGGATTGTTAACGGCTGGGATTCTGCCATTTAAATACCATTTATATTAATGATTCATTAATAAATGCATTCAATTAAAAATGAGAAAAGATGCTTGGCTCTGTATATCTCATTTACTGGTTATCGCAGGAAATCATCAGACTTCTGTAAAGTACGCATCAACAAGGATGTTGCGGAGAAAGTTCGGTGCACATTGTCTAATGGTCCTCCATATGAATGCATGGGCAGTAAATCCATTTGCTGTGGGAACCTGACCAACCATCATGGAGTCTATTAACTAAACATCAAGATATGGTCATTTTGAGACTTAAGATAAGAAATTTAGGCCTATAGAGAAATATCTCCAAACCTGATGATTTGGAGAACTTTCCAATTCAGTTACATTTGCCAAGATTTGCAAGTAAATTCATATGGCTCCAACTGTTAAGTGAATAAACCACCGTGTTTAAAACACTGATCAGGTTTTCGAGTTAAGATTCCCATAATCTACTCTTTTCTCCAATGAGACATGAGATAATATTAGTAACAAGCTGCAGGTTTAGGAAGCCAAAGCAAATATACGGTTTTGTGATATTACTTAGGGATCCACAATATTTTTATAGACATATTAAGTTTAGAGTTACAGTCTTACAGTCCTCTGAAGAATTATTAAAATGGTAAATTTTAAGACAAGATGCCAAATACGAATGCATGGGCATTACTGCAATACTCTGGTATATTGGCATATTATATAATATATATGTATAGATTATTTTAAAGGGGCATGCTCCTCCATCAGGTGTTTATGGGAGGGCTAGAAAAGGTGATCCTGGTCATTCATTCTATCTAGCTATCTGATCTGTCAATCTTGACATCCTTAGCAAACTGTGAGCGTTTATGTGTTGCATTACCAACCAGTTGGTTCTTGTTCCTCCTTGACAAACCAGTCTTTTGGGTTCTATCTATCTTTACAAGCCTACAAGAACTGGGAAAAACTAGCTGGTTTGGGTATTTTACTGGTAAACCATAAATATTCATTTTTGAAATGTGCAATTCTCCGAATCGGCTCTCTGAGTAGAATCAGGGCAGCGACCTGTGACTTAGATGAGGGTGAGTGACTATGTTTATATTAAACAGTACAGATAATTGCTTGGACGTGTCCCCTTGTGTTTTTAGGAGAGAGGGAACATTAAAGTGTGCATCTTCCACCCCTTTTCACCCGTACTATATGTGTAATAACAATACTGTCACACATTGAACTTTTACCTAAAGATCACTAGACTTTGTTGGCCGTAACCTTTTCGACAAAAATTATTTTACTTAATGCAAGAGATATGGTTTAGTAGACTAAGGTGATTAGCAATATCCACAGAGAGGTACATTTGTGAAGCTCAATAAAAATAATACGATTAAAAGAAATCTACGAGCATCAAAACGCAATCAGAATTAAGTTGTTATGGTTTCAGGATATCCCTTGCACCTACTCTGTTTGATTCAATGCTTTCCTATGGGGAACACCTAATGCGGGCATGGTGCTCGGGACTTATTGGGTTCCCCTCGGAGTTGACAGAGGAGGTAGAGCCGAAGCCAGCTCTAATGGACTTTGGCGCTGAAATATGAGAGAACAGTAGTTTTTTTTAACCATTTAACTGCCATGGGGGGGAGGGAGTATTCCTAACACTATAGTGTTCCTTTAAATTCAATTTTAGAACACATTACAGATTTGCAATACACATTCACTGGTAAAAAAAAAAAAATCAATATCATAACCTCAGCTCTTCCTGTTGCTCCACTGACTTGATAATATCACAACACGCATGAAACATGAGAATTGATATTTCATATAACACATACAATGCAAATTTGCTGAGAACGTATACAGTTACTGTTCTGTTGCAAAGCAAACTTCCTGTAGCACATTTAACGAAATAAATGGAAGGACCTGAATATGCCAGCATTAATAAATTACACCCTCTATGTAAAATCTATAGCCTAAGTGTCTGGAATTTTGATGGGTTTCTGCCCAGGATCTGCCGAGCTAGGAGACTGTCTACTGCATTCAACCATATGTGAGTGGGAAGATCGTAAAGAGATGGGGGGGCCGGCAGGGTACTTTCACAATCTTGGACATGTTAAAGGGACACTCCAAACCCGTAATGCATTTTACAAAAACAGCACCTTTACAAATTAACTTTGTTACACCCCAATGGCATAATGAAATATAGATTGCACATACTCTGGCAGACTCTTTCAATTACTCAAACGGTAAGGGTCTCTAGACACAGTTTAGATAGAAGTTACTTATATGTTGATGAAATTTCTCTTTATATGTCCTATTTGTTCCTTACTCCCAGACCCTGTAATATCAGCTGACACTGTATCTGGGAAAGTCCACGCTCTTTACATCCCTAAACCAGTACTTACATAAATTACCTGCTCTGCCAGCCACAGAAATTAGATTTATACATTACTCTGAGTAGCAAAAGTTATTAGATAATAATTGCATTAGGGCAGGAATTACAATCTCCCTTCTCTTTTCCCCAGTGATTCCCATATACGCAATGAATTGGATGCTACTAAACATTTCACAATCATTTACATCAAAGCACAATGAGGGAATGCGTAGAGTTGGGAGATAGAGGTTTTCTGTATGCATTTGATGCCTCATGGCTGCGAGAGAACAGTCACGGCAAATTTACATTATCATGCTCTCTTTAGTTTTCTTTACAACTATTTATTCTGATAGAACCCTAAAGGCAGGCTGGATTTTGGGCTTAGTAGCATATGTCCATAATCCTGTAGGTTCTAGACTTCAGCCAGGATTTTATGTCATGGCTTGGATGTTTATATTGTTTTTACAAAAAACTCAGAGCACTACATGTAAATTATAGAACCCATTAATGTTAACCTCTCCATTACATCATGACAGCCCTGCTACACTGAATGTCAAGAAGGGTTTTAACACAATACAATGTACATATGTTAAAAGGAACACTGTACTCACTATAACAACTTCAACTAGATGATGTTTTTAGAGTGCCTGCATTTGTCCCCCCGCCCCCACCCAAACTGCCCCAAAGCTTAAATTTTTTTAAATTAGAAAGCATGGAAGTGTGGCTTTAAGCCACGATTCCAGGCTCTCCGGGTATGAAAGCAAGGACTGCGTTTCCTGGCTCTCATTAAACTACCATACTGTGGCATCAGGCACGCATGCACAATGCTGTCAAAACCTTCCATAGAGAATAATTGCATACAACGATACTCTATGGCAGAATCATAGGCGCATGTGCCGCCCATGCACCTACATCCCCGAATGCACCTACATCCCCAAATGCTCCTCTATGGAGCATTGGATTGGCCCATTATCGATGACGTAACACTAGGAGTAAACTGTGTAAGCACCCAGGGAGACACAGCACCGGAGAAATTGTGAGTTAATCTATTTTTTTCTGGGGGGGGTGGTCTTTTTATTTCATTTTTTTACACAGGGTGTAGCTGAAATAAGAAGGGACATCAGGACTGTAGCATTTTGGAACACAAATATGTATTCATAATGCTATAGTGTTCCATAACCCTATGGAGGTTTATTAACTGAATCATGAATTGCAGAAAACTGACAATTTTTAGGTCAAAACAACCATGTTGAAAAAATTATTTTTGTTTAAAATGTCCAATTTCCTTGTCAATATAGTGAATAAACCCCTTACAGTAAATAGTGAAAAGAATAGTTTCTGCTTTTTGGTACTTAAAAGGTTAAGAAAGCCAACAAGAGAGTTTGTGTCCCGAATTATATGTTTTGATGTGGTCTTGCTGTTAAGCACCACTTTCATTATTTTTCATTGTTGCAGTGAATGTGAAAGGTTTTATTTAAGCGATGTGAGTGTACATTTTAAGGGGTTTATTTTTTTGCTGGAAGACAGAACAGAGAAAATCAAAGGTTCTGCAATGTGCACACTGTGATCTTTCATTGTTCAAAAGAAAGACTTAATGAATGTCCATGTAACACGCATCATACATTGAGATAAGAGAATAAATGATAGAGGTTTGATGAAAGGCTCTTTGTATTGCCACCATTTTAGATGGACACACAAGATGTACTCTGGACTCTGCTTTGTGGTCACAAAAATATGTCAAACGTTTAACTGTACAGAAGTGGGGGATGCTATATCAGAGCTTAAAGGAACACTATAGGCACCTAGACCACTTCAGCCCATTGAAGTGGTCTGGGGGACCTGTCCCTGCCCCTCCCCCCCCCCCGCCATCACCCCTTAACGACACATGACGGAAATATTCCGTCATGATTCCGTTTTATTCCAGAAGTTGCGTCCTTAAGGGGTTAATGTTTACATTTCAACACTATCAGACAGCCACTAGAGGTGTTTTCGGAATTTTACTGAACTTTAGATCACCTAACTGACGCTGGATGTCCTCACATTCTGCATAAGGACATCGAACGTCAGTAAAATCCCCATAGGAAAGCATTGAATCTTTGCTTTCCTATGGGGAGGGCCTAAGGCACTCACAGCGATCGCCGGGAATGTGCATTAACCCCCCTCGTCGGATGATGTCGGAGGTGGCAGAACGCAGACCCAGTGCCAAGGGACATTGCTCCAAGAAACGGACGAGTCATTAAAAGGTTTTTAACCCTTTATTGGCCTGGGAGCTGCAAGGGAGGAGGGGGACCACAGGGCTCTATAGTGTTAGGAATACAGGTTTGTATTCCTAACACTATAGATTCCGTTTAACACACATCAAGTGCTTCAGCTTGCTAAAGTGCTTTATATGTCTGGAGCCGGTTACATTTGTGACAGTTTATAAATGTGTCAGTTTTAATAGAATTGCTAATTGAAGCAGTAGGCATACTTTACTAGCAAATGCTTGCCTTCCACCCTACTCATTTGGGTTGTTTTACAGATTGAAAAGCTTCTAGCGCATGCGTGGGCGCGTTTGCAGCTCCCGTACAGAAAACTTTCAGTGGGAAGCATCTGACAGAGCTATTCTCCAGACTTTCAGTCTGTACTGGGGAAAAAGGATAAGGGCTGCAAAGGTTGCAGCCAACATATCAGCTGTTTTTAGAGATACCCCCAGCATAGTTAAAGTGTCTCTCTTACCCCTCCCTCCCCCAAAATTTGTATTTCATAAAGATTTTATCTTTTTGAAATATTCACATTGACCGTGTTGGAATTTCACCGAAATTCAAATGCAGCCCACAGATATCATAAGACAAAGTAGAGAGTTTGAATAAAATTTATTTTTTCTCATTTTTACCACAAACAGGAGTGGAAGAGGGGGTGAGGGGGGCACTATAGCATTTGGAATATATATTTGTTTGCTAAATTTGAGTTTGCTAAATATCCCTACAGAAACAAGATGTGTCAGTAAAATGTGCCGATAAATCATTATACTCCAGTCTAAGTACCTTGAAGCAATCATATATTTTAAATTCAGGGCTTAAAATGTAAAGTCCTACGTTTATCACAGGCCATCAAGTATTTCGTCTGGTATGAAAAATAGTTAGTAATAAAAACAAATGTGGGTGGCTTTACCATGTTAGAAAGTTACCGTAGGACTACAAGTCCCATGATGCATAGCCAGCTCCTGCATTACCAGTAAACTATTTTACTGGAGAGATGCTTTACTGCCTGTAGTCAAGAAGCAAGAGATTTAACCCTTTTCTTGAAGAAGATTTGCTACATGGCATATTGGCAGTAAACCGATTTAAAAATCGATTGGACAGAGCAATACTGCACCCAAGGAAAGCCTTCACAGTGCCCACTACCCCAAAAAAAATAATGATCTAAGAATAAAAAATGCCACAAAACAATATATGTCTGAAAGCATGCAAACGATGTTTAATGTAGAGTTGTTTTTTGTCGTTCAGACTACTGCTGATGTGACCCAGCTTCCAATAAATGGTAACATTACCTTCTCGAATGGAACAAACGACAGTCACGAGCACACATAAAACCTGACACAATTAACAGGCTTTCTAAAGAAAACACATTGTTGTTCCATCGTTCAGCAGATTTAACATCTTCATGCCTGTCACTATCCTGAACCGCACTAACTATTTGCTGGGTATCACGCTAAATACTGTATGGCCCATGACAATGACAGTGTGAGTGTGTTTCTCATCCTGTGCAGCTGCAGCATCCTAAATACATATACTGCAGAATGACAGCATGATTAATGGAGACAGGCCGATTCTGGTTAACCCCCCAGTGTCGCAGCAGAGAGGGGGAAGGCTGTTTAAAGGATGATGCTCAAGACTAGCTTCTGAAGTGCCAAATTAACTCAACAACCACAACGTGCACGCTTTAAATAAAAATAAAAAAATGAAAAATTGTTTTCATTATGATCAAATATACATACATAACATGGAGAGATAGATAGACAAATAGCATTTTGCAAAAGTTTCTTTTTTCAAAGGTTAAGTTATTGGACTGTTTAGTCCATGAAGACTGACTTTGCAGAGAGAAGAGAATTCTCCTGAACTAGTTTGTCATTCATTTGCTTTCTCCTAGACCTTTGTCCCTTGCATTACTTCCTACTGACACAATACTAAATGCCTTCGTGAAGATGCATTGAGAGAGGCCAGGACAGTGCGCAGAGGTGACTCTGTATGAGCTCTATAGTAAAATGTGCTGACAGCCACGTGACAATACTACAGAGTGAGTGTCTAAATATAGCCACCTCATTTATTATCGCTGCTCGATGGAGCGCACGCGGAGCAGGGTTCTGCCACCTCCCTCTGAAAAACCTGCATTGCCGTAGGTTGCTTAACGCTTGTGACGATACAGGGTGGAGGGGAACACTGCCGAGACTCACTTCCATATATAGCTAGAATGTAAGGATTGTACGTCGAGTATGTAAAAACTGCGTAAATTCTAAGGCATAAATATGATGACATAGTAGCAGAGTCAGATATTGACCCATTTAAATATCTCAGTGTAAAACTTTCCTCTAAAACCGTAAAGAGAGACCTAGGTTTGAGAGGTGGGAGCAGTTTTTGGACACCATATTATCTTTTACCTGCTTTTAATTAATGCATTTTTTCACATTCAGAGTTCTTAACAAAGATTAATGATTTTGTACAGTGGAGATAAAAATATAATAAACATCAAAATCTGATGTTATCAGTGTTTATGATGGCTGATAGTCATGATAGATGGCAAACAAGCCAATCTTTGTCAAAAAATTGGTTTTGTGTACGGCTGGTTTGTCGGCTCAGAGGCTTCCATCACAAGATGTTTTCGGTACCCTAAGCACTATAACCAGTACCGCATATTGTAGTGGTTATGGAACACAGAGTTGTTTTTGGTTCCAACATCCATTGCTTTCCTGTTATCCAAACTCTGCCAGCTTACACAGCATCTTCCCTTCCGCATTATTCGTCTAACCTTGGACAGCAACAATAAGGTCTGCTCATTTGTATCATTGCTATGTTGGAAAGAGTTGGACAGATCATGCAGTAGTTAAACTATTTTTGATATTGGTGGATTTTGATAACTGGGAAAACCCTGATCTTGGTCAAACCGCTCGGAAAAAAAAATGGAACTGAGCCTAAAGATTCCACCATAACCACTATATTAATCTGTAGTTTTTCTATTATATAGCGTCTCTGTATTATTCCACAGAGACATTTAACTGCCGTTCCAACAACCTTTCCAAACATTTATATTATGCTTTATGATCCATAATGTAACATGTTGAGGCTTTACTGATATTTGTCAATCTAAATACTATAATGTTGTGTACATATTTTTAAGTCATTTTTAGTTTGCACTCAGACAATGTTTACACCAAACCGACGTTGTGCTTGCACAGACAGGTGCGTGTGTGTATTATATACAAAGTAACACATGCAGGGCATACAAGGCACTGTTTACCCTGTGAACATACCACTATTTACATACTACATCTACCTAGAAATATTCAGTTTGAGCTGGCAGAAACACTAGCATTTTAGTAAGACTAAATTGCTCCAATGTCAAAATATTAAACTCTCAGCATTCTCGCTGCTGATCACATTGTAGATCTAGAAGAATTTTAATGGGTGTTTGTTTTCCATTTGTTTTGTATTTTCATTGCAATTTTAAAGTATGCCTAAATGTTAATTTACAACATGTTTATAATATTACACCCTTAACATTAAAGGCTTATGGGACAAAGACTTTGTTAATTCGTTCATTCTCTTGGGGATACTTGAAAATTATATTAATGTCTGCTTCCTGGTAAAATTATTTATAAATTAACAACCTTCATTATTATTACATGGGCTGGAAAAAGACACTGTGACGATATGAAAAAAACCAAAAAAACTTTTTTGGTTCTGTTGAAATATTGCAAAAACCAAACATCAAACACACGTTCATGCCTGTGATGAAAAGCAATTTTAGGACCACAGTTGAGAAATCAGCAGAAAGATTCCACATTCCATGAATTGTGACTGTACCTCTTTCACAACCTGGCACCACAAGCATTGCAACGGCTATTAAATTATACACACACACACACACACACACACAACGGATTCAAATGTGTGTATATATATATATATATATATATATATATATAAAACAATGTTTTTCTTGGCACTCACCCTTTCAAATGTGTAGCTCAATATCGCCTGGGTGCAATCCCATGTAGATAAAATATATAGAGGATAAAGAGATGCACTCTCAGGACTTTGAAAAAATAGTTAATTTATTCCAGCAGGTATAACATCAAAGTTTGCCGACATTTCGACCCATTCGGGTCTTTCTCAAGGTCAATGTACCTGTGCTTACAAGCCATTTATATAGGACATAAAAAGAAGTACTCACCAATCTGTGAAGAACCCCCTGAATCCCTCCGTGCACACCCGGAAGTGAAACCGGAAATAGAACATCACATGATCCATGCATAAGTGATCATGTGGTGTTGCTTCCGATAGGAAAACAATTAATTATAAGATCGGTAAATATCTCATAGATGTGCAAGTGAAATGTCTAATATCAATCTATTGATGAAATCTGATTAAAGTGCAGAGTGCATAAATCCGCAAAAATGCAGCCTAATATAAAAAAATAAGCAAAGATCTTAAGGTCAAATATACTGTGTAAAGTGTCACCATATATCTAAAGAAGTGATCAAAAAAATAAAGAATGTTATGTTAAAAACATTTCACCAACCATGTCAAGTTTAGAAGGCATTTAGCTGAAGCAATCTATAACATTGGTGAGTACTTCTTTTTATGTCCTATATAAATGGCTTGTAAGCACAGGTACATTGACCTTGAGAAAGACCCGAATGGGTCGAAACGTCGGCAAACTTTGATGTTATACCTGCTGGAATAAATTAACTATTTTTTCAAAGTCCTGAGAGTGCATCTCTTTATCCTATATATATATATATATATATATATATATGTATATATATATATATATATATATATACATGCATATATACACACACACACACACACATATATACATACATACATACACACACTCTTCTGGAGCTGTGGGAAGCATTTTCTGGCCTATTCAAGTCTATTTATACACATCTTTATAGCATTATTTTCAATAAATGTTGCAAAAAATAAATAAATCTTTTCACCCAGTATCATATTATGAGAGACCCTGTTACCACTGAACTATGTTTAAGATCAATGTGCCATTTTTCTATTATAATTGTGCAATCTTCTCATATTTGTGTTTAAGTCACACACAAAAAAAAACCTAATTAAAGCCATTCTGAAACTAATGTAATCTACAGAGGTCATTTAGTATAAGAATGTGGAAGCATTTGGAGATGATCTTAAAATTATCTCTTTATGACAACAGCATTGACATTATCAATATCATTATTTATTTGCCTCTGTTATAGCTGTGACTTCATTTAAATCATCATCGCTGAAGGGCAGTTTATTAAGCTGTAAATACTGCTGAAGCAGCAATTTTTTGCTGCAGTTCCACTCTCAGCCTTTACCTTCACAGTGGTGCTGTGTCTTATTGTAGTCTAAAGGAGAATCGTAAAATTTGTTTCTGTTTCTATTTTTAATGAGACATGGAGTTTTAAGGTATAATGGTCTCATTTTAATATGTTTGGATAAGCTTGTGAAACGATTTCATATTTTTTAATATTTTAATTAAAGTCAAAGAGTATTTTTGTTTTGAAGATAAAATCATATGAAAATCTGAACTCGTTTGATAGCTTATGCAAAAATATTACATCGAAGGCCGACATCTGAACATAAGTTTACTCTGTGCTGTTCATAAGCCATCCTTTTTCCTTAGGAGCCATTAAAATGGACAGTCTGGTAGTTCTATAACACATACCAAAAAATAGGCGTTAGTTTTAGTTTTAACATTTTAATGAGTCATGGCTCATTAAAATACCCAGAAGCAAGGGCCAGCAGAAGCCAACAATTTCTAACGGATGTGAGTCTGGTAACTCCCATCACAGCGAGTCATCAGCAGCTTCTTAATTTCTTCTCTACTCACTTACCTTCCAATTCATTTTTCACACATATTCTGTCCTTAGTTATTTTATTTTTTTGTTTGATATGTAAGCCTGTGAAGACACTGGCCACATCATAATTACAGTAATTTAAGGCTGCAGTATTCGACTTGAACTGCAACATGCCATGATACATCACTTTCAATGGATCGGTATGTCTGGCAACACAACCAGTTATCTGGGCCAGAGACTTACTAAGATTTACATTACAATTCCCTCAAGGCAACTATTCCTATTAACAAGCGAGAGAGACATTTCACCTAGAACATCTTTCACCATGTTGCAAGTATTCTGCATTACGACTCTGGTATGTGTGTAACAGGTCATGTTCTTTCAAAATGGAGCACTATCTATCTACATTCACTGGAGAGGTGGTTCATTGATTGCTCAAATGAAACAGTTGCTTAACAGAACAAAGCTACTATGAGAAAAGCACAACTACATAGTATCCTTTACCCCTTTTTGCATCAGTTATATGAACTTAAATACCAAAGTGCCCAAACTATGGACCATAATGCTTGGAAGGATCTCATTAGCTTATAGTAACTTACTTTGATATACATAGTAACTTACTTTGATATAGTAACTTACTTTGATATATGTGTACGCAGTGGCAGGTAAATAAGTCACTACATAGTTAATCAATAAGTCCTCTAGATAGACTTTGCATCCATGCATGCACTCAGTGACACCAGTACGAAATCAACACAAGGCGGCTTAGCGAAAATTACATTAACCCATGAAGGACATGCAAATTACCATACGACAATGGGAAAAAAAAATTAAATAAGAGGGAAAATGGAGGCCTTGCCCTATAAATACTGTTTGTTTTTTGTTTGTTTTTTAGGTATAGTAAAACTTTGTAAGCCCTGGATTAAAATAAGTACATCCATAGATTTCTGTATATGAAAACCATTAAAGCGACACTATAGTCACCCAGACCACTTCAGCTCAATAAAGTGGTCTGGGTGACAGGTCCCTCAGGGTTTAACCCTTCAGATGCAAACATAACAGTTTCAGAGAAACTTTGAGAAATGCTTTGAATATGCTTGCGGCGCATGCGCATTCGGCTCCTGTGACGTTGGCCAGGGGAGCTGACGTCAGCGGGGGAGGAGAGGTCACCAGCGCTGGATTAAGGTAAGCTGCTGAAGGGGTCTTAAACCCTTCAGCGCCACGGGAGGGGGACCCTGAGGGTGATGGCACCCTCAGGGCACTATAGTGTCAGGAAAACCGCTTTGTTTTCCTGACACTATAGTGATCCTTTAAAAGTAGACCAAAGAATCAACATCTCTTAAAGCCTTAGCTCTGTGGTTTCTTTTTGTTGATCTAAAAACTCCCCCTTTGCAATTAACTGCTGTTTGCGGAATCCTCAGTGAAAAGATGCATTATTTTTAACGTATGTCGAAAAAAAAAAAAAGTATCATATTATAAGAGACTCTGTTATAATACCTCTGTTATTGCATGTTCCTCAAATACAGAGAAGCGGACCTTGCCAAAAGATTTGTGGTGACCCTCCAGCACTCTCTAATGGATTAGATGGGAAAAGAAGATTTATAAATGATGGCAGGGGGCCGCAAAGACAAATGTCACCATACCAAGCACCTGTTTCATAGCTAAGCTCTATAAAAAACAAACACATCATCTCAGGTTCACCTGACCCTAACCTTGCTGTAATCCCCACCCTAACACAAAATAAGCAGACCATGCTATCATGTAAAATGAATAGAGAGGTTACTAGTGAGGGTGTCTGTTTTGTTTTTCTTCTTCCTATTAACGAACATCCACGAATGTGTATTAACAGTGTCTATAGTGTCAGATTTCTCACCAAAAGATTGTATTTGGACCCCACTGTAGGATCTAGCATTATGAGAAATCAGCAAAGTGAAGGCAGTTAGGATGAACAGCGAGGACCAAACAAGGGAAGTAGGAAGAATGCAAGAGAACTGTGTTCTGCCCGAGCCAGCAGCCTCAAGCCATACTGTAAAAGGAAATTGGGATGAGCAATGCCTTTGCCTATTATCAGTAATAAAACTGTTATGAGGGAAAACGCAGATTAACCCAATGAGGAGCTGACCAGGGTTGGGGGTGACAGCACACAGCCTACTACAGATTATAAAGGCTGCAGGATAAACACTGACACAATACTAATTCACAAAGTATCCCCACTACGTTAAAATCGCTCTGCTCTGGTTTTGAGTATCCGTGCCAATAAATCTGAAGAAAAGACATTTATATAATTTTGTTTAGTTTGGTTTTGTATTTTTTTTTTACATTTTTTTTTTTACAAACTGTTCCCATTCTTTTTCAAATAACTGTAATTCAAAGTCAAGGCTTTTATTTAATCACGGAGTTGCATTAGGGATTTTTAAATAAAAATAACAATGATAGTCCAACCTAGTAACAGAGCTCTGATTTTTGTACAGTATTCAGTAAATACACAGCAATACAAGAGGAGGCAATCAGAGCTAAATATAGCATCAAAGCTCAAGCAAGGAAGCATCAGATTAAATCTAACAACCCCGAGAGAAAAGACAATTTGATATTTTCCAACAGAAGCGGCTTCTGGACAGTAAATTAGCGCACGATTCTGGCCTTTCCTGTCACCCTGCGACAAGTCATCTAGTTTTAGCCTGTGCTGTCTCACTTACCCCTTTGGTCACAGTAAATGCAAATTTGTTTGGCTTGCGAATATATTCCTGAGGTCATATAGTAGTATAAATTACTCCAATGCGTTTGCAATGTTTGTGGACAAAATATGGTATAAGTGTATGCACATAAGGTATACGGCTATTGATAAAGGGATCACACAGAAGCTAGTGAACCCCGGGAGCTGCTAAACCTAGGTAATTACAACCAATTCTGAAAATGTCTGCAAAAAAGGTATTGTTTTACTTTAAGATGGCAAATCCCCATGGGAGTTTTAATCCTACAACAGCTATGTACATATGCCCATCCCTAGTACATGAGTATATACTACCAAATCGAATGAAAGATTATTCTGACTAGTTCTAACACGCAAAATATGCAAGAAGAACAGCAGGGTAGTAAAGTAAGTTGGAAAAAAATCCATAATACATTCACACATAATACCACAGGCCTGAGCCTCGAGCTAGTTTCTTTTTCACCCACTCCTTCCTTATTAATTGTATTGCCTCATCTGTGCAGGGAGAGTACAGTATTGCAAAAACCTTGCAATGTTTCTAAGGCCAGATTTGGCTGCAACTAAAAATTGAACATTGTATCCTAAGAGGTCATCCCCACCGGTAGATACCCTTAAAACTAATCCAAGAATAATCTTATCATAAAGGGAAAAAAGTTTTTTTTTTTTTTTAAATACTATTAAAAAACATGCATTATGGGTCTATTTACTCTTTGGCCTTGTGCCGGTCTTCAATCTCATTAATGATCCAGAGAAAGGTGTTTCTCCGCAAAAGGGCATATTGAGATGTGAAGACCACAGTTTGTTCTCAAAGCACCCTAGGAATCTCCCAGAAGCTGTTCCAAAACAACTTTAAGAATTTTCCTATGTTTCTATCTGACGGAGCCAGTTGTAACTTTTGACTCTGGAGGTCACAGAAGTACTGACTATAATAATGTCACATGCTGGGGAAATTGAAGTCAACACCAAAAAGTATAATTATTTGCTTAGCCGCTACACTAACAGGACAAATAACTAGATTGCTAGGCATGGCAGGTAAGCTCCTCCAACAAGCATATTTAAAGGGGCATCAGCTTTTGGTATATTTAGATTTTGACACAAAGTACATTTTTTTTTTATTTGTTATCCTCTATTTATTCATTAATTTTACTTTAAATTCAAATGTTTCTCTATAGTGCATCCCGAAAGTCTGTAGTGTTAGTACAGCTGGATCAATCAATGGGGAAGGTTTTGGCCAGGTGTCTCACAGCTCTCCCATAACAACACTTCCCTTGCTGTAATGTAATGCTCTATGATCAACATGTGTCAATATAAAAATCTATTTTGCTGCACAGCTTAAAGGAACACCACAGATTCAGGAAAACAAAGCTGTATTCCTAACGCTGTAGAGACCCACTAGAGGTTGTCTGATCGCTGCAAAGTAAACACTGCAGTTTCTCTGAAATTGCAATATTTTACATTGCAGGGTTAAGGGGATAGGGACACTACACCCAGACCACTTCCATGAGATGATGTGGTCTTGGTGCCTATAGTATCCCTTTAAACCATCTGAGAAAGGAAGGACATCACAAGGGGGAGTGCAAGTAAAAAAGTTACTGCAGCAGAATTTTGTAATCCTATAAAAGACCGGTTGCCATACTTCTCCAGGTATAGCTGGCACAGGAGGCATGTCAGCCTGGAACAGACTTGGCAGATGAGATTGGTCATGCCTGTGCACAACTTGGCAAGAAATCACTAATTCAAGGATTTGCTTTTTAGGAATCTAATATTTTGGTGATTTTCTATGGTGTTACAAAAATGCAGAGCATCCAAATAATTACCCTGGATAGTGGGATACAGATTTCAAATCAGGACTGCCAAGCAACAGCATAATTCCCCCCATGATCATCTGCATGTCTGCAAACACAGGGCATTTTACAAAGGCATCAAACACCAGGCACTGCCTTCTAATGTATGTCACATAACGAAGCCTGACCAAGATTGTAACCATGTAACTCTTCACTAGTGGTCGACTTGAAAAAATAATACTTGGGTTCAAAAGCTTAGAATTTCCAGGTAGGCACACAAAGTCCTCTAAAGAGCAGACTGATTATTAAAAAATAAAATTAGCCTGTGTCAAAAAAAAAAAAGTACTTTGGATTTCTATTTATCTCCCGCACCCCATACAGAGATAACAACACTTACGGGAAGTTGGGAGTAATTGCTAAAATCAATGTGGACAAACCTTAATAACTGTGAAATGACTCACCATTCTATAATTCCTGTGAATTCAAACAATTCTTTTCAAACTACTCTCTGGCTCAATTCCATTTATTTATTTTTGGAATCTGTTACCAGACGTTCTGTAGGGTGGAGGTATGACTCCTACTCCTAATAAATGGATGTGTAAGAGTATGAATACTGCAGAAACAAAAAATTTATTAAGCAGCCCTTCTGCATGCATATTTCATAAGCACCCTATTAAAGATGAGATTACATTTTCTTATCCACAAGGCATTGTACAAGCTTATAACAAAAAACAGAGAATATGAAAACTCTGAGAACGGGAAAAGGCTTAGAGAAACTTAGTTTGCCCATGTTGCCTTTTGGGAATAATATAAGGGTTAATATAAGAATATTAGGGAACTTATACCATTTACATATCAGACTGATCACACCCACAAGGGCAGTCCAGAACCGAAAGGCAGGGTTGCTCTATCGCTTGTGCAGAGGGAACTTGCCAGCACTTCGGTTCTGGACTGCCGTTGTGGGTGAAATCAATTAAATGAGCTTCTCTAAGCTTTTGCCCGTTTTTAGAGATCTCATATTCTCTGTTTTGCTGCAATGCATTTGCTTGAGCTCTCCTTAAGCTAAAAGGGTATTCTAGACGTGGACTCCGTGCTCACTGTGCCTAGAGAGGTATCAGCTACACCTCACTGATAAGGCCCAAAGAAGGCTGAAACGATCGTCCAGGGTTGCTGTATCTCTTGTGCAGAGAGAACCTGCCAACATTTTGGTTCTGGACCGCCGTTATGCGTGGGATCAGCCTGATATGCAAATACTATAGGTTCCCATTGTAATGGGCAAAAACATGTTGAGACCTCAGCGAGGACTAACAGAAGGGGAAGCTACAGACTTTCTCTAAGATTTTGCCCATTCTCACAGTTCGCATATTTTTTGTTTTTGTTGCAATTATACAAGCTTAGCCTGAATATGTAATTAAGAAATAGAAAAACTGCAAGCTTCTTCTAAAAATGCTAGCCATAGGTTAATGCAGGAGTTAATAAATAAGTAGATGTCTGGTAGATGTATTCAGAATGTAACATGACTTTGGTAAAGTTATAATTTAACATCCCCAATAATCTTCTACCAGAAATAATTTTTAACATGCAGCAACATATCATTTTTGCCTTCTGTAACGTCTGTCCTTGTGCCTGCATTTAAGTTTAGATTTATCAATTATCTCCTACACAAAAGCTATATTGCTCCTAAATTACCATATAAAATGCAACATTAAGCATGTGTTTTTCATTAGATGTCTAAATAACCCAGTCCCAGAGGGCACATTAACAATGCCAGGCCCCTTATGTTATTCTTAAAATGGCTGTTCTAACAAGGCTTGATTAGTAGTGTTTTATTTATTTATTTTTTTTGGGGGGGGGGGAGTGGGGGAGGTGTTTGGTGTGTGTGGAGGGGTTATTAAATTGAAGTTATGGCATAACTTCTAATGCAGTGAGTCTAGCGCAATTGTGTGCTTACGCCAATGCAAGTGTGTCTAAGTTTCCTGGCTGCCCCACAAGGGGAACAAAGATGGACTGCTGGAACAGAACCCTGAAACTGGCTGTTGGGAGACATTTATATATAGAATTGATTCTAGGTCTTGGAGCTTGTTTAATAAATCCTCATACGATTTTCCATTTTACAGCCACCATTGTGTTTGCAACAGAATAAACCACAAGGGGAAAGGGCATTAAAGGATTGAATGGAAAAGAGTAGACATATAGAATATGATTATTGTTAGAAATATTCAATTTAATCCATTTTAATTTAGGTCAAAAATATGTTTGGAGAGTATTGTCATACGTCCCAAGCATCCTGATTTAGGTGGCACAGTCCAGATTTTACGGTACTTTGGCCAGTGTGAGTGACATGATTTGAGACATTGGCCAATCCCCTTGGCAGGTATGGAACAATTAGCCAAGCACTTCAACCTTCACATCCATTTTAAAGACTGACAATATTGTCTGCTTATACATGGAGGATCCTGCGGTCTTCCCTAAACCTAATATTATAGTACAAAATTAACATTGCTTCTGGTGGCGTCATCTCAAGGAGTTGGAAAATGAAATATGATGTTATGAGTTAGAAGACATTTGTGTCTGTGTTTCTCTGTCAAGTGCTACACACAAGCGTAAGTAGCAAAAAAAATAGAAAGTCCTGATAAGCGACAGTAACACCTTAAAGAAGCTAAAGAGTAATGTCACTTTTAAAAAGCGATATAAGATTTACGCTTGCTCCTAGAACCCATGACTTATAACCTAATATTTACGCCCTGCCTTTCTTTGTGTCTGATGGAGCCAAGAAACCAACTGAAAAATAAGAGACAATGCTCTTTTTCATGTTTGGTCCATTGTCTCAGTAGAACCGGTATCACAGCTCTAAGGAGTGTGTTTGCATGTATACAAAAGCTGATTTTGCCTAGCAGCGGCCTGAATGAGCTTGCCAGCATATCCTGTTTTATCAATACGAAAACCCCAAACTGCAACAAAACTGGCAGAACGAGAAATACAGTCACAGTGCATCTGCATCTTTATATAACTCAAGTACATTTGACCTAAACCAAACACAGAAGGATGAAAGAATTGGTGATCAAGGTTCTCCATCTGAATTGTTTATCCATCTGTAAATGTAAATATTAATTTGGTTCTAAAGCATGTGTGTGTTATGGCTTTTAATTAAATACAAATAGGTCAGGAGTATTATAAAACACGATTGCAGAGTTAAGTGGGTGCAACTATATTACCATTCTAATAAGTTTAAATGAATGTTTTAAGCATCATAATCACTATGGTGCACAAAGTGGTTATGGTGCCAGAAGTCCCCTGGCACCATTCAAAGATAAACTGTCAAAAATTTTAACCAAGTCTGGACACTTAGAAAAGAATGAGCTTTTGTTGTAAGTTTTGAGTTAGAGTGTTATGTATATGACAGAGTAGACTATGTAAAGAAAGGATCCATGCATTAAAGGAACACTATACCATTATGAATACAAGCATGCATTCTTAACACTAGTGCCCTGCTCTCTGCTTAAGCGCCACCTCAACGCAGTGCTCTCTCTGTGAATGACTGACTCACTGGCTAAGATTATCAATTAAGATTATCTCAGCCAATCCAATGCTTTCCTATTGGAAATCATTGGGAGGCTAGTGTGCATGCATGGCAAAACGCAGCGTTGCACCAATCAAATGGTCTCGATGAGATCCACTGATGGAAATAGCACAGTTCACCAGCAGGGAACAGATGGCCAGGGATTTTCAGAGGATAGAAGCCAAATGATTTATTTTACATCTATACACGAGTGGCATTTAATATGTTTGGAATAAGTTGGAGTTTGATTTTAGCCAGTTACATTCCAATGTAGAATGAGTGTGTGTAAAAGTAGATTTAGTAGACACAATAGTAACTATGTAATAAGAAGATGGTAAATATTTACTGTAATGTGGTCAGTACAATCATGCAAGTCCAATCAATTTCAGTCACAATTTTTAGAGGTGTAAATTAGTATTAGATCGGTGAGCCGTACTAAATATCCACATGACTGCTCAATTTATGAATGATATTGATTTACTACACTGAAGTTCTCTGGAGCCTACATGGGATCATTATGAGTCAACGTAACAATTATGGCAATTTTATGTACAACCAATGGGGGCAATGTAAACAAAATCCTAAATAGGGCATGATTTCACAGGGCAGAAATAAAGTATTCTTACTGTGATTTATTTTTGTATCACCAGCAAGTTCCATAAATCTGGTTACATTAAGGAAAAGAACAAAACGTAACTTGCAAACGCACAAATAAACAAACTTAAAATACCTGCTTGCAGACTTAAAATCTAAAAAAAAAAAACCCTCAATACATCTGCACAGAATTCACATTACTGTATGAAGCTATATAACAAAGATTTTATGAAAACTAATATATAGCAGTTAGAAGTATGGACACTGTGATCACCCAGCCACGATTGCTTCATTATCAGTTTTATAACTTCCCAGCGCTGTAAGAGGGAAAGGAAAATCACTGAAGCACATTTTAAACTGCAGTATGCTAATATTCAGGCAATCATGGATCCAGAAGGAATGCTAATTCTGCTATTTCAATTTGAACTCTAAGCTCTATTGCTCACAGTCTTGATTGCAGTCCTTCTAAAAAAGCAGAATGCCTTCCGTTGGCCAACCAGGCTTTTTCACCTACGTGAAAGGCATCACTGCCGTCGTGTGCCAGCAAAAAAATGTGCCAGGGAGTACTGCATATCCTACTGATGAAAGATCGAGCTTATGTCACATTAGTTTACTTTAAGGACATTTGTTCCAACAATAAATAGCTTATATTTTAATCTAATCACGCATAACTACTTAGATGGCACAGGCAATCCCAACATAACACTGTCTTAGCACTACTGGTCTGGCGTCTTCCCACAGAGCTTTATACATCCCGTTTGGCTCTGGTTTGGAAATAAACAGACCATGAGAAAGAAAGAAAGAAAGAAAGAAAGAAAGAAAGAAAGAAAGAAAGAAAGAAAGAAAAAAAGACTAAATATGTCTTATTATATGATGGATAATAATCTGATTAATAATATTTCATAACAATGGAACGCATGTACTTAAATAATGTATCCAGCTTGATGACCGTTTGAGTAAAGGGGTTTAAACTTTTCACAGTGTGATCTACTATTTTATGAAAATGTATAATTAAGTATAACTTAAAGTACTGTTTATTTTATATTTATGTGCGCACTCCACCTGTAATCCCATTGATGAGTTTAGGATTCGCAAAACACATTTTTATTTCTTTATTATGGGGGTGGGGAAGATTACATCTATTTCATTATTGATGCTAGATATAAGTTTGCTATGGCTACAGATTAAGATGCACAAAGTCGTATGTCTCATAAGCTCTTATGTGTATTAACCTATAAACATCAATGCTGTGGCTAAAAATAATAAATACAATTTCATTGCAGTTTTGCCAAACCTTAAACAAACAAACAACATTCGACTGGTGCAGCAATCTGGAAGCAAAACAAAGTTCATTCAAAATTCGTTCAAAAATGCAGGGGAGCAACGAGTTTCTTTGTGACAGTATTTGTTTGATATTTCAGAATTTTGCACATTTTTTATTCAGCATTTTCAATAAGGTTCAACAAATGAAGGGCTTCACGTCTGTCGTTTGTTTTGTGTACCATACCATGTATGTCATTCCCTTGTTTTGTTATTGTTACTACTGTATGCTTCTGTATCTGTTTTATGTATTTATATAAGTGCTTTTGTAGGCCCATTGTTCCTATTATTTAGGCATTGGAGTCCCATAGCGCAGGATGTAGACATAGAATGGGACGGCAGATAAGAACCATTCAGCACATCTAGTCTGCCCAATAAACTGTGAAACAGGGGAGTGCATTACTTCCTTGCTCCACCATAAGGGGGTAGTTACAGATAGTGTGCGTATCCACTCTAGGAATAGGCAGGTCAGCCTGGCGTGAATGCACGGCAGGTTGACTGCCAATCACAGCAGGTGGTTGGCACACTAAGGGCACACCAGACATTGAACACTATTTCAGTTCTCTCTGCATGGTTCTAGTGCCTGAGAGTACCACAAGAGCATCTAATGTAGCACTGGCGCTATACTTTCTGGGGTCAATTTGGACATTAAAATATGGAACCGAAGTAACAAAGTTGGGATGGAAGGACAAAACCCTGAAATAGAGACTATCCGATGAAATGGGCATTTGGGAGGGCTTATTCTTTAACACAAATAATCATATTATTAACTATAATATTATTGATATTTTTATTTATATTGTATAGTAAAATAATATGCCTTGATGAGTTTGAGAAATGTTTCATCTTTTTCAATCCAACAGTCCAATTCTCTACATGTTCAGTCATACTGGACCTGATGATAGCCAAGGACTTGTGGCAGACCTGTACTTAGGAATAACAAAAACAGAGAGCTAGTCAATGCATGGGCAGAAAATGTTCTGCAATGCTATTCAGAATATGTTAACAGCCGTGCGTAATAGCCTAACTTTGTAGTCAACTGCCAAGTGCCAAACACTAAAAATAAACAAAAGAGCGCCCCTTAAACAACACAAACTGTGACAATGATGTAACACAAAATGTTTATTTAACAGAACAGCTTATAATTCACATGGTGAAGCTCAATACAGCTGTGTTTGTGTTAAATTAAGCAAACTGGGACTTTAATTCCACAGAGTTCACATTAAGGTAGATATGGATATAATCCATCCTCTGTGCTGGTGAAATCACCAGCAAATCTATAGATTAGAAAAAGAAAAAAAAAACCTTGCCATACCTCCAAACACATGCAGCTGCTCCATCCAACGCTACATGAGCAAGTGCACACTAGGAGCTGTGGGAAGGCACCAGACATTTTTTGGGGGTGAGGAAGCTGCTCACACAGCTGCCCAAAACTCACAGATGCGTTTTTTACTGCTTTGTCAACAAAATAGCATTAAAGCCCAGTAAGGTCAAAATAAAACTTTTCATCTTTACATTTACTGGCACGTTGGGACAATTTATAGATCAAAATGTATGTTCTTTTAAAGGGACACCATATTATGGTAGCCATTACAGATGAAACCTACTGATATTCTATCATAAGATAAGTTACATAATAGAGCTGCAGTTAATGGAGCATCAACCTATTTATGTTTATAGATTTATATAAAAGGACACTAAAGTCATACAGACCACTTCATCTAAAAGGCGCAGTGGCCCTGTAATTTTAACCCTATAATGTGAAACACTGATTGCCGTTTTGGAGACATTGCAATGCTTACATCGTGTCTTCCTGACAACCACTAGAGGCAATTCCTTCTCTAGAACCGAGTCGTACTCGATCCTGCAACCAAATGCTACTCCGAGGCAGCACTTGATTGGAGAAGCAAAGCTTTTGGTTATTTTCAGGACAATAATTTCCTTTTTAAAATATACACATATTTTTGGCAAGGGTTCAAGAATTTAGTAAATTGTGAAACTAGTATGTACATCAGGTTATTAGCATAGATTTCACCTAGTCATTCTTACCTTGCATTTACCAGCAGCACGTAGCACAGATCTGTTCCAGCACGTGCGTTCCACCTTACTGGCAGCACCTGTTATACGGTACAAACATTCTCAGACAAAGCCTACAGCAAGTGGAGGCTCTTTCGCTTTTGTACATCTGGAAAATTTCAATGGCCTGCTAAGGTGATAATGTGTTATATTTAAATCTGGGTGGTTTTGGGGTTCTTTAGAGGGAATAACATTTCACCTATACACAGTTCTAGAGAAACTGGTGGCAATGTAGTTTTATGTCATTAATACAGATTTTCTTTATTGCAAGCGCAACCACCCACTTCTAAGCTAGACATGCTAATAAATGTGGGATGGCACTTGCGTCATTGAGGTTATGGCGGCTTTGCGTTCAGCTACTCACTCCATTTCAGAAATCCATGGTGATTGAGACAAAGGTAAGGATTTCTATTAATCGATTCATTCATTTTTGGCAATTCGCCAGAAAAATAAATACACTGAATACCTACCTACCTGATTGCCAACTTGACATTCACTCAGGTATACTTTAATGGGGAAACTGAGCAGCGAACCACATAAGAAAGGGGAATTAAATAAGGAAAGGACAAAAGGAAACGGGTCTAGGCACTTTTGGATTTGTTACTTAAAGGGACACTATAGTCACCAAAGCATCTTTAGGTTATTGAAGTCGTTTCGGTATATAGATCATGTCACTGCAGTCTTAATGCTCAAGTCTCTGCCATTTAGGAGTAAAATCACTTTGTTTATGCAGCCATAGTCACACCTTACTGCATGCGACTTACACAAACTTTCTGAACACTTCCTGTAAAGAGTTATCTAATGTTTACACTTCCTTCATTGCAAGTTCTGTTTAATTAAGATGTTCTTATCTCCTGCACTGTTAATAGCTTGCTAGACCCCGCATGAGCCTCCTGTGTGTGATTAAAGTTCAATTTACAGAGCAGGAGATAAAAACTTATAAAGCAAGTTAACATGTGATTTAAAATGAAACCATTTTTTTTTCAAGCAGGCTGTCAGTCACAGCCCGGAAGGTGTGGCTATATCTTCATAGACAGAAACAAACATGATTTGACTCCTAAATGGTAGAGAATTGAGCAGTGAAACTGCAGGTGCATGATCTAAACTCAAAAACTGCTTCACTACGCTAAAGTTGTTTTGGTGACTATAGTGTCCCTTTAATATCTGCAGAAGTTTTGTTGAATTCAGGCAGTTGAAACAAAAAGCTGTGCCATCTTTTATAGAAACAAACAACCAAACCTTTGCATCAACAGATTTTTTTTAAATACGTGTCAGTATAAAGAACACCCAAAATATGTAATACTTCCTGAATTTAATTGAATAATTTCTCAGTAAATGAGAGCAGGATTCATAATTGAGAAACTATGTAGGAATGACCACAAGGAGCTTAAAAACTAGACTTAGTGAACATTGCAGAAACATCGCTAAGGACTATTTAAAGGACCACTATAGTGCCAGGAAAACAAACTAATTTTCCAGGTACTATATAGTCCTTAGGTCCCCCGCACCCTCAGGGCCCCATCCCGCTGAGCTGAAGAGGATAAAACGCCTTCAGTCACTAACCTTAATCCTCCCTCAGCGTTAGTGACCTTTCCTCCCCTGTCGACGTCAGCTCCCAAGTGGAGCCGAATGCGCATGCACGGCCAGAGCCGCGCGAGCATTCAAACCATTGAGCTGAAGTGGTCTGGGTGACTAGAGTGGTCCTTTAAAGCATTCTGTATCAAAACACATTATCATGCATAATAAAGATACAAAACTGTTAAAATGTATAGCAATAAAAAAATGTGTGATTCCCTAAAGAGGTGGAGATATTAAGAATATCCTTAGGAAAATAGAGATGGAATGGGTATTTAATCTCCAAACCCTAACACTTTATGGGCTTAATGCTGATTTTGATTTATTTATTTTTACATAAGGTTTTTACGTCATATGTATTAGCCTTGTTGTATTGTTTTTCTTCTATTCTACTTTTATTGTCTACTGTATTAATTTTGATTTTATAACCATATCCATCTATTCCACTCAGTTTTTATGTTTTTATTATTATCAACATTACTGAGTCACAGTACTTTGAAATATGTACTCTTTGACTACTAGTTGTGTCTCACACAAGAATCCCCCCTACCCTTTTTTTTTTTTCTTTCTTTATTTGACTCTTTAAAAAAAACCAAAAAAAAAAACCTTATATTAATTAGCTCCTTTATATACACACTTCGTCACTTATATTAGGGCTAATTAGCATTAGACTTGTCTTCCACTAGGTGCCCCGATATATTGCATAATTGCCCTACACAATATGGCCACTGAGCATCCTACTTGCCCTACAAAATATGGTCGCGATAAACAGATAGCCTAACACACACCCTTTATGCGAGGAGGTATCCCTGCGTTATGGATATTAATTGATTTTATTTAATAAAGGATTGTAATTTTTGACAGTTATATTTGTGCCAATTACATTTATTATTATCTTATTAACTACTCCCTGGCGATAAATCTATTTTAACATCCTTACTCCAAAAAAAAAAAAATCCAAGGTGGGGATTATTCCACCAACGCTGTTACCAAGGAGCAGTTTGCCTGCTCCACCTTTGTGAGTATATTTTATCTTAGTTTTTTTTAATTATCTGTGGATTTTACCTAGAGCACTATTGTTGCCTTTTTATATTTTTCCCACTGAGCTCCAGACACCATTTCCTAATCGAGGAACACTCATGTTATATCCTTGAGTAGGGATTGAACCACTCCAGGTGCTACATGCTAGAGCTGGCTTAGGCTCTACAAATTGTGAGTGGGAATTTTATTATTTATCTCATTGCACTTATCCTGCCAGATATACTGTACCATTGGATTTCCTTCTATTTTTTTTGTCTTCCAAAGGAACCAAGAAGACAGCCCCTGTTATAAAGAACACCTACCTCTAAAAACAGAGGTATATATTTATGTTCTAAGGACTATTTTGGGGGCTAGTATACATACTGTTAATTTTATTCTTAGCGCAGCCTTTGTTTCCTATATTTGTGTTTTATTGTCTGAAGGGTTAGGAGGGATTCCCCTTCTTAAGGATTGCTGCCTTAATTGTTTTAGAGTAAATAGTGCTGATTCACACCGTCTTGTCTCCATGGCAATGCCTGGCAGCTATAGGGAAGTGGAATGAGATAGATACGATAAAGAATTGGATTTTACAGAGTAATTTGAGAAGAATGGTAAAAGTAAATCTTCCATTATTTATATAATGAAACACATTCCATGTTTATCATTTCTTCTGGATGGAAAAAACTGCTATTGGTACAAAGGACAGTGGGTTAAGTCCCTTATAGTATTTTCTTATGTGGGAGAAGAGGGTCATTGGAATTTGGCCACCAACTCTTCATCAGTTTTGCAGGACGTTCACTGCTATTTGAGCAGTTACCGTAGTTGCAGAAATCAATAACTTTAAGTCCAATCCTCGTGCCTGATCTCACCAAGCCACGGAAAGCAGCATTAGTAGGAGCCTCGAACACTCAAGAAGGTGTGGACTTGGAAGTCCATAGTGACGCCTAATTTTGTAAGAGTTTGCTATGCACGAGACATAGGCACAACTTGAGGAATTGTCAATGAAAATGAAAAAAATAGAAAGTGGTAAAAGGGCAGAGTAATTTAAACTGGTTTGCCCCATTACCGGGGAACAAACCAGGATGTTCCTCACATCATAACCACTACAGCAGGCTGTAGTGGTTATGACGCTTGGAGTAACGATTTAAAGCAAGGGGGGGAAATAGAGAATAGAGTTAAATGGAGAGAATCATCACTTTTTGCCTTACACACACTGAATACAAAAATAAATAAATACCCAAAGAAGACATTGTCTATTTTTTTAAACTGATACATCCTATATTGTCTGTCATGACATCAGCCATTTTGCTGTACATGTTCGAATTACAGTAAATGGAGTCCTACATTTCTTGTTTTAAAATGGTTGGTTAAAATTGTAAAGACAATTTCTTAAGGACATCCTCTTGTGAGGGCAGCCTATCATCCTTCCAAATTCAATAAAATGAGCCAAATTCACATAAAAAGTAGATACATCTCTAAGTATCCTTCTAGGTAAAATACCACAACAAATCTACTGGTTATCTCATCCACAGCACTTAAGAACACTCAAAACATTTGCGAATTTCAAAACCAATTTGTGATAGCCTTTAAAAGTTATTCTCCCCCTTCAACCGTATCATGAATCCTCCATCTGCATAACAGACTGATAGGCCAAAAATACCCTGAAAGCAGATCACAGCAGAGCACTGGGTAAATGAAGATGAAAGGACGAGAGAATAAAGCAGTTTGAGCTGATCTCATTTTCTGAGGAATGGGATTCACATATCATTTTACTGACCAGCGAAGCAGAAGCTGTGATGTGCTCTTAACTTGGTACATTAAAGAATGGATGGATTTGTATCACTAATAAAGTGCATGAGGGTTTAGTTCTGTTCCAATGCAACAATCAATAATTGGATATTAAGATGTTTAAAATGTATTTTTACATAATTTCTCTCTGTACAGCTTGTTAAACAAGGGATCTATTGACTAAATTATAGTAAACTGGCAATCCTATATTTGAACAAAAATACATTTTAAACTAGCCAAACCATCTTTTTTTTTAACTTGATTACTCTCGACTAAATTGTGTAAATCATTTAGTAAATTACCATAATTTATTTGATGAGTGATTAAAACCCCAAATCTTGCCTTTGTGTTCCATATGACAGTTAGGGGTTTGTTAGCCTCTCCAGTTACTAAGAAAGACTAACACTTGGAAACATACACACCTCAACAATTTTCAAAGAACAAAGTTAATAGGTTAATTGCCTGCTAATTCTGAACATTCCAAAAGTAAACTGTGCTTAGTAAGCAGTTCGTAGGAACAACATGTGAACTATGATCACTTATTTTGTAGTTAGAACACGATCGTTCATTAAATGCACGTTTACCAGATTTTTTCCTAGACTTTTATCAAACAAATAATTCATCTGTTTTGTTCTCCTGGAACTGAAAGCAGACAGTGATCTGATGTGTGTAGTATGAAAACTTCCCCTTCGTAGTCCACTTTTTTGCAATCCCACTTGTCTCATGACAGATGAAAAGTTCCATTAATTAACCTGGTCTGGTCTAGGAGCATGAATCCAGTCAGTATTAAAAGGCAAATTGTTAATTGTACCACCAGTGAAATGCCACTAGTGGCCTAATTAAGGAAACGTCTCCCAGTGGGCACTCTAAGGGCAAAAAGGCACGTTTAGTCTCTAAAAGAGGTTTGTAGGCCTATGTCAGGGAAAAGGGATTGAGAGGAAAAAAAGCAATTAATAAACAAGTCATCAATAAATAGTTTTTTTTCCATAACAGGCTTAATTGGCTGCGCTTTAACCCCTTTATGACCAATGTCAAGTATGTATTTGTATTAACCTAACCCGAAGTCATGAAAGAGTTAATATATATTTGACTATTACTCACTAGGCTAATCATTGGCACTGCATTGCAATAAAACATGCCTTCCTAGAGCTCAAACGTACAAAGCCTTTTGTACTTTCGATTTACTTTGCAAATACTCAATGTTGTCCACAGAACCAAAGGCTAAAAAAAAAAAATTGCAAATTAAGATCTGCAATAAAAAAAAAAAAAAGCAGCCAATCTTTTTCTGTCAATGGACTCTGATGTTAGAATGTTAGAAAGTAAAAACACAGCAAGCAAATTCTTAGCATCTGGCTATGGGCCAATATTTATGAAGATGAGCTTTCCCATAGCACATCATAGCATGAAGCAGTTGGAGAGCTAATTAAAACCAGCTACTTGTTACTTTCCATTAATGTAGCATGCTTGCAGGAAATACGGTCAATTCATTCACAGACTACCATTCTCATTAATGGTGCGAAGTGCAAGAAAACAAAATCTGAAATAAAATATATATTAAAAAGCTTTATGCAGTAAATACCATTGCCTGCTAAAAATCTTGATTTAAAAAAAAGAATACACTGGATTTTTTATAGAGAGGCATCGTGGGGCAAAGTTCTAAAAGTAGAGTAATCACTGTGGTAACCAATGGAACATTCTTGCTGATTGCTATACATTTAGGACTTGCTCTACTATTTCTCTGGACGAATACCCGCATCTGGGGAGACTTATGAAAGAGTCATGATCAGAAAGTGATGAAACCACTATGGACGCTTGTGGAACCTACAAGTACATACAAATGGTTATTGCCTTCTACAACCTTTAAAGGACCACTATAGGCACCCAGACCACTTTAGCTTAATAAAGTGGTCTGGGTGCCAGGTCCAGCTAGGATTAACCCTTTCTGTTGTAAACATAGCAGTTTCAAAGAAACTGCTATGTTTCACTGAGGGTTAATCCAGCCTCTAGTGGCTGTCTCATTGACAGCCGCTAGAGGCGCTTCCGTGCTTCTCACTGTGATTTTCACAGTGAGAAGGCGCGGAGGAGGAGAGTCCCCAGCGCCGAGGGAGCCCGGCGCAGAAAAAAAAAGGTAAGGAATTAACCCCTTCCACACCCTAGAGGTTGGTAGGATGGGGGCCCTGAGGGTGAGGGGGACCCAATGACCCTATAGCACCAGGAAAACTGGTATGTTTTCCTGGCACTATAGTGGTCCTTAACAACTTCTTAAATCACGAAACTTGATCTTTTTGAACAATAAAGAAGCCTTTGTTTTCGGAAATGCCCACGTTGCAATTTGACCATCAGCTCACAACAAATACTGTTTAGCCAACAATCCCTTAGAGCAATCACATTAGCAGGATTGTGCATCTACAGTGATTATGCCAGACTGATTCATCTGTAATGCAATCACGTTACCCGAGCTCCATAACACGTATATGTATATGAGTGAAATATGTTAATATTCAGCACTTGGTATGGCTTTGTCTGTAATGCACGTTTGTTAGAACTGTCGGGAAGCCCATCACATTAAAACATTCAAAGTAATGTGTTTAGTTCAAGGAGTGCAGACATATATAAGTAAGCAAAAAGGCTAGATGCCTGGAACAAATCCAAAATGACAGCCAGTTAAAATGTAACAATGCAAACTATATCATGCAAAGCATAACTCCTTCCTCCCCCACAAAAAAAAGATAAATATTAGCTATTTTAGAAAGACAACATAGTCTTCAGAGACATGGAAGGTGGGGATGAGAGTGTCTACTTCCTTACAAAATATGAGTGACCTTCTTCAATGCTTTATTTGACACTATAAATCCTGTTTACAGTCTTGCTTAATACATTTTTCTTGGATACATATATATCATGGTGTTACAACAAGACTGGCAAAGAATCCTAATTTTAATATATTAAAACGCAATTGCACTTGCAATTTCGCATAGGCTTTGCAATTATCAGATGTGCTTGTACTAAAACCTAAAACACAATTAGAACCTTGCAACATATTTTAATGACTCTCTACACTAAGGCATCATTCCTTTCTGTTACGTAAAGCGTTGTTTGAGAACCTAATACTGCATGCATGGCACATGTTCATTGCCCTGCACAACAATGCACTCTACTGGCTCCCACTGACGTCAATGCAGCCCTACATTGCTTACTAACATGTTTCTGCAGTGAGCTGCATAAGACTCTCTACATTGAAATGCAACATATTGCAGTGCCCACTAAGACTTGTTCTCCATTTAGTGTCGCAGAGAAGCATGCATTGAAGCCCTGAACAAGTTAAATGGCAATCTCCCTGCAAAATGAGCTTAAAGGGCTGCAAAAGGTCTCCCTCAAACTCATTGGAGACACGAGGAGGTTTTCAGCATGCCTTTAAAAGGAAATAAAGGGAGAAAAGAAGATTCTCCCAGCAGAACAGAGTTGCACAGAAGCACTGCCTTACAGCCCCTCTCATGCATTCCAGTGTGATACAGAGTCACAAGACTTGTCACACAGCACTTTAACCAGCATTGGAACGCAATCTAAATCTGGAAAGCCTGGCTCTGCTCTCTTGGAAACCACATACAAGGAAACAATCGCTCACACCCCTTAATTTACTGAGATTCCTGTGCTGGAACATTTTTTTTTCTGTTTTAAAGGAGATCTTGTCTGATGCTTTGTTCTCTATTCTGAAATTTTCTGATGGATTCTGATTTGCAACACAGGAACGAATTGCGTATATCTGACTTGGTGCCAAATTCTAGACATAATGCTGTTGAAATTTTAAAAAGGCAAGTGCACCTAATAAGTACATACAGTCACAAATGTCCTTCTATTGAATCATTAGGGATGGATGGATGGATGGATGGATAGATAGATAGATAGATTTTAAGTCATGACAGTCAAGCTGGAGAACCTCTTAAAGGACCACTCTAGGCACCCAGACCACTTCAGCTTAATGAAGTGGTCTGGGTGCCAGGTCCAGCTAGGGTTAACCCATTTTTTTATAAACATAGCAGTTTCAGAGAAACTGCTATGTTTATAAACGGGTTAATCCTTACTCCAAATCCTCTAGTGGCTGTCTCATTGACAGCCGCTAGAGGCGCTTGCGTGATTCTCACTGTGAAAATCACAGTGAGAGCACGCAAGCGTCCATAGGAAAGAATTGTAAATGCCGCGCGTGCGCATTCAGCCGAATGGGCAGGAGGAGGATCGGAAGAGGAGAGCTCCCCGCCCAGTGCTGGAAAAAGGTAAGTTTTTAACCCTTTCCCCTTTCCAGAGCTGGGCGGGAGGTGGTCCCTGAGGGTGGGGGCACCCTCAGGGCACTATAGTGCCAGGAAAACGAGTATGTTTTCCTGGCACTATAGTAGTCCTTTAATCTAACTTATTTTCCATGTGATATATTTAGCCTAAAATATCCATTTTCAGTTCTCATCCACTCCCAATTTAGAAAACCTCCTAACCTTGAACCAATTCTTTTTATAAGATCAGCTTCAACATAAGTCAAACAATTACATGAATACAATTGCTACTGCCGACACACATTTTTAAATGCATATAGATAAGACTAGGCACTTTCAAACTTACTTAATATCTACTTATAACATGTGCCTTTTATTTGTCTTACAAAGTGGCCATGTGTTAATAAAGGGGTCCATTTTCTATAAAATATAAACCATGTAATAATATTAGTGGTAGTAATAACAATAATAATTCATGAGAACACTACACTGCAATTAACAATACGCCATTCCTTGGTATTATTAATATTAGGTCCCACATATGAAATGTGATGACAGAGGTACATTTTTCAAAAGTTACATGCCTGGGTGGTTTTACTAGTTAACGTTTGCATGTGCAAATGGTTTACATGCTACATTTGCTTTAACAATCATCCAGCAGATGGCACACTTCTGAGTCCTTTGCCATCCTATTCCAAAAAGGATAACAAAAAATATTAAATTTTTTTTTTTAATTATTATATGAAGAAATCCAATGGTCACACAATGTTCTACGAAATAAGGAGAAGGATTTGTTTGCATTGTCAATATCATTCATTTATAAAGACAAAAGAGAATTTGCTGCAGCACTAAAACGAAAGCTGTACACAAATGGGCAGATGAGCTGTCAATCTAAAGATGGCGAATAATTCTAGCACATGTTGTTTATTGCAGTAGAGCAATGATGAGACCTATAAAAAGGGGACTAAGTCAAAACAACACTTTTTACCAGAAAGCGGCCAAGAATCTCTTCTCATTAAAACACAGGCTGCAGCTGTTACATTCTGTGTGTAGGATGGGATCGGTCATGTGACGCATAATGTATAGGTTAGTATTACCACTACAGAACTGTTAAATTAACAAAAGGATGCTGCAGAGGCTCAGTGTGGTTTTTTTGGTAATGTCTACGTTTAACTTAAGACAATGTAAAAAAAATAAAGAAATAAGAGGAAAATGTAGTACGTGCTGAAGAACTTCCTCCACAATGCAGTCAGTGAGGAAATCTCTTTTACATATTGTATATTCTATTTATTACCAATTCGTCCCTACAGGCAAAGCAGCCAGCCTAATGTTGGCTAACACTGCACACTCTCAATTACAACCTGCACACTCACCTGTAAAGACCTGTCTCCTCTTTGTTAATGATCTGCAGGAAATTAACAGCTAGTAGGGTCTCCTGTGGGGAGGCAGAGAACTGGTCTAGTTAAATGCATGGCCGCCCTGGCACTTTCAATGAATAACTTGGTTTTTATTTAAACAAGGTCGTTTCCAGAGCCTGTAGCCATTAAGGGTCTGGGAGTTAAGGATAAATTGTGATAGATTATTAGCTCTGTTGGCCTGCGGCCTTGTTCACATCATATAGAAGGCTGATATGAGATTTATAAGGTAGAGAAGCAGGTTTGACCCTGGCTTTTATGAGATCTCATTTTAGATAAGCGGTGTGTGCAATAACTACGTTTTCCCACACAGACTTAGATCTATTCTGATCTTTTACGTCCCTTATACAAGCCACGTCAGTGATCACAAGGAGAGCAGTAAAGAAGCTGTGTTCCGTCTGCTAGAATAAACAATAGAGATTTTAAACCCAATCCTCATGACACAAAAATTGTGCAGGATTTCTGCATTTTGCAAGTCTGTTCTGATGGTGATACAGACAAATCGTGGCTAGATGGTGTGCCTCGACGACTTGGAAGGAACCCACTGGCATAGGCAACACTTTCCATCACCTATTGCTCGGTAGATGATGGTAGAGGACATACTATTGTTGCAGGAAGGGCATCTATGGAATTTCCAGCCCAAACATCAGAAGAACGGAGTATCATCTCACATGGCTCTTAAAGAGAACCCCACCAGTACTAACTTATCCTATACTCTCACCCCCCTTCCACTATTTGGCTCTACTTATTAAAGACTCCTACAGCCTAGACTCAGGGAAACTGGTATTTGTAATTATTGCACGACACATACACAAGGTGTATATCCAACAAATTTCAGTATATATGCAATAAAGTGGTGGTTAATTAGCCAACTTGAGATGGGGGGGAGGGATGTATACCTTTTACTAAGCTCCAAGTTGCAGCCAACTTATGAAAACTGAATCTGGATGGGGGTGCACATCAGATTTCAGGTTGGATTTCACAATGTATATAGACTTGGGCATTTTCACAGTCCAGGTAGAGAATGTAAAAAATAATAAGTTAAAAATCCCACCACTCCCCTACTGTGGGGGGTAGAGAGATGCCCATATTTTCCCAACAATAGAGAATAGCAAAAAAAGGAAGAAAGAATCTGTACAGGCCCTCCAACCACTCACATTTTATTTTGGGCCATCACATGATGTTGCAGGGGCTTAGAAGGCAAACTAACTTAAAGATTAAATGTACAGACTGTACAGCTTTCCTGGATGCAGCGACCCTTCATAAATAAATAGTTATAATATAGAATGCAACACATCTGATGTCTGTATATTCCATTTACACTTCGGGCAGCCTGCTATTATTATTTATTTATTTATTTATTCATTATGTTCAAACAGATTCTGCAGTGCTGTACTTTGGGGAAGTATATTTATTTGCAAAGTATTAAAGCAGCCTCTTTCAGCCAAAGTGGATACATTAAATCAAAAGGCCCTTGAGGCTCCAGAAGAATCAAGCAAACACACTACATTGCCATCTTTATATATATATAGTGGTTCTCTATTGTGTTCATTAAGCAGCCTTAAACTTTGGGGCCGTCAAAACATCTCAAACACAATGTTGAAGGAAAAAAAAAAGAAGAAACAAAAATCAGCAGTTTGTACTTTTAGTGCCTTTGCCAACGGAAACCTTATAATAAACAACTAGATTGAAAGATCTTCATACACAGGACATAGAAATCTACAACAGAATGGGTTCTATTTGTCCATATGTGCAAATGAAATCTTTTTGAGTCCAACTCACAGGGAAGTTAACGACAGCCGATGTGAGAATAATAATGTCAAAGCAATCACAATCTCACAGTTCCAATAAATTTCAAACACCACTTTTACCATTTTAAAACCTGTATTGCTAATGCTATAATATTTTCCTGTGGCTTTTAGTTTTAGGTCACCACTCAATTCTAAATGTAACAAATGGAAAAAAGTGTTTTACAAAGATCCAGTGCGGGCAGCTGCTCCATTTGCCTCCCTCCACCAACAATGTTGCTTGTCCAATCCTAGGCTTCTCATAGAGACAGCTAAAGAGCAACAAGAAAGCCACCAGAGGCATATTTAATTCTGAAATGTAAGCATTGCTTCATCTACTAAATGGAAATATTTTATATTGCAGGGTTAATACTATAGGACCACTGCACCCAGACCACTTCATTGCGATGAAGTGGTCTGGGTGAAAATTTGACTATAAGTGGTCCTTTAAAAAGCTCAAGTGTCTTAATAACAATTCTGCTGAAGAGGAATTAGCAACACTAACAGCAGACACTCAGTGAATTCAAAGTCTCAAAGGACCTAAGAGAACTTTTGTAGCAGTTAACCAATACCGCAAAATAATTCTACATGTTTAAACACTAACTAATAATTCATCTTCAATCAATTTGACCAATAAAGGATATAGCAAAATCTATAACAAATACATGTTAGCACAATATTTGAAATGTCCATTTAGACTTACCTTAAGGAAACACACACGCTACAATGTCCATGAAACATAATGATTAAATTAGACATCTGTCATCTATGAAAACCATTAATCTACTTACCTGCAAACTTTCAAACTGTGATATAATAATAAATAAATAAATAATAAAAAAGGACACGATATCAGCCTATCACGCCTAACATTGCCAGAGTACCAGAGTAGGTATGGTTTTAATACAATGTATTTTTATTTTTCTTGACAAAAAAAAGGTTTCTTCTAAAAGGCAGTCTTTTATTAGGAACAATAAAGTGGAGACAACGTTTGGGCTCCTCTCTAAACCTTTATCAAGTCTCAAGGTATCTCAATGTATCAAAGTAATAAGGACTTGATAAAGGCTCAGAGGGGAGCAGAAACGTTGTCTCCACTTTGTTGTTCCTAATGAAAGAATGCCTTTTAGAAGAAACCTTGTGTGTGCCTGGATATTTATCTTTTCTTTCACTTGATGTCTCCAGGGATTGTCCCTCCGTTTTTGGATCACCCTGCAGGAAGTATTCCCCCATTTTAGGGTGTGGATTACAATCTTGTTTTCTTGCAAACAACCGCATTTGGCAGCATTATGGATAGAAAAAGGGTTTGTGAAATTTGGATTGTGATGACTGTCATTATACAGGCCAAAATTCATAAGATACTATTGATCGGTTACTAATGCCAGATCACAATGAAGGTCTCAGTTGACCTTTTTTATAGTTGTTATAAAAGCCAATAAAAATATACACTGATGAAAAAGACATGGCATCGCAGTGCCAACCCAGCTACCGTGGTATATATACGTGAAACATATAAAAACATATTTTGTGACTAAACTCACAAAATTATACACTGAAATATCTGTGCAGCCAGTCTTATTTACAGTATGAGCATTTTAAATATACTAACAAAATCTATGATGAAATGATGTTTCCATACATATGTACTAAAATAGTAATAACTAGGGAAGGGGCTGAGACATGTTAGTGTTTCAGAACTGTATGCTATAGCAACATTCCGCTTCGTAGGCTGCTGTGGTCTCTGTTTTGCTGTGTTTATAACAAGCTACATTAACTTACAGAAATGGTCTCACCCTGCAGTATATATTTTGCCAGTGACATGCCAGAGACTATTGAGGGATAAGAATAAACTGTAAGCCTAAGCAGCAATCCTCCAACGAACACACAATTAATTAGAAAACAGAACTGCTCACGAGCGCTAGAACCGCTTGCATTAGAAGAGTGCTTGGGGAATTGTTGTAAGACTAAAAGACACCAAATCATTATTGTATATAAACGTCCATGTCGCGATGCCTTAGGATACAAATTGCTAACTTTGGCACTGCAGATATTTGTGAAATACATTCCCCATGATCCTCAGCCAGCTCAAGAGGTGTGTGGATATTTATTGTATATATGGCGTGGTTAATGCTGTTTCAGTTTTGGTTTTATTCACATTTCACTGTTTATTTTTACATAAAGATTTGCATTTTCCAAGATGAGTGAAGGCCCAAATAATCCACACCAAGCTTGCACTGCAAAAAAAATACATGACAAATGAATCATATCAGTTGTCATTGGCAGATCAGCCCTACAGCGGTGTTTTAGGGGAGGGGAGCAGCAGATTTGAGTCATTGCAGCAACCAGAAATATATACTGAAATTATTGCGGTGTGCAAGCTGCAGTACTGTGCTCTGTATTTGTACGAATTATGTGCAACTTGTGTTCACAAGCCCTCCTATTCATTACTAAACAGGTATACACCGAAAACCAGAAAGGTGGTCAAGCACATTGACTGTTATCTTCGACAGCTACTGTACAAATACATCATTTTGGACATAGTAACACCATATATACCGTATTTTTCCATGTATAAGACTATGTTTTGGTACATCTTACAGAGCATTTATAACATAACCTGAATAAGCAGCGACATGTAGCTTTTTATTCGGTTGTCTACGCATTCACTGGGAGAAAGGAGTATGACCTTGTATTTCACCTGACAACTATAGGTAAAGAAAAAAAAAAAAGGTTAAAAAAATAAATACAAAAAAGTAAAAAAGCTTGAAAGGTACTTGCTTGTAGATAGTAAAGTAAAGGGATAGAAGCAACAGGAATAAAAGGAATTGGATCACTGAAGCAAATCATGATTTACTTCACAGCATAATTGATAAAAAGATCAAGGCAGCATTTCGCTGAGACGTGCTACTTGGGTAATCACCCCATTACTCCCTTGGATGTCATCAGTTGATGTAATTAACCAGAGCTCGTTAGGGTAAAGACATCAAGCAGCGTCAATGCCAACCCGAAAGAGGCAAGGAATAACTAGGAAAGTCTGTATTTCTATTAGATCTGTGTATTATTTCATAAAGTGCTACTATGTTTCTTTTTATGGCTCATTTTCCGTATTATCTGTTCAAGGGATGCTTGGCATGTTTTATCCACCCTCCTTTAAAATGAAGTGGTATTTTCCATGACCTTGGCACCATTTCTGGATCTCCATGCATGAAGCAGCTTGCTGGAATGTCTCTGGCCAGACGACACTGGAAAATGATTTCCAAAGTGGGCATTTGTTAAACGGGTTCAACTATCAAGTTACATTTTATAATAAGTACATCTGTAGCAAGTAGCAGGCATAAATAATGGTTATTGTGTAATGCTAACATTCCATCTTGCCAGCTGTAATGTGAAAGAGTTACAGTAATTGTCCCTGTGAGCTTTGTACTATTAGCCTAAGGCACGTGTTTTATAGTCAATTTATGGGATACTACTTATATACTAGAGGGCGTAGTACAGAAAAAGGTTGCTTACGCTAATAATCCACACGTTAATCTGTAAAATCGCATGATTGTCATCGTTGGGTTTAATAACCAGAAGCGATTTCTTTTCCAGGATATGCTGTGAAAAGTTTGTTTTTCTACTTCATCTATAAGTAAAAGGTGAATGATTTGTTTAAAAAATGTATGCAAAGCATACATGCAGGGATGGTCAAAAAGGTTGCTCCTCATTTGTTGTATGTACTACAACTCCTAGGATGCTTTGCATGACATTTGGTAAACCCGATACAGCCTGCAGATTGCTATGAACACGTTGCCACTATAAGAATACTGTAAAAAAAAAAAAATGTTAAAGCTGTTAATACAGTCTGGTTAGAGGTCACATGATCATGTCGATAAGCATTTTTTTTTTTGGCCCACAGGAAAGCAGAATTTGCTTAGAATTAATATTTTACAATGGCCAAGTGACATGTGGTCAGGCACTCACTGTTTAAAACAAGACTGTAGAAAAAGAGTTCCTCTCCAGATGGTTTGGACTCATCATCCAAGAGCAGCAATATGCAGACTGAGAATAATGTGCATAATAGTCCAACAATTGGAAAGGCAATTTTACTCAATGTGTTGTTGGTGGATACAGGAAGTTGTACGAAGGTGACAAAATGTTTGCTCCTGTCTCTGCTTCCTAGGATATTCTGGGAATTTTGTTATTCTGAGTCCCCCTCACTTTAATACACAGATGCTTTCAAATAGCATATTAAATGTGCAGTTTGTTTTCTATTGAACTTTAATTGACGTTTAATGCAGAATAGACACAAATGCTTTTGTACTAGTACGAAAGAGTCAATTTCTTTTAATCCACGCCCGACTTATTCAATCTGTTAGGGATTTAACTGTGGAGTCCTATTCAATGAACTTGTGTTATTTATTGAATCAAACTCCACAGGTAAATCCAGAAGAGGTTGATTTGTTCGGGCATTCGTACCAGCTGAAAAGCATTTGTGCACAAGTCTAATGCAGAAATGTTTTGAGGTTTTTTTTTTACCCTAAAGACAACCCTAATTTTCCTGTTTTCTCTGGGTCTAGGGCTCAACTTCTGTCAGCTTGCTGAATAGCTCCAGTCTATTTTTTTCTTATGAAGGAGCAAGAGGGGGCTGAGTTAATGTGAGGCCTTTTTTCATGTGCTCCCTCATAGAAATGATAGACTGTGAGGACTTGTGCATGCATTGTGCCTACAAGCCATACAAGTACTTGTACCTTGAACTTACTGCAGCAGTGACTTTGGCAAATATTACAACCAAAATGGTGATGGAAGAACTCCTTACACTCATGTCTACACAAAGAATAATTTGAGATAGCGAAAAAAATGTCCACCTGTGCTATCATTAACAGATAATTATGTCAGTCTGCTATTGACTATCTTTATAAGCACTGGTTAATCAGTTCTTGATGAAGTCTTTCACTTTAAATAAAATATGAATATGTGGTGGTAAGACAACAACTCCTATCATCCAAATCTAAATCAAATTTAACCAGACCATTGCATTCTGTTTGTAGACATGCAAACTGCATAAAAGAAAAAGAAGAGGTAAGAAAAATCACAAATAAAGCATACTTTAAAGAAAAATTGAGCACACAAGGAAGCCTTCTTGCAAAACAGAAACCTTTCAATACAGCAATTTGTAAACCTATTTAGGTTAAACGTCCATACGTTAATAATAAAAGTACAATAGAAGAAATATAAAACCCAACAACGCAGTTACCATGACTATATTAACAAGGAACTACAGAAAAATTATTACACTTGCAATTTCAATAAAAGATTTAACAGTCTCCTTAAAGTTTAAAGGTGACATACCTCTAATTGGAGATACATATACATTCTAAACGGTAACATTGCTACTTATTGTTATTTATCTAGACAATAACAGCGGGGAGGTACTGAAAAAGTATTCAAGAAATATTGAATAGCAGTCAAATTATACTTTGAACAAATTTGGTTATTGCAACAGATAATGAACCCCCTAATTGATATGATTGACTTGCCTGACACTACTGCACCACCTGTACCAGGGCCTATATTTATACATTTTACAGCACTGGTGGCCACAAGATAACCCCTCATCTGTTGCTGAACTATAATTTTCATGATGCATTGCCAGTGGTAAAAAAACATCATGGGTGTTGTAGTTCTGCAAGGGCTGGGGGGGTTATACAGATTATTCAACTACTGTATATTAACCACCCACAATGCTCCTTGACAGAAAAGAGCATATCATGGGAGGGAGGAGGAGGGTAATGTGTAGAAGAAGCAGACATTTCCTGGATTAGTTTGCAGGGATAAAGCTGCTAAGAGCAGCATTATGCCCTTTATGTCACTGAGTGAGACTATGAGCCAAGCACACTTTGCTCCAGCAGCCTGGAGTCTCCATTCAGATATCAGAGCGGATTGTACGCAGAAGGGGGAGTGTTGAGGGCTGGTTAGGTAGTAAGAAGAGACGTCAGCAGCTGTCATGGGATACGCCTCCCATTTATAATTTACAACAGCAAAGCATGTGACTGCAGTTGGAAGCCTTACACGCAATTGCATCAGAGTAGAGAACATACATCCAGATCCAACATAGGAAAGCGTGCTCTCTTACAATGCCAGTCTCGTCATGTCATAAGACAGTCAGACACAGGGTGACAGTCAAATCTGGATTTAATACACCCATAGCAGTAACGGCATTAACCCCTTCAAGACTAGTTTTAAGCAAGTCCCTTGGACCTGAAAGAGTTAAATTACTATTATAATTAATTTATTTATTTTTTAATGTTTTTTTTAACTGCAACTAAAAAAGACAGTTGAAGAAAAACAAACCTCTGTAGGCTGTTGCTGCTCAGTGGGGTTTATCTATGAGATAGCAAATTGTGGTAACGTGAGAACACACTTGCAATATTTGGAGCACCATATTGGAAGTAATATCCCATTCAGTAGAAGTTTTGTTAAAGGACCACTATAGGCACCCAGACCACTTCAGCTTAATGAAGTGGTCTGGGTGCCAGGTCCAGCTAGGTTTAACCCTTTTTGCTGTAAACATAGCAGTTTCAGAGAAACTGCTATGTTTACCTGTGGGTTAATCCAGCCTCTAGTGGCTGTCTCATTGACAGCCGCTAGAGGCGCTTCCGCGCTTCTCACTGTGATTTTCACAGTGAGAAGATGCCAGCGTCCATAGGAAAGCATTGAGAATGCTTTCCTATGGACTGGCTGAATGCGCGCACGGCTCTTGCCGCGCATGCGCATTCAGCCGATGACCATAAAAAGGAGGACGAGAGTCCCCCACACAGAGGGAGCCCGGCGGGGGAAAAAGGTAAGGGATTAACCCCTTCCATCCCCTAGAGCCGGCGGGAGGGGGACCCAGAGGGTGGGGGGGACCTAGAGACCCTGTAGTGCCAGGAAAACTAGTATGTTTTCCTGGCACTGTAGTGGTCCTTTAATTTCCTCCTCATTTCCTTGTTCAATAGTAAACAATGTTAACAGTTTATTCATTTTTGGAGTGTTCTAAATAGGATTCTAGTCATGAGTCTCTTCCTATGATTCCTAAAAAAAACTAAAAAAAAATACCACTCTTATGCTTGTTTATATAATGAACACACTTTCACTTAGTGTAACTGTTACTTAGTAAATTTTGTACCAGGCCAGACTTTTGTAACAGTTTCTTTAGCTCTTATTCTCAGATTCAAATGAAGTGTCACACAGTAATGAGAAACAAAATTCTTCAATTACATGTTTCTGTCTCGTGTACATTTTAGGGCATTATATATTGTGTGTGCACACTACTACTTGGCTAGTATCATTATAACACATATTGTATAACAAAGGCTAAGGCTTCAGCATTTTAAATCAGGCCTAGTTCTGTACATTGAACTATTAGAGGCTCCATTTGGACTTTGTGTCAAAGATTAAAACCTTGCTTTCTATGGCTGAGATAACTGCCCTAGAGTAATGTAATCTAATCCACTTTCTTAAAGATTTTTTCATGACATTGATATCTATAGGTTACCAGCCTAGGATTTATAACTTCTCAATGTACTCCATGACCTTCATCCAATATTATCTTTAAGAGCTGTATGCTGGTATGTTTGAATAAAGAGAGGGGGGGAGGTGGGGGGTATTGTGTTAACCGTAAAAGCAATCATATAATACATTGAATGGATAACTATTTGTATAAGCAATGTCTCCTATTAACAAAAAAACAAAAAAGCACAGATCAATGACAAACGGTAGATTGAAAGATCATTCATCACCTAAAATTTACATGAAATAAGAGTTGATAAACTTGGCAATTAAATAATTCTAATACCATTCAATGGTCCCATGTGTGCCACTTCTGCCAATTGACAGGATGTGAACGTAAGGGAAAGAAAGCTTGACAACCAGATTTAATGGCATCTTAAGAGAATACATTCAAGCCTTTATTTGATTAACAAGTGTTTTTAACAAACAGCTTTTAAAAAATACCCTTAATTCCCAGAGGCATATGTTAGGAGATTACCCACTGGCACTCAAACTGTTAATGTGACCTTTAACCTTCACTGCCTAATGTGGAGTGACACCTTGTCAACTGATATAATTTGTGAGATAACAGCTGTTTAAAATCTCTGTGCCTGGTACAAAAATGCATATATTCCAGTGTCTCATTTTGGCTACTTTAATTTTCTTGGTTTGGGTCTTGTATTGTATTCTCTAGGTTACTTGATTACATCTAAACTCGTTAATAATAAAAAAAAAAAAACCTTTTGTAATGTGGAAACAAAATGTTACCAAGCGCACCATATCATGAAAAACAACATTAACAGTGCTTTACCTTGCTATCCACAAGAAACAGCAAGTCACTCACAGCTACGGTTGCTGTGTTTATTGGAAGATTTATCAAAGGTATAGTTTCCAATACAATATTACGGGAACTCGGGCTAATAAAAGACATATACTGAGATCAATCATTGTCTTGTGTCCCAACACAGTTTATTTGGCGTCGACGGGAATAATTTGCCTAGTTTGAAAATGCCAATTCATACCTCACTTTAAATGAGTTTAAAGAATATTAATTTACCATATTCCTACCTATCCTTCCAAACACAAAATGAAGGTCATTAGACATCTACTATGCATTGTATTCATGTCAGTTTTAATTCTATGTCTTAGTTACTGTGGCAACTATTCCACAGAGAGTAACGACCAAAAGGACTTAAAAAAAAAATAAAAAGGCCAGGGACCATTCTACCTGTTATTTTGTGCATTCTGCTCAAGAGGTTAATTTATAACAAACATCATCCACTATCGTCACCCAGTAAAGGCTAGTCAAAGTTTAAACCAATGTCACTTGAAAGGTGGTCATGATTTAAAACACTTAACCTAATCACTGCTCACTAACCCCTATTAAGCAACAGTCCATTCTTCCTACACCCCTAATGGTAATGGCAAATCAATGAGTGAGAATACTCGCTTACTTTAAAAAAAAAAAAAAGGCTTAATTATCTTCCTTTATAGAAACACATTTGCACAGCAATAATAAATGATCGCTGTTAATTATTGCTCCAAAATGCTTCCTGTGCCACAAGACACAAGGGAGGAAAGGGGTGTGCAGGTTATTCCCCAGAGATGAAATCATTATAAACCAAATGACTATTTCATTGAGGTGAATTTGGTCATTTAAAACTAGTTTAACTATTTCAGTACACAAGATGTCGCAATGGAATGTTTAGTTGACCCGCAAACAGTTCCAACATGGATTATCAGATGTTTATAGAATAAGGAGTCAGACACAGATTTAGAAGCCACTAGGCTTTTTTTTATGTCAGAAAAAAAGTAAGCCCACAGATGTCTATATAACATGCTTTAAAAAAAAGTCAGGCATTGTATGTGTATATATATATATATATATTTACAGTAACAGGCACCAATAGGCACCCACCACTAAGCCTCAGTGCTCGACATCAGATGCACAATTTTTGATGGATGCATAGATGACCTACGCAAGCATTTTTCTGAAGCTGTGATGATACTGGTGTGAAAGATGTTATTGAGTGTTTCTAAATTTGGAGATTAGACTTTAGAATCAGGAAATAGCTTGACATTTCCATTTGCGTTGGATTCACAGGGTACCTATACTAAGGGATCTTGTATAACCAGATTGAATTGTGCAAAGGATATTTTCCCAAAAAGTATTGTTTATTTGGGTAGATTCCATAAAAAAAAAAAAAAAAACATTTGAATTAGAACAATTGGACCCTAGATTACATCTGGATCCTGCCACTACAATCTCGATGGAGGTGGTGATTCATACAAAAGAACCTGTATCCATTCCTAACATCAATAAATAAAAAGGGTTCTCTCACAGCTATAGCCTCTGGCAATCTACATCTTACACAAGCACCAGAATACTCCTGTTTTGTAACCACTAGTCTGCGGTTATCAAACTGACAGCTCAGAATAGCATCCACAAGTGGAGCCTTCATATTTACAACATCAACAGAGATGGGATTCCTGAAACAGAACCAGATATATCTTACAGGAACCAAATTGTTTCTTTACAATCACATGCACTGGCCAGAGACACACATCCATATAGCTAGGGATTCATTCAGCTGCTGCAGAAGGGTGTGTTGTATATGGGGCTATTTACAAAGATCTACACACATCCTCCATAGAAAATAAATGTTATATCTAACTATGCAAGGACTAAGGATGGAACAATCAGAGGGAGAAAACACAAATATGTATAAAAGGTTTCGTATTACATTTAAATGTTTATTAAAAGGTGCCACGGTGTCCAATGTATATAAGCCAGTGATTTACACACCACATAGATGATATTGAAAATATTGATCTAGAATATAAAAGTTTATTCTACGGACAATATTTGATTATAATGCTATACTCCAGTCTGGAGAGACTCAGATGATGCTATTTTGGTTTTCTTATCAACACTTCATAGATACAGAATACATAGATATTTCTGTAGTTACAATCGCATCTAGACCTGCTCACCAGCTTAATAATTCAGCACATACCAAATTACCCTTAAAAATTCCCATGCCTAGTTACACAGAAGAGAAATTAACTTTCTGTCTGCCAGAAAGGGCAACAACTGTTGTCAAACACAATAAATGTAAAGGGTTAACAGCTCCCTAAAACAGTTTTTTTTTTCAGTGTGTTATGTAATTAGATAAGTCCCCCCCCCCCTCCCCCCCCTTCATTACACAACATAATGCATTTTGTAGGGCACGTTGGAACAACGTCAAACCACATCCATGAACGCTAAATTGGCTTAAGGTGATGAGAGTTCGAGTTCACCAATACATAATATGGCTTTATTTTATTGCTGCAAGAGCACTAAGGCCTGCACAGACAGCAGACTACATTTACAGAGACTGAATGTGTAGTTGTGAAAGTTATATCATCATACAGCGTTTCATCTGGAAATCTGTCTTCTCATAGGAAGAAAGATCAAACCTTGCTTCACGCCCCTTAACCCAGCTCAGCTTAGAACATCCTGCTGGGTGCCTTGCACAAAAGGGGTATCTAGGCACCTCTTAATCAACAAATGCCAGCAACTAACCCCTCCACGCATAGCCCTCTTAATACGAGACTGCCTGTACCCCTATAATTTCTGGGCGCAGAGGTTTTTTTTCCCATGTCAGGGGTGTAAGATCCTCAAGCTCTTATCACGCACCCACCCATCCTGATGGCTCCACGTGTCAGATCCGAAGTGTGGGGCAGAGTGCAAAGTGTGCAATGAATGGAACGCTCAGCGAAGCAGGTTGCTAGGGGCAAACAAGGGGTCGGTACCCACGAGGTGTGCGAGCTGTGGGACAAGCCGGTCTTAGCAGAAGAAGTATCAAGTCAAGTCCACGTGAAATGGTGCTGAAAGTGGAAGTGGTAAAACGCAGAGCCGATACCATTAGGAATAATAATTGGCGCAGACTAGAACCCCAGGGTTTTTAGAATCACAGTAATGTTGGGGATTTTATAAAAATAAATAAAAATAAACACACATTAAAAATGGTGTGAGGGTGCAATTCAATGCATGGGGAGGGGGTGAGACACGTGAGAGAGCAGGATGTACTCCCGCATGGGGAGATCAGGAGATTTAGGGCTTATAGGATGAATACCAGTAATGTTTAAATCAGGGGTACACCCCTGCAGTGTGACCAACACGTGTGATACTAAAAGCTTCCTGCATGGGAACCCAGGGGTTAATGCACCCAGCACCACAATAATAATGAATGGGGACAATGAGTTTAAATAAAAATATATACATTGCAAATGGGGTTGCTGTAATATTGGGGTGCTGTAATATTGGGGTGTGGAATACAAAAAGGGGGTGCATGCACCCCATCTGTCACTGCAGATGCCCAAGCTGTCAGTTCAAAAAGCTGAAAAGGCTACAGTCAGACCATCACCAACAAGTCTCCAAAAAAAGCATGTGTGCCAACCCAGTGCCCCCCGGGAGGCTGCTCCTTACCGGGCTGTCAGTCAGATAGTTAAACACGAAAGACTCAAGATCTTCATCCAGCAATGTGCTGCAGTCCGCCATCTTCCAGCGAGTGCAGCTCAGAGCCTGGGAGGCACAGAGCACAGTGAGGAGGAGGAGGAGGAGGAAGGGAGCCGGCAAATGGGAGGGCAGTGCAGCCGGCTAAAGAGGAGGGGCAGGAGGGCTCCCTGACAGCCCTGCTTAACCCTCTAGGAATAGCAATGTTTTATTTTACATTTTTTTCTTTTGCACAAAAAAAAAAAAAAGTCAAAAGCAATTATTCAAGTTTTGCTCTGTGCTTATTTAATTGCACTTTCCCTCGTTTCTTTTAGTGTGTTCACACATGTTATATGTTTCTTTTTTTAAAGAAAGCAGTGCTTTCTTGGGATACCCTATATGTATACATAACTTATTATTTAGTATTAATACAATACACAATACAGTACTTTTTTTTATTTTTACACTTTTGCATGTTATCATATGTGCACAAGTAGTGCAACTGAGGAAAAATTCCACTTATTTATCCTGATATTATCCTGATATAAGTAATTTAAGAATACCTCATATAACAAGAATTTTCACCTGTACTGCTATTTATAGGTTACATATTACAAGAAGAAATGTAATGTTTTAATTCTTGAAGTTTTCAAAACTTGGTATACAGGAACTGATTCTTTTTAGTGGTAGTTGCAAAATGCAAAACTGCCACTTAAAAGTATTTATTTTTTAAAAGAAGTCTACCCAGAGAATTTATTAGGAATAATTTTGGCATTTTAAATGTAACCTTTTCCCCAAGTATTCTCAAATTGTCTTGTAAAATGTTTTTGTGGTTTTTTTTTGTTTGTTTTTATTTATTTATGCACACCCACCTCAACATTGTATTTTAGTGTGCATTGTGTAACCTTGATTTATGATACAGCAATAAAAATCTCCTGTTCTTCTGTTCAGCATCATCTCCCAAGTATAACAATACCCCCACATACAGGTCTGCCTGCTTTAGTGACATTACAGGGCCAAATTAAAGACCATGTCCAATTTCACTTTTGAAAGTTAGAATGTGAGTGCTACACCTGCATAGATTTTTTTTTACTTTTTATTTTTTTTGTACTGGTTTTTGTGATATTACAGGTCCAAATTTTCAGTTTTTAGGCTTTGAATTTGGCATTTATCCCATTTTTAGGCATTTAGAGTTAGAGAATTCACTCCTTAAACACCTACCTTCATAAAAAGAAGAAAATCCGGAGTATTTCATATTGGGTATATTGAGCCATTTGAACTAGCCATTTTACTGGAAAAGTCAGCCATAATTAATGACTTAATTAAAAATATATTTAAAAATATATAATATATAATTAAAAATATATATTTTTCTTCTTATTTAAAAAAAAAATTAGACCTCGATTTAATATTTTTGGATAGGCTTTTCAAATAAATCAATGTTTTTGGATAAACTTTTAAACTGATTTTTCAAAATATTAAAAGGAAAAAAAATATATATATTTATATATATACAGACTATACAAAAAAAATCAAGATATGAAAATATTAAATCAATTTAAAAGTTAATCCAATTAATATTAAATCGAGGTCTATAGTGGCAAGAATGATGTGTACTTCTTGGAATGTGCTTTCTCGTAAGGGACGTAACGGTACATCACATGTCTTGAATGTATGTTAGCCTTTGATATACCAATATTTCCCTTGTCGGTAAGGGATTAAAAGGTAGAATGGCACAAGATTTCTCACTTGACAAAGAATACAGTACAGAAGCTCTTAGAACCTAGTGTCACCCAACAATTTATGTTTGGAATCTCAGTGTCATGACTGTGTATTACCAGCTCTGCATCAGGAGAGGATGGTGGGACACATTTTTCAAAGCAAAACAGGTGCTATTCAATTGTAAAGAGCTAAATAAGAAGCAATCACCATGAAAACTATTAGAATGTATCTCAAGATTTAGCATTTTTCAAGAGAATATCTATTTTTTGCCTTTATCTTGTTCCATAACGATTCTATTTTATTCAAAGTGCCACATTTATAATGTTCCTGCTGATTGCTCCCACACATAACAGTTTGTCCCAGAATTGGTTTTCATAGATTGGTATTAAGGTCTGCCATAACATGGAGCAACAATGTTGTACTGCTATAAAAGGGAAGTGTTATTTTCTAAACTATGACAGTGTTGGTCACTAAACTCTGAATTGTAGTAAATTAAATACAAATTGAAAAAATTGTGGAAAAAATGCTCATCCGGAAAAATTCTTCAAATCAGCTATAGTCTCATGGTTATGGTATAAATTTTGCCGTTTGGAGTGTATTTGATTACAGCTCGAAGTTTGGTGAATACCTCTGTATGAAGTCTATTCAACAAACATGGTAATGCATGGATCTATTTTCTCTTTATACTGCCTTTCTTGGGAAACTTATTACCTCATTTGGATTCCAATACCACCTGTAAGCTGATGACACCAAGATATATCTCTCATCCCTGGACCTCTCCCCTGCCGTCCTGCAATGTGTCACTGCTTGCCTATCTTCCATCTCTAACTTTGGGGTAAAAATTGTGTCAAAGTTGAATTCTCCACCAGTGGCATTCTTACATCCAGAAGTGGCGGGGACATCTTAGCCAATCAATGGTCTCACACTTTAAAATTTTGAAAGAATGAAGGAAACATGCATGTACAATATATTAGCAATGAGTACAGGTGCAGTGTTTTCTCCATTCGACTAACAAGGATATTTACTATTTTAAACATAAAGTCTGAGTAGTCGAAATAAAGGCATAGCTGGCTTAGATTATACTATTTGGCTATTTTGACCTTAAATTCAAAATTCATTCTGAATTCTCACTTTCGTAAATAATTCTGTAAAGGTAAGCAGTTCACATAGGCACTTTAAAGTCAGATGTTTCTGTTCAAAGTAAAATAAACTTTTAAGGCCGTACTTGAAACATAATTGACTAAGAAATTTTTTTTAGGTTTGCCTATTTTGACCTTAAATTTGAAATTCTTACTTTTGTGAATAACTCTTGTGATGTAGAAAGAGGAATACAGACAGAAAAATGCACCTTTTTTTGCACACATTCACTACAATGCAATCCAATCAAGGCTACTCATTGCATTATTTTATACATTTAAGAAAATACCCAAAGTGTTCACTTAAAACTGACATTTCACGACTGCCAATGGTTGAAATTGTCCACTGGATTACTTCGAATTTGTAATTGTCCACTGGATTGCTTCAAATTTCTGCAGATTTTCATATCTGTGCTTCCAACTATGGACAGATTTTATCCCTCAATGGGTCCTTTTTGTGATCTTCTACAGTCTTTAAAATATCCCTGGCACTGAGAGCAGCAGGATAATGAAGATAAACATGGGGAATAGAATGTGTTATTTAATTAAGTATTATTACTGCTTACATTTATTTAGATATTTTCACATGCCTGTTAACTCTAGAACAGACTTGCACGTTTTCTATAAACTGATGCTGTTACGCTGGAAACAGTCAGCCACAGGTTCTGGTCATCTCTAATATCATCAGGATACAGTGATTTTAACAAAAAGATAGTTTCTGATGGTTACCTTAGCTGTCTGTCTGCTGCTTCAGACAGTGTCTTCTTGTGTTCACCAAATTTGCTGCATTTGCGTTGCAGCAGTTGTAGTCTACAGATGGCAGTCTATCAAGTGTTGCCTTTTCAAGAAACCAGACCTCAGAGCAACATGTGCTGGAAGGCTCAGATCTTTGTGAAACACATGTTTTCGGCAGTGTTTGGACATTTCCAGCAATAGCCTGGTGACTACCAAAGGGGCGTTTGTCTCCCTACTGCCTCCATAAAAAAAGCTTCATAACAGAGACAAAGCTGGGTCCTCAGTATGGAAGAAGAAAGCAACCGCAGTAACACAGTATATACCATTGTATTTTATGGTTTTGGTCTATAGGCGTTCCAATGGATGGATGAATTGAGAGCCTGGTGGACTACAATGACATGGGTATCTCAATTATAGTTTCTAAGAGCACAATGATGTGGCTCACATTTCATTATAACTTCATTATGGCAATCAGTTATTTGCTTGATTGTTATAGACAAATTACATAAAAGTAGAATGCACACCTTTCAATTTTGTAAACATAAATCTTACATTCATATTTATTTTACTAATCTCCGCAAGTCGATTCTCAATTTTACTGCAGTAAACCGACAGCAGAAAAGAATGACCTTACCCAAGTAACCACACAAATCATTCAGCGAGTTAGTGCCAAAGCTGTTCTGGCACTGGCACAGCTTACGGGAAGCTATTGAGTACTGAAGGGTGAAAGAATGATAAATTGGTGCCAAACAACTTACTAAATTGCTCAGATAGATTCTTTAGTAACCTTTGCATATGTCTCTGTTTGATTCCATAATAGAAATTTCAGTTTACTATTACCCATGCAGGTACCACACCATGCAGGGTAGTCAGAATGCTACAGCAATATGGGGCGTCATAAGAAAGACATCAAACTCACATGAGGAGCATGGTCTGAATATGCATGTAATTCTTGTATAATGTAGATCATTTCACAAAATTCTTATGCACAAAGAAACCTTGCTCTTCACATTAAACAATCATATCTGAAGTTGCATTGCTCTGGTCGCAGAATGTCATAGTGACACTGTTCTGATAGGCCCATGTCTCGATATTTCCATCCTGAAATGCATTTAATGTTCACACGTATTACATGCATTGCACAAGCAAGCACTGAAGACACTGTCCAGGACAGTCAGACAGACTGCTAGATAGACAGATGATTATATCCATTCTTGGCATACTGCCTTGTAATGCTGGTTAAACCAATCAGCAAGAGAGAAAAATAATTATGCACATTTTGTGAAAGGTTATTAATATGGCTGCTCTCACAGATAGACAGATGACAGATAAGGTAGATTGTTACTACAAATATAGAAATACAGTTTATCTGTGAACACTACAACAAATGTAAAATGAAGGATTTAGAAGAACATCAGTTCTACTTTAAGAATTACATCTAATAATAAAGAGCTATGAGCATACTGTTTTAAATGTGAGCAATCCATTTTTT